GCCTTGATAGCATTCTGTCTCTTTAACTGGATGACAGACACACGTTGCTATGTGTTGTTCTTTGTCTTTGTACTGGTGTTGTATTAGGATGAAATAGAGTATAGAGGAAAGCTTAGGACTAAAAAGCTTTGACTAAAAATGATACATATTGTTGTCATACAACATTACTTATTTGAAACAAATGCCAGAAATTCTATTACCCAGGGTAAATGATTACATTAATATTACTAATATACGAAGTGCAGACATGTCCAGCAATCAAGAACTATGAGATTAAATATTGAGAAAAGATGTCATTTAAAACATCTGAACAAACAAACCTTTGAAAAATTAGGGAGGGAAAGAGGGAGAGGATACTCTAGGCTCAGAGCAAGAATGTCACAAAGGGCACACTAGCCTGGGTTGGTTCACTGGTATAGTTTATTTATTTATTTTTTTTTTGGTAGAGGTCCTAGGACTTGAATTCAGGGCTTGGATGCTGTCCTTGAGCTTTTCTTACTCAAGGCTAGCACTCTGCCAGTTGTGCCACAATTCCACTCTGCCTTTTTTCTTTTTTTTTGGAGTTACTTGGAGATTAACTACCAAATGGACTTTCCTGCCTGGGCTGGCTTTGAACTGTGATCCTCAAATCTCAGACTCTTGAGTAGCTGGTAATACAGGTGTGAACTGTAGGCTTCCAGCTCACTGCCATAGTTTTATGCCTCAACTTTGAAGAACAGTAATGTTTGGATAGAAGCCAGGCATGAGACTTTGACTGCTTTTCCTTCTATATTCTAAGAGAAATGATGCTTGTCCAGATCCAGCCTGGCCAAACTAAACTAAAACAAGACAAATCATCTCCACTGTAAATACTGGGGATGTCTGGCATTCTTGAGGTTGAGGACAACAATGATAATGTGGTAAAACAAGCAAATGCCTGGCTTGGACCAAACCTTATTCATCTGAAAATGTAATCAATTATTCAATAACAAGAATATGCTCAGAGACATTTCCTTTCTAGACACAGCACAGGGGAGAAGAAGGGGAGAACTGGCTAGGTGTTATGTAGGATGTTATAAGGAGCTTGACTTGACTTTGCAGTCAGCCTTGAGATTTTTAATTTTATTTTTGTCTGTCCCGGAGCTTGAACTCAGGGCCTGCATGTTGTCCCTGAGCCTCTTTGTGCTCAAGGCTAGTGCTCTACCATTTAAGCCATGGTGCCACTTTGGCTAAAAATTTTCCGAGTAGTTTATGGGAGATAAGAGTCTCACAGACTTCTGCTCGGACTGGCTTTGAACTGTGATCCTCAGATCTCAGCTTCCTGGGTAGCTAGTATTACAGACATGAGCCACCAGAGCTGGACTTAGCCTTGAGATCTTACCGCACCTTCAGGGTGATTTGTTGTGTGTGATAATGTAGCCACATTGTAGAGGAGCCATTGAGCAGTGCCACACAACGTCACCACAACAAACGTTTTGATCTATTTGGGTCTCTTCATTATTTTTTTGTTTAGGTAATTGGAATTGAATTTGGGGCCTTGTAGCAAGTGTTCCATCACTTGAACATCCAAGAATTAAGGTTTTAGTTTGCTTTGTCAGCTAGAGACTCTCGCTTGTGCCAGGACTGGCCTTCAGACAGGATTCCCTGACTTTTATTTCCCCAAGTAGATGGGATTATAGGCACGTACCACCATGCCTGGCAACCTATCCACTTTGATGGAGTCCTGTTTCTAGATAAAAGCAAGTGGGAGGTTTTTTCCCTTCTCATCCTGACAAAACTTACTTTCCAAATAAGTGTTTTACTAGGGCTTCAGGGGAGAGGAGCAAAAAGAATTAAGGGGTGGGGGAGCCAAGGGAAAGAATGAGGAACTGCAGAGGAATTATGTACATGTAAAGTTTTTAGAAGGCCTAACATCAGTTAGACTGACCCAACTGATTTTTAGGCAGGACTGTTTTTGGCTTTCCAGGCAATTCTCTGGTCTGGTCAGGTCTGATACAGTTTTCTGCTGCCTAGGAAGTGGCCCGGCTAGCTCCTGGCCTGCTTCAGCTGGTTGTATACCTGGCCTCAGCCCAGCCACCTGCTCAGCCACCTGCTGGGTGTGTCACACAATGTGTCAGAGTTGCTTCATTTTTTGGTAATCTAATGTTTGGCTAAAGCAGGATCTTATTTTTAAAAACTTCAGGGGCTGGCCAGGTGCTGGTAGCTCATGCCTGTAATCCAAGCTGCCTAGGAGGCAGAGATCTAAGGATTGTGGTTTGAAGACAGCCAGGAAAGAAAAGTCCCTGAGATTCTTATCTCCAATAAACCAACCAAAAGTTGGAAGTGGAACTGTTGCTCAAGTGGTAGAGCCCCAGCCTTGAACAGAAAAAGAGAGTGCTTTGGCCTTGAGTTCAATCTCCAGGACTGGCACACAGGCATAAAATAATTACACTAGTATTTTGTTTTAGATTTATAGCTCTTCTTAAAATAGTTGGTTAAAATCCATGGGGACCCATGCGTGTCTGGTGAGCTGGTATCTTTTTGTGTTAAGCTCAGAAATGTCTTTGTGGATGTATTTTTTTTGCTTCAACCACAATTCTCTTCCGGTTATTTTTCTCCTAGTGAAATCATTAGCTTGTGTTTGTGAGATTGATGTCTGTTGTCATGGGAATAAACAATATTACTAATTCAGTTTTGCGTGAAGTAAAGAGAAAAAGAAGGAGAAGCACAACTTTCAGGGAAAGTAGAAGCTGGAATGACTGCCAATTCTCTGACGTTAATTTGGAAGACAGTTCCCACCTTCTAGCGAATGATGTCTCATATGGTTTTGGAATGTCATTTTTCAGTGTTTAGTTCATTTCAATTCTGTGTCACTTGCAAAGTAGAGTTCTTCCACATAAGCCCTTTCTGATGACAGTTTAGAATATGCAGAAGAAGGGCACATATGGAAACATACTGATCCAGCAAAGGGAAATATTTACTGCACTTTGACAACTTAGAGATTAGTGGCTGGATATCCATGATCACAATGAATAAAAATACAAAGAAAATCCCATTAATCAAAACAAACCAAAGAAAAGAAGCAACTTGGAATTTCACTTTATAGTCTTACAAGTAAAACAAAAAAAATCATGTAAGTAGCAAATACAGCTTTAAAGAAGACTTTCAGATGAGAATTAGCTTTCCTTTGGGGAAGGAAAGTCAATATGTTCTTGGTTGTAATAAAATCTGTTATTTCCTCCCGGAGATGAGATGTCCTGTCAGCATTTAGAGTTATTTATAATGGAGTTAGAATTTTCCATTTGGACTTAGGGTCTGGTAGACTGTCCAGCTCCTATTTAAATTATTTATTTTTCTCTCTAAATTCGACCATACACAATAGGGTTTTATGTACTAATCTTCCTTTCAGTAATTTCTGTCTTTACATTGTACTGAAATGTGATTGTCTAATTATGAGTTGTGTTAAGACACTCATTTTCAATCTCAAAGTAAAAATAATAGTTGTCAAGACACTTGTAAGAGAGTTGTGCATCATTTGCATGAATGTACAACATTGTTGGCAAGATGCATGCTGAGAGTGGACAGTTTTGTACTTATGTCACATTATGGCATACAGCCTTGTCAAAGTAGCCAATTTAAAGTGACCTGTATATTTATCTTGCACTTAAAATATGGAAAGTGAGCATTTTATTGGAAGACATCTGTGACTCCTATTAACTTGAGGTTTCCATATTTTTCCATTTGGGTTGCAATTTTGTTTTTTTCTTGAATGAAAAGCCAAAATTTAGTAGCAGACGTTTTTGATCAGCTAGAACAAGTGGTGTGTTTTATTTTGATGACTAATCAATTTTAAGTTTTCCAGAAGAAATGGTAGTTTTTAGTTTCATTAGAGTCAAGCTGTATTGAAAGGTTGCCCTTCTAGTTTTTTCTTTCCTTTTATTTTTATTTTTTTAACGGCGCTACTGGGGCTTGAACTCAGGGCCTGGATGTTGTCTCTGAGTTTTTGTTCAGTCAAGGATGGTACTCTACCACTTGAGCCTCAGTTCTACTTCTGGGTTTTTGATGCTTGATTGGAGAGAAGAGTCTCATAGACTTTCTTGCCAGGGTTGGCTTTGAACCTCGATCCTCAGATCTCAGCTCCTTGAGTAATTAGGATTATAGGCGTGAGCATCTGGTGCCTGATTCCTTCTACTTTTTATTTTTTCTAACCATACAATAAAAGTTTCTCCAGAGAATGATTGTTGGAAATCAAGTTTGCAAATGATAAGGGTTCATTGTGGTTATTGTAAATCACACATTGAAAACGGACTGCTTTAAATGATTATTTTAAAAGAATTTTCTTCAAGTTGTAGGGTTGTACAAAGGGGTTTCATTCAACATGCCAGTTTATGAGTACAATGCATCTTGATCGATGTCACCCCTCCATCGTTCTCCACTCTCCATCTGTTATAACCCTACCCATTCCCTCAAATTACCTGGAACTTATTTATATCAGACCAGCGATGAGGAGATCTGGTAAAGACATAGACCTTTGTAAGCCATTAGTTATGTCATAAAGCAAATTGAAGCAGGATAAAAATTTGGGGATTTAGGCATATTTTTCTCTTTGGAAAAACTTTTAAGTCTATTTCTTTAACTTTGGCTATCAATCTTAGCCTGGAGACCTTACTCCCTGGGTGTGTGGGAGCCTGAAGGATAAATAGGAATAGAATAGAATTCTCAAGTTTATTCCATCAGCTTGTTCTGTTGGAAGAACAGGACAAAAGAGCTCAGAAAGAATGAGTAAGGCAGGGGGTGAAGAATACAGATATAATAGTGAATGCATGTCCTGTGAAACTAGAGAAATTGAGGGGAAGGAGGAGAATGGGGAAAGGGCTGATGGCCATCGAGATGCACTTTACTCATAAACAGGTACACTGAATGATAACCCCCTTGGTAACTGCTTAAAGATTAAAAAAAGAATGGGCCAATATAGACCAGTTGAGTTAGAATACATATTTAGTAGGCATTAAAAAAGGATTTGCCTCTCATTTCTACCCTAGAACGTGGTTCACCTCAAGATTTAGTGACCAAGGACATCACGGACACCTCCATCGGGGCCTACTGGACGTCTGCTCCTGGGATGGTTCGGGGGTACCGGGTTTCCTGGAAATCGCTGTATGATGATGTGGAGACTGGAGAGAAGATTCTTCCTGGGGATGCCATCCACACCATGATAGAGAACCTGCAGCCAGAGACCAAATACAGAATTTCTGTGTTTGCAACGTACAACAGTGGAGAAGGAGACCCGTTGACGGGAGATGCCACCACCGAATGTGGGTACCAGCCCGTGTGTGTGTGTGTGTGTGTGTGTGTGTGTGTGTGTGTGTCCATGCTTCTCTCCCATGGCAGGCACTTGAGCCATGTGCCTCTTCAGATGAGAAATGAGGCTGAACCATTACCATCGATCTTTAAAGAACATGATTTAAGCTCGGAGATTACTATTGAAAAAAAAGTCACACTTTAAAGGATTGTATCTGCCTGTATGTATCTTCCTTTTACCTTTTTTAGTCTTTTTAAAAGATGGATACCCAATTAATGAAAAGGTCAGCTGTCATAGATAAAGAGAATTTAAGGCATCTTTATGGATGGATGATCTTGGTCAAGTGATTTAACCTTCTTTGAGTCTTAGTTTCCCAAACTGTAGAATCAAAGCCATAAAGCTCTTCTCTTAGAGCTGTCTTGAAGATTAATTGAAACAATGCTGAAATCACCCAGTACAGTGTCTGTCACTTACATCAATGAAAGATGAGTGGCTATTGAGTTTATGATTTTCCTTCAACAAGAGTAATCCTAGATTCTTTACTTTCTATTTTACTTGCTAAGAGTGAGTCACAAGCTCATTCAGTTTGCTGGTGGCACAGATTTACTCCTCTCTCATCACTCTTCTTTCTTAGGAATACTTGTGAATGATCTGTCATCATGTATATTGCCTGGCTTGGGAAAGAGGTGTCCAGATTTTTCTCTCCTACCTTTCCTTCTCCTTCACCTTTTTTCTCCCTCCCTCCCTCTTTCTCCTTCCCTCCATTCCTTTCCCCTTTCTTCCCCCCTCCTTTCTACTTTCCCCTCTGTCCTTCCCTATCTTTCTTTTATTCGTTCTTTTTGCCTTTTCTTTCTCTGTTTTAAGATTTTGTATTCGAGTGATCGTAATATGTCAATGTAATTTCAATAATCATAGCACTAACTTTTACCATCAAATCATCTTGGTGGGTAATGTGGGCAATGTAGGAGGCTGTGTATATGTGGGAGGCACGAAGCAATACCTGAGAAATTTCTGTATTTATTGCTTAATTTTGTGAGCAACCCGAAACTCTTCTAAAGTAGTCAAGCCTATGCATTTTATTCATAAAATGCTTTATTAAATGGCAACTCAATGTTACAACTACTTGAAGATCAAAAAGAAACCAAACCAAACCAAACCAAACCAAACTAAGCTAAAGTAGTTGGGCACTCATGGCTCATGCCTGTAATCCTAGCTATGTAAGAGGCTAAGATCTGAGGATTGTGGTTCTAAGCCAGCCCAGGCAGAAAAGTCCCTAAAATTCTTATCTCCAGTTAACCACTGGAAAGACAGAAGTGGAGCTGTGGCTCAAGTGGCAGACTGCTAGCTTTGAGCCAAAAAGTTCAGGGACTGTGTCCAGGCCCTGATTTTAAGTCCCAGTAGTGGCACGAAAACAAAACCTTTTAAAATCTTTTGGTCTGAGTTGTCTGACCAATTGATCTTTTTATCACTGGTAAGCACAGTTGGGATACATCTATAAGTTTAAATTTGTCTAAATGGACCATCATTCAAAAAGAATCATACTCCTTACCAGAAATACAAATATGTCAAAAGGACTGTTTCTCAGATTGCCATATAATTAGTTAATAGTAAATGAAATCTCGTGTCTGGAATATATTGGCTAGTTATGTGAAAGAACTTGGCAGAAATAAATTTCTGGTGGAAATGTATTTGTTGTACAAAATTCATATTGTAAGCTTGGGCAAGTATAGGCCCTATATTGCTATGCTTATTTATAGAAATAGAACTAAAATTTGTATGGATGAAAGATTATAAAAGTATGTGTAGATGATGTGCTTAAAAAGTTTTTCCATTTCCAAAATTTCTAAAATTGTCAGAGACCAAATCTCTACAAGGGACATATTTTAGCTAAAAGTAGGTCTGTTGCAGAAACTATAAATAAACTCCGGTGTCTCAGAAGATGGGGCTCTAAGAACTTTTTAGTATTTCTTGGCTCCCTGATTGGCTTAAAGGTTAGTTAGAGGCAAAAAAGCCTCTTGTGAACTAGAAGTAGACTTGGAAGGAATGAGACGCCCATTTTTTTTTTTAGACTTTATGGAAGTTGCTTATATGTCTAAATAAATAAGCAAGAACACAGGAACTTTGCTTTGTTCTACTTTCATTTGTTTGGGCTTCTCTTTGCTCTCTTTGGGGCAAGTCAAGCAGTTTAGGGCACTTTTGGACATGAGAATGAGATTTGGTATTTAGGTGGGGCCTGAGACCCAAGGTGAAGGTTAAGGTCACCAACTCCTTTTCATCAGGTTTTCCAATGGGCATCTTAGCAATGTTTAGCTTTGCTTTCACAGGAAAATCAAGGGGGCTGTCCATCGCTGGTTGGTATCATGAAATCCATGAACTGGTATTAGAGGCCAGCAGAGGGTGTAGCTCTCTACCACCTCTCCCTACAGCTGACTCAGCTGTAGCATAGGGGTGTCTGAAAGAATCTTTTTCCTGGTATGAAGGTTGAACTCAGCATTTTGCAAAGCTCTTCTTGCTAGCTTGGCTGGTGCTCTACCACTTGAATTGGACCTCCAGCCCTGCTTTTTGCTGATTATTTTGGAGATAGACCATCACAGATATTTCTGCCCAAGTTGGCTTCAAATTATGATCCTCTAGACCACAACCTCTTGAGTATCTAGGATTTCATGAGCCATTGGTGCTGGGGATGGAACCTGGTGCTAGGTAAACACTCTACCAAAATCTGTCTCCCAAAAAGGAGCTTGTAAGAGTTACTAACACTTGACTTCAGCATTTCATAGTACGTGACATGCCTATCAATGGCTGAAAACTTAGATGAGATGTGATATATTTTATTTCAATTCTGTTATGGGAAGGCAGGAACTTTCATGGAGACTCAAGAAGCATATCATGGTACCAAGTACACCATTTGCCTGCTATTAGCATATTTAAATTTGGAAATGCTTTAGAGTTTGGAATTTCCTTCTTTTGGAAACATAGGCCAATATTGTAAGCTTTAAATTTCTATTTCACTCAATGATGAGTTGTGTGAAATTGATTTGCATACTTTGTGTAAGAGAGAAATGTCTTGCTCCACTGAATAAAAATTTAAGACATGGAAATAAGAGGTTGCAAAACATATTTTTGCACCTTTTAGAAGATTGTTAAACACATAGAAACTCTTTTAATATTGTGAACATTAGTAATGATAATAATTCAACCAGATTATTTTTCTATATACTATTATTTTCCATAATTCTAGGTACTCTTCACAGTTTTGTTTGGGAATTTATATATTTCTTTTTAGTAGTTCATGCGTTCAGAGAATAGTAATAGGAAAATGAGGCTTGAACTCAACAATTAAAAAAATATTTATTTATTTAGTGCTGGTACTGGGGCTTGGACTCAGGGCCTGGGTGCTGTCCCCTAGCTTTTTCAAACTCAAAGCTGGCACTCTACCACTTGAGTTACAGCTTTACTTCATTTTATTTTGCAGGTTAATCAGAGCTAAGAGTCTCATGGACTTCTCTGCCTGGGCTGGCTTCAACCTGTGATTCTTAGCTCTCAGCTTTCTGAGTAGCTAGAATTACAGGTATGAGCCAGCAGTACTAGTCTCTTTCTTTCTCTTCCTTCCCTTCCTTCCCTTCCTTCCTTCCTTCCTTCCTTCCTTCCTTCCTTCCTTCTTTCCTCCCTCTCTCCCTCTCTCCCTCCCTTCCTCCCTTTCTTTCTTTCTTTCTTTCTTTCTTTCTTTCTTTCTTTCTTTCTTTCTTTCTTTCTTTCTTTCTTTCTTTCTTTCTTTCTTTCTTTCTTTCTTTCTTTCTTTCTTTCTTTCTTTCTTTTCTCTCTCTCTTTCTTCCTTTCTTTCTGATAGGGTTTTACCAGTTGACTGGCAACTGGCAATTCTCCTGCCTCAGTTTCTCAAATTCTGAGATTACAAGTACATACTACCACTCTTGGCTTAATCTTGATAAATTATAGTATTTTTCAGAAAGCAATGGATTTGTCTGGAGTTCTCTTTCATTTGCTTAAACTCTAAAATAAAGATTTTGGTCAATTTACTCTTAGCTAAAACATATACTTTTGTATCTCTCAGAAATCTAACTCATATCGTATAATTAATTAATTTCCACATCATAATTCTTATCCTTTTTCTTTATATGCATTATATCTTTTTAAAAACTCTGGCTTCTTGTCAAGATTTGCTTTTTTTGTCATTGATCTTAAGCAATCTGATTCTGTTGTGTCTTGAGTGCTTCTCTTCATGTTCCCAGCACTTGGGGCTTGTTTAGTTTCTTGGATCTGTGAGTTTATAGTTTCTAGAACTTAAATACATATACAAGTATTTCTTTAATATTTACATAGTATACTCCTAATTTCCAACACAACTTACTGAATTGTTCTTTCTGAATTTTTTCTTTCCTTGTGTTTTGTTAAAGTATTTCTTTTTTCTTTTTTAAAATTCTTCTTCTTTTTTATTTTTTGCTTGTCCTGGGACTTGAACTCTGGGCTTGGGTACTGTCCCTAGCCTCCTTGTGCTCAAGGCTAACACTCTAGCACTTGAGCTACAGCACCATTTCTTGCTTTTTCTGTGATTCATTGGACTTTTCTGCTTGGCTGACTTCGATCCTCGATCCTCAGATCTCTCTTGAGTAGCTAGGATTACAGGCATGAGCCACCAGCACCCAGCTGTTCTAATGCTATATCACCAAGCTTATTAATTATTTTTTCCTAATTTTAAATATGCATTTCATCTTAGCCATTGTATGATTATCTTTAGAAGTTTGATTGAGTGTATCATTTATCTGTATCTATCTGCCTATGTATCATCTTGATAGGTGATATCATCTACCTATCACCTATCTATCTGCCTATTTATCATCTGTCTATCACCTATCTGTCTATCATCTATCTGTCTATGACATGTCTTATCATCTATCTATTTTTCTATGTAACATACTTCATCTTTAGTGCAGGGTTGAAAGCTGAAGGAGAATCTTCTGCATATTTTTGGACCATTTTCCTTGTAGTGTATTTCTTTCTATCTCTTCTATTATATTTTCTTCTAACTCATCTATTCTGGGAATTCTAGTTGTCTTGGACTTCCGCGTTTTTAGGGGAGATGACTGGGCTTCCTCGGGGCTCTGTCTGGTTCTGACCTTCCTATACTGTGCTGGGAAATACTCTCTCGCAATCAGTTGGTGATTTCACAGCCTGTGCTCACCTGCTCTCCTCAGTCAGGGATATTGTCAGGGCTGACTGATGTCATTGGTTAATCCTTATTATTTTAAAGACTTATTTCTCTAGGTTTAAAAAAAATTGTAGCCTCTGGTTCCTGCCCATTTGAACATGGACATTTCTCTTATAATCAGGAAAGACTGTTTGCTGGATTTTAAGTGCCCTTCAACTTAATATCTTCCTAAGAAGATGTTTAAGATATATTTCTTGATACTGTTATTGAACCAAATTAAGCAATCTTGTGTGTAAACTCATTATGTATAAGGAAAAGGATGTTATTGGTAGTTTGTGGATGCTTGGTGATTTGTGTCTGATATTAATAATAGTGAACTATTACTAAAAGTTTAATATGTAATATTAGTTACACATTATAAAAATACTATTAACATAGAATACTCCTAAAACACATGTACCACCTCATCTTTGGTGTGGTCCTGAGGTTTGGACTCAGGGCTTCTTGCTCTTGCTTTGCTTGCTTAGCTGGCACTCTACCATTTGAGCCACACCTACAGCCTAGCATTTTGCTGGTTATTTTGGAAACAGAGTCTTGGTGACTTTTCTAACTAGAATGGCTTTGATCCACAGCCCTTCAAGTCTTAACCTCCTGTGTTGCCAGTCCAGGGACTTGAACTCAGGGCCTGCACAGTGTCCCTGCACTTCTTTTGCTCAAGGCTAGCACTTTACCACTTGGGCCACAGCACCACTTCCAGATTTTTCTGTGTATGTGGTACTGAGGAATCGAACTCAGGGCTTCATGCATGCTAGGCAAGCACTCTACCGCTAAGCTAATTTCCAGACCCTCTTTGAGACATTTTTATTGGCTAGTTTTTTATTCTTTAGTGTTCATAGTCTTGCAATCACAAGAGTAGTGGTAACTGTAATAATTCTAGCTAGCATTTACAGATTGAAACTTTTTCTGAAAAAGCCTACATTCCTAACCTTGTATTTTAAGTTTTTTTTTTTTTTTAAAAGTATTTCCTGTGGTCTTATTACTGGAGAAATTCTCTATAGATACTAACAGTAAAAATTTAAAACCTTTTCTCTGGAAATGAATGTTTTCTTTGCTAAAATCCCTAGAATGCAAACAGGAAATCCTTTCAATATGAGCTTTCAGTTTTTAATATTAGTTGGATAGAGAAAAAACATCATACTGAGGTTAGGTCCCCAGGCCATGACAGAGCATGAGAGGTTTACAAGAGAACGGTGCTACATATTTTTTTCACATAAATGGGGAGATGAGAAATATATATGACATATCATATATGATACAATAAATATGTACATGTAATAATATATAATATATAATGTATATTTTTTCTTTCAACACGATGTACATTTTAATTTCCCTTTTATCTCCCAGTGTCCCGGGATGCCAAAACTTTAAAAGTGGATGAGGAGACAGGGCACACAATGAGAGTTACTTGGAAACCAGCACCAGGGAGAGTCATCAACTACCGTGTGGTTTATCGCCCCCACGGGGGAGGGAGACAAATGGTGGCTAAAGTGCCACCCACAGTCTCTTCAACAGTGCTAAAGCGACTGCAGCCACAGACCACCTACGACATCACCGTTCTGCCCATGTATAAGACCGGAGAAGGGAAGGTCAGGCAAGGCTCAGGAACAACAGGTATGAAATCACACACACATGCACGCACGCACGCACACAGGGTGCTAATGCTAGACTTGGACTCAGAGTCTCCCTATCTTGCTTGGCTTTTCTCGCTCAGAGTTAGTGCTCTACCACTTGAGCCACAGCTCCCCTTCTAGCTTCTTGGTGGTTAACACGAGATAATTTCCTGCCTCAGCTGACTTCTGACCACAATCCTCAGACCTCAGTCTGCTGAATAGCTAGGATGATGGGACACTAGTTCCTGGCCTTGACATAATAAGTTTTTGTTGGCGAAGCATGGGATGTTTTAAAAGAGGACTCTCTTCTGTATGTTTTAGTTATAAAAGTTTTTAATGGAAGCTGGGCTTGAAGATGTAGCCAGTGGTAGAGTGCTTGCTCAGCATGCACAAGACCGTGGCTTTGATCCCCAGACACATTCACACAAAATTGAATCTGCAATACATGGAACTCTTAGATGGAATGCCTAATTACCATCCCATCTATAATCGATAGATTATATATAACCAATCTAGTTCCTGTCAGCTTGATGTTACCTACTAATGTATTAATGCTAATCTAACTTAAACTAACTTGGATTGTGGGGATTATTTATAATGCTTGGGTAGCACTCTGTTATGATAGAGGTTTATTAGATGTGTGTGTGTGTGTGTGTACTGATCCTGGAGTTTGAACTCAGGGCCTTACACTCTTCTTTGCCCTCTTCCCTAAAAAGCTGGTGCTCTACCATTTGAGTTATACCTATACTTCCATTTTGTTTTTGCTGGTTAATTAGAGATAAGAGTCTCCCAGACTGTCCTGCTCAGTCTGGCTTCAAACTGAGATCCTTATATCTCAGCCTGCTGAGTAGCTGGGATTACAGGTGTGAGCCACCTGCACCTGGCTTTCCTGGCTCTGATATCTCATGTCACTAGACTTAATCCTTCTTAGGAATGTCTGTAGAGAGCACAAATCCAAGTCCTATTGATAACCTGTTAACAAAAAACACCCATAACCCTTTTTTTTTTTTTTTTATCATTACAGCTTCTCGATTTAAGTCACCTAGAAACCTCAAAACATCTGACCCGACTATGTCAAGCTTCCGAGTGACATGGGAGCCTGCCCCTGGCGAGGTGAAAGGTTATAAAATCACCTTCCACCCCACGGGCGATGACCGGAGACTTGGGGAGCTGGTTGTTGGGCCCTATGACAACACAGTTGTTCTAGAAGAACTAAGGTAGGGATTAACTGTGTTTGTGTTAATAGGTTGAATCAGTTTGTGCAAAAATGTTGAGGAACTTGTGTAAATCAGTAGTCATTGCACTTTAATCACTGGCATGTCATTTTTGCTAGTAGAAGGTTTATATCTTTTTTGTTAGTAGAAGGTTTACAATCAACTACATCTGATTTCTTATGTTTCATGATGGCTGCATTAGAATTCAGAAGTTAGCAACAGAATTTAGCCTAAACAAAATGTAATTGTGTGTGTGTGTGTGTGTGTGTGTGTGTGTGTGTGCTTGCACTCAGGGCCAGAGCACTGTCCTTAACTTTTCTACCCAAGGCTGGTTTTGTACCACACTTGAACCATAGCTCCATTTCTGGCTTTTTGGTGATTAATTGGAGATGAGTCTCACAGACTTTCCTGCTCAACTTGGCTTTTAGTTGTGACCCTCGGATCTCAGCCTCCTGAGTAGCTAGGATTACGGGTAGCTGGCTTTATTTATTTATTTCAAACTATAACAATTTTTTGTTATTAAGTGATTTGAAATGGTTATTAAGCACCATGTTTACAAATATTTATAACATATACTTTGGGCTCTGCATGCCTTCTCAAATGGCCCAAGTAACTCACACCATGATCCTGAGTGTGAAATCTCCAGTCGGGCGGGCACACAGGAGCCAGAAGCAGAACTCTACACTTGGTGCCAGCTGGCAAGGCAGTCTTGGGCTGATTAAAGTTCTGGTTTTAGCCTGAGTAGTAGAAAACAAGGGAGTTTGACTTTGAACAGCACCCTACATTCATGACTGTGGAAAGAATGAACTACTGTGCATGGTCTCTTGGCGAGTTCGTTCAATGGTTCATTCAATAATGTTGAAAATGGGACAGATGGGGAAGAAGGATGGAAGGAGCGACAATGGTCAAGATGCATTGTACTTATAAACTGACATGCTGAATTGAAATTGCTTTGTAGAAATAACTTAAAATAATAAAAATGAAAACAACAACAACAAAAGAAATAACATGGAAAACAGCATATAAATGTGTATTATTTACTTTTACTAGTGTGAGGAGGATGAAGTTTATTGAGCTTTTTATTTTGCTGCCATGGTATCGGGTGCCTTTAGTTACTAGGCAAAGAATGTCATTTTGGATGCTATTTTTTCATATTAGCTGGATAAAGAGGAAACATCAGTGACTTTCTGAAAAGCTACTGCTTAGGAGCAGCAAGAACAAGGCGTCTGCTCATTCTCTGGCTTGTCTCCTCTGACAGAAGGACAAGCCAGAGGGTTGACTCCTAGAGGGTTTTTTTTTTTTTTGGTGCTGGTCCTGGGCTTGAACTCAGGGCCTGAGTGCTGGGCCTGAGCTGTTTTTGCTCAAAGCTAGTGCTCTACCACTTGAACCACAGCTCCACTTCCAGCCTTTTGGTGATTAATTAACATTAAGAGTCTCATGAACTTTCCTGCCTTGGCTGGCTTTGAACCATGATCCTCAGCTCTCAGATGCCTGAGTAGCTAGAATTCTAAGTAGGAGCCACTGGCACCCGGCTCCTCTAGGTCTCTAGGATGGCTGGTAGCCGATTTCCCTGGGTCCCTCAGAGGGCAAATGTAAGCTTGAATATGATGGGAAGTGTTTTCTTTCCCTTACAATGCTGAGCACTGTAAATTCTTCCGCAAGAACGTTTGTTCATCAAGATGGCTGTCTTTAAGCAAAAACTTAAGCCAATGGTCCAGACTTCCTGTGTCCTTTGTCATTTCAGGGCAGGTACCACCTATAAAGTAAATGTTTTTGGAATGTTTGATGGAGGAGAAAGTTTGCCACTTGTTGGACAGGAGATGACGACCCTTTCTGACACAACTGTAATGCCAGTCTTATCTTCTGGTAAGAAATTGAGCTAAACTCCCCTAGGAAAACTTAGCATTAGGAAATTAGTTCAAGTGGGAAGAATTAGGTTATTATACAATGAGAAGTATCTATAAAAATTTTATGAAAACTTATTTAAACATTAGTATACTTTTTTTTGATGCTTGGATAAAACTGCTTCAAGACATCCAATTAAGGTCTGATGAGGTGGCTCACCTGCCTGACAAGAGCAAGGCCCTGAGTTCAAATCCTAGTACTTCCAAAACAAATAAATAAGCCATGCAGTCAAGCATACTTTTGCATATATATTATAATTATAACATCATACAATTGTATAATTATATAATAATTACATTTATATATAATTTCTTTGGAATTTTGTTTGGCTAAAGGCATGATAGATCTATACTTCAATGATTTAATAATCTGGGCAAGCAGAGTTTTCCTTCTTAGAAAAGATGGGAAGCCATGATTTGGAAGCAAGAAAATGACAACATAAGCTGTTTAGATTTTCTGCCCCCACCAGAATGATTACAGCCTCGATGTAAAGGAAGCTAGCCAAGATGGAAGTACTGAGTTGTTGCGCACACATGCACGCATGCACATACTCTTGTGCATGCATGTGCATACACACTTATGCACATTTTGTGCCAGTACTTGGGCTTGAACTTGGGCTTCCCACTCTTGCTTTTTGTTGTTGTTGTTCAAGGCTGGCACTCTAATTTGAGCCACACCTCCAGTTCCTATTCATTTTTTTCTTTTATTCAGTTACTAAAAAATGATAAGCTCTGAGTAGAGCAGCCTTACCAATGTTTAGATGATTGATATGGTATTTGGGACTCTTCCATCCCAAGTTGTTTAATACATGAACAACACTTTTGTATTTGATAGTGTGATGAACTTACAGTTTTTTTCCCCAAGAAACATTTAAGAGATGTCAAGAGCAAATACTAATGTTTTAAGAACTTGGAAGTTTTATAATGGCAACATCGGTTTCAAGAAAATAAAGCATTCACAAAGTTAGACGTAGAGAAAATAAGTGGAAGAGTCGTCTTGCTGTTTTGCATGAGTATTTTGTTGTTTCTCTTATGATGATATTAACTGGCTTGTATTTTTATTTTGTAGCCGTGCACTGAGGAAGTTTGGACTATTTTCTTTCCAAAGCATGCTAGCTTTGTATAAGTGTTTGTGCTCCATGACTGTCTAGCTTTCAATTTGTGTATCTGTTCTGCAACTGTTTCTAAATTCTCTTCCCTTTTCCCTTTTTCTTTACATGTGCAAACGTTACCATTTGAATTCAATAACATTAAATAATTAATAACTACATAATGTAAGCATGTATGGGTTTTAGAAAAATGTAGCATAGAGTTCAAAATATAAGAGTCAGGTTTCTCATATTTCCTATCATTTGTAATAGTTACCTTAGAATGCAATTATTTTAATAGGTATTTTTGGTTCACCAAACCCACTGGGAGTTTACCCAATGAATCAGTCCATCTCACATGTGTTTTCCAATGACGGTTAGATGTTGCAGTAAGAAGCAACACCTGTAGATCCCGTTAACATTCGATTAAAACCATTAGCATTGTGTTGTTAGCTAGTTATGCATGTTCCACTTGAGTGTATGAGCTTTTCAAATGGACAGCAGTGGTCTGATTCTAGTCTCCAGGGCTTATGTCATCATAGCAAGGACAGAACTGTACTCCATGATCTTTGGAGGAACTGATTCTTCCAGATGATGTTTGTGATGAATAATTCAAAGATACCCTCCGAATCATTAAGTTGAGCTGCACCACTCAAGCAAGCAATACTAACAAGAGGATGGCTAGGATGTTTAACTCACTGACAGTGTGTTCCCTAATTGTTCATCTCACAATTGTGTGTCAGGGATGGAGTGTCTGACCAGAGCTGAAGCAGACATTGTGTTGCTGGTGGATGGATCCTGGAGTATCGGACGAGCAAATTTTAGAACTGTGAGGAGTTTCATTTCTCGCATTGTGGAAGTCTTTGAGATTGGCCCCAAAAGAGTACAAATTGGTAGGTCCTGCCACTACAGAAGATGTTTGACATTTTCTTTTCATTAGTTTGTTTTATTATTATGTTTTCCCTTTAACAAAACCATCTTGATGTAGTTGTACAAAGAGATTTCAATTCCATAAGTCGGTTTCTGGGGACAGTGCATCTTGCTCAGTATCAACCCTTCCACCCTTCTCCCGTAATACTTTGGTATTATTTTAGCCCTTGCTCAGTACAGTGGAGACCCCAGAACAGAGTGGCATTTAAATGCTCACAGAGATAAGAAGAGCTTGCTGCAGGCCGTGGCGAACTTACCCTATAAAGGAGGCAACACCCTCACAGGTGAGTGAGGACTCTGGGCTGGTTTAGCTTGGGTGATTGATCAAGCCTGTGGCTGGAAAGGATGTGACTGGCTCTTTTTTTTTTTTAAACCCTGCACCCACCCCCTAGGCATGGCTTTGAATTTCATTCGCCAGCAGAGCTTCAAGACCCAAGCTGGCATGAGGCCCCGCGCTCGAAAAATTGGTGTTCTCATAACTGATGGGAAATCACAAGACGACGTGGAGGCTCCATCCAAGAAACTCAAGGATGAAGGCGTGGAGCTTTTTGCTATTGGTAAATACTGACAGGGAGAACTATGTCAAAGGGTCGAGAATGTGCTAAGGACATTCTTTTTTTTTTTGGTACGTAGAAAAATATTATCAGAAGCAGGAGAGAAAGAGATTTCCCATCACACAATTTATCAAATGATAGGCCAGGAAGTGAATGCATCATTTTCTTTTCTTCTTGGGGTAAGACCCAACTATGTGGCTTTTTCCTTTTCCTTTTCTTTTTTTTTCTGTTAAAAAGAAAGTAATAGATTCAAAGGAAGACTGTTCTATGAATGAGATTTGGGAGAATTCCTGTTTGGCTTTCCAGAGAATCATGCCTACTTTTAAATTTTACTTTTAATGTTTGGCTAGTTCTAGAGCGTGAACTCAGTGCCTTAAGCATCATAGCCCTAGTTATAGCTAGTTATTTTGGAGATACAATTTTCTCAGGCTTTTTGAACTGGTGATCCTCAGATCTCAGCCTCCTCAGCCTCCTGAGTAGCTAGGATTACAGGTGTGAGCCACAGGTGTCTGGACCATACACATGTGCACACACACACACATTATTTGTACACACATGTACTACTACTGTGACTTGAACTTGGGGCATTGAGCTCTTGCTTGGCTTTTTTACCCAAAGCTGGTGCTCTACCAGTTCAGCCACACCTTCACTTCCAGAGTTTTGCTAGTTAATTGGAAATAAGAGCCTCACAAGCTTTTTTTGCCCAGGCTGGTTTTGAACTACAATCCTCAGATCTCAGCCTTCTGAGTAGCTAGGATGACAGGCATGAGCCATCAGTGCCTGGCTCTGCATTTATTTTGATATCTATTATTTTTGCTATTTAATTTATTGATATCTATTATTTTACTTTACTTATTGATAAAACATTGATCCTAGAAGCATTTAGAGGAAAACAATTCAGAATATCTTTTAGATTACACTACTCTTTATTTCCATATTATACCTACTGTTAATCATTCTATTCCTGAAGGGAAATTATAATTTTTTATACATACATGCATATATATCTCCTAGTTAATAAGTTATTAATCCTTCATAGTTTGCCTAAAGCAGCCATCAATCAAAAAAGCTCTAAAACATTTGCCTCATTCCGTATTATTTTCAGAAAGACTCTTTTAATGTGTCCATTCTGTTTTGCAAGGTATTAAGAATGCTGATGAAGTTGAATTAAAGATGATTGCCACGGACCCAGATGATATCCATGCATACAACGTGGCTGATTTTGGGTCGCTCTCCAGCATCGTGGATGACCTCACCATTAACCTGTGTAACAGTGTCAAAGGGCCTGGTGAGTGCACCCTCCCCAGCTTCTCATCCTCCGCACGGCTCATCATTATTTTCTGGATAGGGAAGACGGTTGTTTTGTGCATGGTAAAATGTTTAGAAATACCTGACTCTCTGATATCAGCAGTATTACCATGAGATGGGACCATCCCAGATACCTTTATGATTGCGACCACTCAAATGGAAGGTTTTTGGAAAATGGATGATAAAATAATGAACCTTATTATATAAAAAGTTCTTTTTTTTTTTTTTTTGGTTGATCGGGAGGGTTGAACTCAGGGCCTGGGCCTTGTCCCTGAGCTCAAGGCTAGCACTCTCCCACTTTGAGCCACAGACCACTTTCAGTTTTCTGGTGTTTTTTGGAAATGAGAGTCTCACAGACTTTCCTGCTCGGGTTGGCTTTGAACCATGATCTTCAGATCTCAGCCTCTTGAGTAGTTAGGATTATAGGTGTGAGCTCCTGCACCTGGCTGAGGAAGTTCTTTTTCATGACATGGAGATTATGCAGTTATGTGGGTTTTGGACAAGTTAGAAGGAGTTCAACAGGTATTTTGGTAAGGAAAGTTCACACACTGAGGATAAAGGATATATATTTTGGAATGTTCCTTCTTGAATTTCTTTCTCTAACGTTGTTGCTGATTTTTTAATTTGGCTTTGCTAACTGTCTGCTAAGGGCAAGATTCTCCCAGTGGAGAATTACTGCATTTATCTTCATTTTTTGAGGGGGGGGTACCTCTAGCTCTTACTTGTCTTTTTCTCTCAAAGTTGGTCCTGTACACATGAGTCACACTTCCACTTCCAGCTTTTTGCTAGTTAATTGGAGTTGTTGATAGACTTTATTTTCTAAAGTGTGGTATCTGTTTCCAAATTCCTAATTTAAATAGAATTTGAAGAAAGGTATTGTTGGGTGCCTGTGGCTCATGCCTGTAATCCTAGCTACTCAGGAGGCTGAAATCTGAGGATCTTGCCAGCCCAGGCAAGAAAGTTCGTGAAACTCTATCTCCAATGAACCACCAGAAAACCAGAAGTAGTGTTAAGGCTCAAGTGGTAGAGCATTAGCCTTGAGCTCAAGAGCTGAGGGACAGTGCCCAGGCCCAGAGTTCAAGACCCATGACTGTCTGATTTGCTTGGCTTCACTATAGTCAAATCCAGATTTGACTTTACATTTGTCACCTGAAAGAGGAAGGAGAGTTACAGTTTTAGAATTTGCACTTTTAGAAATTATGTCATCTTTCTTCACTGGCAGAGAACCTGAGATTTAGAGAAATTATGTGACTTAGGATCAAATGGTGAGTGATGTTTTTAATGGGTCTTTGAAAAAGTACTCATGGATAAGCCATCTTTATAATTTATAATATATTTATAAGAACATTATAGACTTGAACTTGCCATGACAGAAATAATACAGAATGGTTAATGTTTGTATAAATCATAGGAAAAATATACTGAGCACCAATATAGAAGGATTTTGGAAAATTAACCATAAACATCATGGTGTTTATTATATTAGAAAATTTCTCTTAACTCCCAGTAGATTATGGTAAAACCATCCTTCCTGAATTTGTTACAGCTTTGGAAAAGTTGGGATGTGTTTAGAGAATTATGTGGCAGAAGCATATATTTTTGTGTCTTCTTGAGTTTCTCTCTCCAAACTTTTGCAAATTTTCTCTTTTGGATCTTGAACAACAGACTGACCTTTTCCCTGGAGAAATAGACCAGCTGGGCAGCCAAAATTTGTACGTTCTTGGCTCTGGAATAGCTGAGAGAGTTGTAGCTTTATTCAGTTGGAGAGAATTTTGAGTGAGGATGAAACCATCTTTTATCTATTTTCCTTTCTTTTTTTTAAAAAAATCAACTATGTAATAGTTGCATTTGTTCTAGTTTCCCAGACAGTAAAGCTGCTTGATAATTTTGCAAGCTTGTCTATGACTCAAAGTACAATAAAAGTTAGAAAATTAGGAATGAATCTGCCCCTCCCCCCACCCCAGTTCTGGTTTCTAAAGGAAGGAGAAGGAGTTTGTATGAAAATAATTTGCCACATTCATGGAGACAATGGCTCACTTTTTTTCTTTTTAAATGATTATTTAGAACATCTTCCTTCTGGTAATATTAAGTGTAAATATCTCATTGTTTTTATTATTTTTCTAGATATTGTTTTGTAGCTGTCACTCCTATCTACCCATAGAGCACAATCTTAGGCAGTGGGGTGTCTACATAATTTACAATACTTGTTTGTTTTCCTCCTCTCTTCCCCTCCCTTCCCATTTACTTTTTGTGCCAGTACTGAGGCTTGATCTAATGATCTTGAGCTCTCATTCAGCTTGTATGCTTCTGACTGGTACTGTACCATTTGAGCCACACTTTCAGTCCTCCTTTGTACTCTTTCTTGAGTGGAAAGCATTAGCTTGTCTATTACAGAATAAATAGGCAGTAAAAAACCACCCAACTCTATAAGGCTCCTAAACATGACTAAGACACCAATTTTAGAATGAATTCGTTGTGCTCATTCCCAAGTTGGGAATTACAGTTTGGGGCCAGCCTGGCAAAATTAGCTAGTCTCCCGTCTTAGCCAATAAGACAGATGCTGTAGTGTATGTCTTTCATCTGAGTTATTCATGAAGTGTAAATAGGAGGAATGTGGTATAGGCTGCCACCAGCATAAATGAAAGATCCTATCTGAAATGTAACTAAAGCAACAGAACTAGAGCATCTGCACAGCAAGAGCAAGGCCCTGAGTTCAAACCTCAGCCCAGTACTACAAAAGAGAAAAAAAAAGCAATGTTATCCTCACAAGACATCACTTTTGCCTATGGTATTTAAACATTAAAAAATATAATTTTATCCTATGTATAATAAAAATGGCAGCGAGGCCAATGGATTTGAGTGGTATCTCCATTTGACTGAGACAATGGAGAAACTCAGCTGTTGGGACCAGATTGATTGATTACCTGTATGATTGTAGAGAGGAAGTACTCGAGGATGACTCGGAGGTTTTGGGTTGGAGCAATTGTTTAACTGGTGGTGTCTCAAAGACGAAATGGACAGGTTGAAAGAAAGATGATGAACTCAGGTTTGAATCTTCTGGAGCTAAGCACCTGAGCTCTCATTATGCCTTCTGAGGGTCAGATGGGCAGTGGGCCTCCCTACCGACTTTGTGTTTACTGCATAAAAAGAAGCATGTAGCTGGGCACTGGTGGCTCACGCCTGTAATCAGGAGGCTGAGATCTGAGGGTCACGGTTCAAAGCCAGCCCAGGTAGGAAAGTCCATTAGACTCTTATCTCCAATTAACCACAAAGAAACCTGGAAGTAGTGCTGTGGCTCAAAGTGGTAGAGTGCTAAGCTTTGAGTGAAAGAGCTCAGAACCCAGGTCCTGAATTCAAGCCCCATGACTGACAAAAACTCCCCCTAGGGGCTGGGAAGGTGGCTCAGTGGTAGAGTGCTTGCCTTGCACGCATGAGGCCCTGGGTTCGATTCCTCAGCACCACATAAGCAAAAAGGAAAAAGCCGGAAGTGGCGTTGTGGCTCAAGTGGTAGAGCGCTAGCCCTGAGCTGAAGAGCTGAGGGACAACGCCCAGGCCCAGAGTTCAGGCCCCACGACCGGACCCCCCAAAAAAAAACTCTCCCTAATCCCCCAAAACAAAAAACCTACCCCAAACCCCAAACAACAAAAAACAAAGGATATAAAAACTTCCACTATGGAGATCATCCCTGTTTTATTCTAACTTGAAACAGCATCAGTTATTGATGAATAACGATTACCACGACCCTGGGTTAATGAGAATATTTCTGCGCTTTGTTTCACATGTAGGTGACTTGGAAGCACCTTCTAACTTAATTATTTCTGAGAGAACTCATCGTTCTTTTAGAGTGAGCTGGACTCCTCCTTCTGACAGCGTGGACAGATACAAGGTGGAATACTACCCTGTTTCTGGAGGGAAACGTCAAGAAGTAAGTAGACAGCCCTCTATCATTGGTCACTCATGGAGATTGGGCCCTGGAGGTGCAGGTTTGCAGGGGAGAGGCACAGACTGCGGAAAGAGGAGGGGACATGTTTCTCCTCCTTGGGAGGCAGCCACTTCTGTTTGGACATGGGAATAGAACTTGGCTTAAATCCTTACAAGTTCTCCAGAATTATACAGCATCCATGTGATTTTTATTATTTATTTATTTATTTATTATTTTTGTCTGTCAAGGGGCTTGAACTCAGGGCCTGGGTGCTGTCCCTGAACATTTTCACTCAAGTCTAGCACTCTACCACTTTCAGCCACAACGGACTTTCCTACCCAGGTTGGCTTTGAACTGAAATCCTCAGCCTCCTGAGTAGCTAGGATTACAGGCGGGAGCCACCAGCGCCCAACCATCTACCTGATGTTTAAAATTACAATTAGTTTTAAGATATTGATTTATTCATGAGTTTATACTAGAACTACCGAGTTGACAAGGAATATGAAAGATGATCTAGTTTTACTCACTTGTTTTGCAAGGAAGGACACAACAGGTGGGAGTATAAATTATGTTACTTACCTATGATTGCACTGTGAGCTAGTAGTTTTCCAAAAATGAGAGAGACAAAAAGAGACCTTCCTGCAGAGCAACTTCTGGACTCTGTGCAGGTGAACTGCCTTGCAAACATAGTAGAAGGAAGGGATCTGACTGTATCACATGTATTTTTAACATTTAACTTTCTCCCCCTAGTTTTATGTGAGTCGACTGGACACCAGCACTGTATTGAAAGACCTAAAGCCTGAGACTGAATATGTTGTTAATGTGTATTCTGTGGTGGAAGATGAATACAGTGAGCCTCTGAAGGGCACAGAGAAAACCTGTAAGTCAGATTGAGAGAGAGAGAGAGAGCAAGAGAGCGAGAGAGCGAGAGAGCGAGCGAGAGAGTGAGAGAGAGAGATTGATTTTCTCAGCATTCTATTTTTAGAGCTGATGGTCCATCTCAGATATTTGCCAGCCTTTAAAATCATTCTTTTATTCAATACATGTTCAACAGATATTTCTCAAGTGTTCTTTATTTCATGCAGATGTTCAACAAATACAATCTCCCCCCCCGCCCCCCCCCCCCCCACATTTTCTGGTTGCTCCTGTTGATACAACATCACATGGTGGAATTGGGAGGCCATGGCTGTAATAATTTAGAGGGAAAATAGCTTTAACATGGGTATTCATGGGCTTTTCTGTTCTCAAGAAAATGTCTTAAAATGCAATTTGATCTTTCAAGAGGATAATCCTTTAACCCTTACTCTAATAGTGACATTTTACTAAGTGATTAAGTTCTTCCAGGTTAAGGTATTGCAAGGCATCATGGGAGTAATGGACTTTAGCCTAGGAAGAGTTGCTTGCAGAGATGACTTGTTTTACCTCCTCGGAGGGTCACACATGCCTATTATCAATGAAATATTCCTATTTTTTTTTCTTCTGGCCTCTGGCTTTTATTAGTGAAGGTGTGATAGCTTTGACTTTGAGCAGAGCTTTCAGGGATGGTTTTTTTTGCTCCTGTTCCTGGCAAGGTTTCCAAGGTAATATGGAACTAGATTTTTCTTTCTTGGCTAGACATCAGGGGGCAGAAAGGAAGCCATTTGTAAGAGGAAGGAGAGAACACGGGTCCTTGTTAAGATCTCTTCTTTCAGGATCCTTTTTCATTAGTCCTCAAGAGATGGAAAAGATGTACTTTACAATGGGAAGACTTTGTTTTTAATTTAAGTTTTGTATCATTATTAGGAAGGTGATATACAAAGGCCTTAAAAGTTTTATATCAATCTTTGAACAAAAATATTGAAACCTACATGGGTGTTAAGTGAAGAAAAGATTGTAGACTTTTTATTGAACTCGTAAGCTTGAATTAAAATGTTTATAAGTCCTTTCTTCTCTATTTTTTAATGTGGGATACCCTCTAGCTATTTATATATTGTGCCAGTATGGGGGCTTGAACTCAGGGCCTCATACTCTTGCTTGACTTCTTCGCTCAAGGCTGGTGATCTTCTATTTCAGCCATACCTCCACTTCTAGCTTTTGTTTGTTAATTGGAGATAAGAGGCTCTCAGCTATCTCTGCTCCGGCTGCCTTTGAACTGAGATTCTCAGATCTCAGCCTCCTGAGTAGCTGGGATTAAGATATAAGCCACCAACACTTGGCTATATCCTTTTACTTATTTTTTCAAGAAATTGAAAATAAAGTACAGCACTTGGTATTTGTGTGTGAAATCCTGACAGAAGAACAAAAATGGTCCAGTTAAGGAAGTACCACCGAATAAAGTGTCAGGAAGCTAGGGTTTATTTTAGCTTGTGTGTGTGTGTGTGTGTGTGTGTGTGTGTGTGTGTGTACGTACACTGGTACACTGGTACTGGGACTTAAATTCAGAACCTTGCTCTCTTGCTCAGCTTTTTCACTCACAGCTGTCACTCTACCACCTGAGCCACTTCTCCAGTTGCTGTAATGTCATTTGCAACTTGAACTTTAACATGTCTTCCTCTGTGTAATGGTTGCAACATGCAAGGACCAGTGAGATTGGATTTGTATAAGGAGGATGGAGGAAGGGTTACCTCAAGTTTTTGAGCCACTCATTCTCGAGTTAGTATATGTAAATATCATCAAAGTGAGAAACAATGGGTCAAAACCAAGTGGATGGAAGGAACGAGACTGATGGCAGCTTCCATGTTTCTGTAGTGCCGGTTCCTGTCGTTAGCCTGAATATTTATGACGTTGGTCCCACCACCATGCACGTACAGTGGCAGCCTGTGGGAGGCGCCACTGGCTACACCGTGACACACCACCCTGTGAAGGCCCCGGAACCTACCAAACCCAAAGAGGTGAGCCATGTCTGTTTCTGCACCCATGGGCTTTCTGAAGAGTTTTCAGCTTTATAGCTCCCATTACATGGCAGTCATTTCTGATCTAATTTGTAATGTTACATACAGCAAAACAAAAACAAAATAAAAAAAAGTTAAGTTCATGATCTGCAACCGAGTTTACAAAATGTTGGCATGAAACAAAGAAATGGAATTCTTTCTTTCTTTTTATAATAGTACTGGGGTTTGAATTCAGGGTCAAGTACTTGCTATACAAGTACCGTGCCACTGAAGCACCCCTCCAGCCCTATTTCGTGCTGGCTGCTTTTGAGATAGGGTTTGCTTTCTGCTGGGGAGTCTGCAGTCCACCTATTTTTAGCCTCCCTGGGGTTGCTGAGATGATAGGCAAGATGCCATGGGGTACAGGTTCTCTCCGTGAAGATGGAACCTCACACACTTTTCTGTCCCCAGTGACCTGGAATTTGTTCCATCTCAGCCTCCCAACTAGCTAGGATTACAGGTGTGAGCCACCAGTGCCACAAGAAACGTAAATCTTACAAATGAAAAGTAGAAGATATGTTGTAATCTCGTGTGGACAAATAGACTTTAACTGGCTCTGGTAAGTGGACACACTTGACCTGAGTGTCTCCCCTTTGCATTTTCACACACAGATTCGAGTGGGGCCAACAGTGAATGATGTGGAGCTCACTGACCTCCTTCCCAACACTGAGTATGAGGTCTCCGTCCAGGCTGTCTTGCATGACCTCACTAGTGAACCTGCCACGGCTCGGGAAGTCACCTGTAAGATGCAGCTAAATGTTCATTAGAATCTTTTTTTTACATAATAATAGTGACAGTTTGATAATTCACATATAAATTATAGTTATTGCTTTGCCAAATCATATTTGAGAACAAATACCTTGATCCCAGATTTTATGGTAGAATCTTCACATAAATTGGTTCTAGGATTCACATTGGTTTTCCACATGGAGCACAGGGGATTCTGGGATGTCTGCTCAATGGTATCTTACCATTGGCTGGCAAGGTGCTAACGAAGGTACAGAATGAGAATTAATGGTGCAGCTTACAACTAATCTTGTTTTAGACCCAGGAAATACAGTACATATATAGGATGGATGAGAACAGGAGAATTGAATGTAGTTTTGGAGGAAGATATCTGAAGTTCAGATAAAAGATGTTCTGAGTTCTTGTTGAAGAAGAAACTATGAGAACAGAAATGTCTTTTTCACTTATATCAATTGATCAATTTACCCAGTCCCAAAACCTATTGATCTCCTATCATATGCCAGTATGTACACTTTGGGAATACACCACTAAATAATACAAAGCAATCTCTATGTGTGTATTCTTCCAGGGTTGGCAGTCTGTATTTCTAGTTTGTTTTACTGAGTATTAAGGTTGACTTTTTTTTAAGAAGTCGTAAAAGAAAGCTATTTGCTTTCCTAGTTTGGTTTCATTCTTAGAAAAGTGAACATCCTAGGACAGGTATTTGGCTTTGAAGTTTGACGAGTCCTATGCCCACATTTCTAAGGAAATGAAGAAATTCAGAGAAGCTTCAAGGGGATAAAAGCAGCTGAAGGTAGAGCAGCGAGGAGAAAGAGGTAGTACAGTCAGAATTCATGGATACAAGGACATACTTATTCATTATCTTTAAGATGTGAGACACCGCCAGGGCTGGTGGTCTCTGGCGGTCTGTGGAAGTTTGCTAGTGTCAGATGGAAAGTTGGGACCCAGCTCAGATTAGAAGTCTGTGATCCAAGAGTATTGAGAGGAAATGCTGAAGGCTCATACTAGGATGAAAGATATATGGGACCTCAGATTCCGGTAGAGCTGGACCGCAATAGTGGAGGAAAAGAGGGTGGAGAAAAAGGCAGACAGACACTGATGAGATTGGAGGTGCAGAAGGGTGGATGCATGCATAGTGACCCAGGAGGTCGGATGTGCAGAGTTGAATTGAGAGACGAGAAATAGTCAAGTGGGCTCTAAGGAGGAATGCCTCATAAACATTGTACTTGTCTAAGGCAAAATTTTGTTAGACTTGTTAGAATTTTGTGAGTTGGATTTTCTTCTACTCAGTTATGCATCGATAGCTTTCCTACAAACTTATTGGAACTAACTTCACACTCATAGTCAATTGTTTTGCTATCATATTCTTAAGGATAAGTAACTCATCTGGTTGGCCTGCCTGCCTGCCTGCCTTCCTTCCTTCCTTTGTTCCTTCCTTCCTTCCTTCCTTCCTTCCTTCCTTCCCTCCCTCCCTCCCTCCCTCCTTCCTTCCTTCCTTCCTTCGTTCCTTCCTTGGTTCCTTCGTTCCTTCCTTCCTTCCTTCACTTCCTTCCTCCCCCTCCTTTCTTTCTGTCCTTCCTTCTGTCCTCCCTCCTACCCTCCCTCCCTCCCACCCTCCCTCTCCTCTCCTCCTCTCTTCTTCACCCTCTCTTCCCCTCCCTTTCTCTCTTGTTTTCCTCCCCTCTCCCCCACTTTCCCTCCCATCTCTTCTCCTCTTACCACTCTCTCTCTTCTTTGACAGTAATTAGAGTTTGAATGCAGGGCCTAATGATAGAATCTTCTTATTTGAAGAAATGTGATTTGTACATTGATGGTAAATTCTCATCTACTATGGCTTAACAGAAAATTATTTACATAGAGTGGGAGACACTCACTCTATAAACAAGATGCTGTGTGATAAAATATATATCTGTGTGATATACAGCTAGGTGATAAAATTCACATCCTGTTTTCACTGGATTCATAAGAAGAATCCACCTCTTTTTGGTGGATTATGGATCAGAGCACTATTGTCATGAGAATCATTTCCAAGTGTTTCACTGAGTATCTTTAAGTTTTCTCCACGAGACTTCTTGAAAGCTTGTGTGGATGCTTCAGAGATTTGTGGTTGAGAACCACATCTGGATGTAATGTCTTGCCTTCTCCAGTGCCTTTACCCCAACCTCAGGATCTGAGACTGAGAGACGTGACTCACAGCAGCATGAACGTGGTCTGGGAGCCCGTGCTCGGGAAAGTGCGCAAGTACCTTGTTCGCTACAAGACTCCAGAAGAGGACTTCAAACAGGTAGGTTGAAGATGAGAAAGGGTTATTTGTTTTCTTAAAAAGCTTAACACAAGCCGTGTGCCGGTGGCTCACACCTGTAATCCTAGCTACTCAGGAGGCTGAGATCTGTGGATCACAGTTCAAAACCAGTCTGGGCAGGAAAGTCCGTGAGACTCTTATCTCCAATAAACCACTAGAAAACTGGAAGTGGTGCTATGGCTCAAGTGGTAGAGGGCTAGCCTTGAGCTGAAGAGCACAGGGACTGTGCCCAAGCCCAGAGTTCAAGCCCCAGGATCAACAGAAGAAAATAAAAAAGCTTAACACAATAACTCTACCAAGTATAGACAATAATATATGAATACTTCTTATGGTATATTATTTCTTTTTCTATGCCAGTACTGGGGCTTGAACTCAGGGTCTGGGTGCTATCCCTGAACTTTTGTGTTCAAGGCTCGTGCTCTACCACTTGAGCCACATATCCATTTTCAGCTTTTTTTGGTAGTTCATTGTATATAACTGTCTCACAGACTTTTCTGCCGGGCTGGCTTTGAATTTTGATTCTTAGATCTCAGCTCAATGAATACTAGCTAGGATTACAGAAATGAGCCACCCCATTGAATACTTGTTATATTATTAATGTAGAGTTGAAAACTTACAATGTTATTGAAGCACTTTTTGAAAATCAGCAATATATTGAACTGCATTGGATTTAGTTTAAAAATGATCTGCTGTGTAATGGTAATCTCAAAACTATCATTTTGTTATTGTTTTTGTGCTGGTGCTTGGACTTGAACTCAGGGCCTTGAACTTTGGCTTGGCTTTTTCACTCGAGGCTGGTACTCTAGCATTTGAACCCTCTCCTCCTAGCTTTTTTGCTGATTAATTGGAGATAAGAGTTTTACTGACTTTTCTGCCTGGGCTGGCTTTGAACTGTGATTCTTAGACCTCAGCCTCCTGAGACACTAGGATGACGGGCATAAGGCATTAGCGCCCTGCTTCCACATCATTTGTTACTGGATCAATGGTATTTTCTTTTCATCCAGATACCTTATATGGTACTCTACTTTCTATGAATGTCTACAAAATGTCATGATGTTTCTAAAAATAAAAAGCATCTCAGAAAAAAGAGGGGGAAGATTGTCAGATAATTGAAAAAGACAGGACAGTTGAGTAGGTAAGGAGAAAGGACACAGAGTTAGAAGAGTGGCCCTTTGGGAGATGATGATTGGGTAGAGCTGTTTGAATGACAGCTGATTCAAAGGAGGGACAAACTGAGGGAACTTCCCAAGCAAATGCATTTACAACTTGGGTAGACTGAATGAATATTAATGTGAGACTCTCACAGGCATTTTTGGAACATAGAAATGGTTTTTCCAACCAGTCAATTATTTAGACATGCAGTTCATTTGTGGATTTTACAAAACCTAATTTATACTTACGAGCCCATTCCTTCCATTCTGATTTTCCATTTCCAAAGGGGTATAAAGGCGTTGGGGCCTCAGAAAGATCTTATGGGCAGCAAATTGAAAGAAACAAGGTACTGACTTAAAGAGATAAGAGGTTATTTGAATTCATATCCAGTCATCATTTGCCAAGCAATTGGGTTAGATACGTTTCCACTTTGGAAACAGTTGAATGGTGTCCAGTTTATAGAATCTTTTTTAAATTATATTTTTTATTGTTATTATTAAAGAGTTGCACAAAGGGATTATAATGCTTTAAGTCAGATAATGAGTACAATGTTTCCTTTGCTCTTCTCCTCCTCCTCATCCCCCCCCCCCATAAGTTGCATAGGTCATTTGTTGCAGAGTGTATATTGAATACTACGACTGCATTTGTTCACCCTTCCTTCCTCCATCATCAAAACACCATGTTTTCATTTCCTGGAATTCTGTTTTGATAAGTAGTATTTTAGATATTCAGAAGCCTTTGGGTTTCTCCGCTAAGTGTATTCTCCTTCAGTCCAGTTGGATTCTTAAGCACATTGAAAATGTCTGCTTTTCTTTGGTGTTGTAACCTAGCGCTCCTGTTGTTATGCTGAGAGGGACAGGCAGCACTGGGGAGAAGTCAAACCAGGCCCAGGGTCTAACGAAGTCTTTCCCCTGCTCTGTGGCCGTTCCAGGTGGAGGTGGATAGATCGCGAGCCAGCACCACACTCAAAGACCTCTTCTCCCAAACCCAGTACACAGTCAGCGTGTCTGCCGTGTACGACGAGGGTGAATCCCCGCCAGCGACCGAGCAGGAGACCACCCGTGAGTCCTGTCCGTGCTTCATTGGAGCCATATTTTGTATTCATATGTAACTCCACTGGCTTGGCTTTCTTATTTTTTTTTTTTTGTTCAAGGCTGGCACTCTACCACTGGAGCCACACCTCCAGTTTTGGCTTTTTGGTGGTTCACTGGAGATAAGAGTCTCATGGACCTTCCTTCCCAGGCTGCTTGCAACTACAATCCTCAGATCTCTGCCTCCTGAGTAGCTAAGATTACAGATGTGAGCCACCAGTGCCCAGCTGTGGTCCTGTAAAGAGTTGTTTTTTTTTCTCCCTTCAGAAAGCAGAGATATTTATTTTTCCACAGATTGTTTCTCCAGTGCAGAGTCTGGCACATAACAGTTTAATCCAGTGCTCAGAATGTAATTATGAAATAAGTGTTCAATAATAACCTAATCCAAATAATGATAAAAAAATGAAGCCTAGAGCCAACAGTGTTCACAAAGCATACTGAGAACTGTATATAAAATTAAATATTTCTAATCTTTCCATTAAAAGATAAAAAGCGACAGGAGGAATGGTTTTTAATCATTATTACTAGTTTTGTGTGTTACTGAGGATTGAACTCAAGATCTGGTGTTGGCTAAGTAAGTGCTCTACTATTGGAGTCATGCCTCCAGCCCTTTTTGGCTCTGGTTATTTCTGAGATATGGTCCCAATTTAGCTGAGGTCAGTCTGGCCCATGATCCTTCTGTTTATGCTACTTACCATAGCTGGGATGATAAGTGTGTACCACTTAGCTGAGCTAGCTATTGGTTGAGATGGGACTATGGAAACTTGTTGACTAGACTGGGTTTCAAATCATTATCCTCTAGCCCTCAGCTTCCTAAGTAGCTAGAATTACTGACTCAGCTTGTTTGTCAGGCAGGGTCTACTTACTTTTGCCTGTACTGTGTTCCTCTTGTCTCAATCTCCTGAGTAGCTGGGGTTATTTTTCAAAGGAACTGAATTGGTAAAATATTGGCTCCAAATGCATTCATTCAATGTTCTCCATGCCCACTGAAAATAAAAACAAAGCTGTTCTAGTATATTAGATTACATTTGTAGTTCAAAGTTAAAAACTAAGGCCTGCTTTTTCTGCAATAGGACCTGTTCCAGCTCCAACCAATCTAAGGCTAACCGAGGTCACCCCAGAGAGCTTCAGAGGGACCTGGGAGCATGGCGCTTCAGACGTCTCTCTCTACAGAATAACCTGGGCGCCAACTGGCAGCTCAGATAAAATGGAGGTAGTGCTGTCTCTATCTCTGTTTCTGTTTCTCTCTGTGTACATTGAATTTTAGGAAAGCCTGAGTGAAATAGATTGTACTTTATTAGCCAGATAATTATGTTTTCCTAATAGTGATACACACACACACATATACACATATATATTTTGGTGGCATTGGGGTTTGAACTCAGAGCCTTGCATTTGCTAGGCAGATGCTCTACCACTTGAACTGTGTCCCTAGTTTCCTACTAGAGATTGTTAGGCTCATGTAAGCATAAGAATGCAGGATCATCTCTTCCAAATGATGCCAACAAATGCCACTGAATATGTATAATATTAATTCTTTTTTTCTGTTCTTTTTTTGTAATATGAATTTTTTTCTGTTTTTTTGGGGGGGTTCTAGTTCTGGGGCTTAAACATAGGGCCTGGGTTCTGTCCTTGAACTTTTTTTTTCATGGTTAGTGCTCTACTGCTTGAGCCACAGCTCCACTTCTGGCTTTTTTTTGGTGGGGGCGATTATTGGAGATAAAAGTGCTATGGACTTTCCTGCCCAGGCTGGCACTGAACTGTGAGCCTCAGATCCCAGTAGCTAAGATTATAAGTGTGAGTCACCGGCTCCTGGCTCATAAAAGGATTCTTGATTTTTTTGGCGGGGGGGTCTGGTTGTGGGGCTTGAACTCTGGGCCTGGGCGCTGTCCCTCAGCTCTTCAGCTCAAGGCTAGCGCTCTACCACTCAAGACACAGCGCCACTTCCGGCTTTTTTCTTTTTGCTTATGTGGTGCTGAGGACTTGAACCCAGGGCCTCATGCATGCAAGGCAAGCGCTCTATCACTGAGCCACCTTCCCAGCCCAGAATTCTTGATTTTTGTGTGCATATTCTTTTGTCCTCTCTCTCCTAGACCATCTTAAATGGAGATGAAAATACCTTGGTGTTTGAAAACTTGAACCCCAATACTCTCTATGACGTTTCCATTACTGCCATCTACCCTGACGAGTCAGAGAGTGATGACCTGACTGGCAGTGAGCGCACACGTAGGTGTTCAGCATTCAGGTTGTCTGTTAATAGTTTAAAGTGAAGTTTTGCAAAACAGACCCACAGATGTATTAATACTGTTTCCCCTATTCTGTTTTCTTCTAGTGCGCCTGATACCCTTAACCACCCAAGGTACGAATTTAGGTTGCTGAATTGCTTGCACAAAAAGTAACAAGTGCACAAGTAATACCCTGGAATACATCATGAGCAGGCTGCTGATTAGTGTTGGGCAGGGCCTCTTTGTTTTGGAATTTTTTAAAATTATCTTTAAGTAGTTATACAAAGGAGTTGCCAGTCACTAAAGTAGTTTATGACTACAGGGTATCTTGATCAACCCCTTTCAACATTCTCACCCACCCCTCTTAGCTGCCCCCTTCCCTTAATTACCTGAATTTCAGGTTATGTATTGAATTATTTTTTGCCATTGACCAAAGCAGTTATATATACAATGCATTTTGATCTGTGTCATCACATCTTCACCTTCCTCACCCTTGGACCGACTCCTTCCCTTATATTTCTTAATTCTGCAACATATACAATGAGTTATTACCTGCCTTCTTCCCCCTTCTACCCTTCATCAGGGCCTCTTTTAAGCAGGCTTGACCCCTGAACTAGTATTACTTGCATTGGTTGAAGAAGGTATCAGTTAGTGTGTTCTGCTATAACAAACGTCAGGCTAGATGACTTCAACAAGCAAAGTTTATGTTCTTGTTAATTATGGAGAAGGGGATGTTCAAGATGAAGATCTCAGCCTCTTCTGTTCCTGGTCATGAGAGCTTTGTTCCCAGCTTGTACAGCTGCCTTCTCCCTGTACTATCCCATGACTGGGAGAGATGAGCTATCAAGTCACCTCTTCTAGAAGCCAGTCCCCTTCTGAGATCCCTCCATCATCTACTCTCACAATCACCGTTGGAAGACCCTATTGTCTTAAGTCTGGAGCTTTAACTATATGGGTGGGTTCATACATTCAGTCTGCATCAGCCTGTCATTGAAGAGTCGATGGCCGTCTTCATTAGAAGCTCACATTTAATTGTTGAGCTCAATTCTTTTGGTTTCCTTGGGAGCCATACATACTTCGGGGTGTGCAGTGGGGAGACGTTGTCCTGTGTGCTCACTCTGTTGTCCGCAATCTTCTTTCAGCTCCCAAAAGTGGCCCACGAAATCTTCAGGTCTACAATGCAACATCAAACAGCTTGACGGTTAAATGGGACCCTGCTAGTGGCCGTGTGCAGAAGTACAGGATCACTTACCAGCCTTCCACAGGGGAAGGAAATGAGCAAACGGTAATTCGTTTTGTAAAACCCTTTCACTTGGAGAGATTCTACTTGTTTCTCTCCAAATCTCTTTCTCCCTCAGTGTTTAGTCATAGTTATTTTTCGAGGAATGCATGAGTCCCCGTGTTGAATGGGCTCCTGGGACTACCGCTGGTGCTCAGCCAGCACAGTTGGCATGGAAACCTAGTGATGCTTTTCAGAGTGGCCTCATAGTTTCAGGCATTCACTTCAAAGCACCTACCTGTCTCTCACAAATGATTAGCACTCGATTATTCATGTCTGGATAGTTTTTGAGTCCATGTAGATCTCATCTATCTAACTTAACAAAGAACTGAAAGCTTGCTAAACCTACTTAGAAGGTTTATTTTCTTTCACTTATCCCAATCATTCTGCATTTGCATGTTATAGGGTATCTTTTTTGTTATGTTCTTTTAAAAGAATCTGGAGATTTTAGTCATCAGTGTTTTGTTTCTGACTAAGATACAAATCATTGGAAACACTGAAAATTCTTTCCTTAAAATTTTGTAAGCTTGAGCTGGGTACCTGTGGCTCACCCTTATAATCCTGATAACTCAACAGTGGCCAGGTTCTGAGTTCAAACCTCAGGACTCTCATTTTTTTAAAAAAAATCATAAACGTACTGTGTCATTAGAGTGAAAAGAGCAAATATCTGTGTTAACATACATTAATTATACAAGGAACTTCATGTGATATTTCCACACCTGCAGATGATGGATTTTAATCAATTTCCTTATAGAGTATCTTCTAGATCTAGTATTTTTAGGCCTGGAAATTCATCTGACAATATTTATCATTTTTATATTATTCAAATAGAAGCACCCCCAGGAAGATGATGAGACTATAATCTCAACTGTCATCTTTTTTATCTTCCCATTCTTCCCTCCTAGGTAGAGCCTTTGTCCATTCACCTCACTAACTTCAGCTGTGTGTCTGAGTTTTACCATCTTTGTCTTTTGTAAGGTGCATGACTAGACATACCTAGATTTCTTATGTGCAGAAACTATATGATATCTATACAGATATGGTAATACTTTCAGATTTACTTCAAATATCTCTTTTAGTAATGTCAAGAACTTTACTGATATGTATGTATGTATATATGCATGTGTGTATGTCATGAATGTGTATGTGTGTGTGGGTGCGTGCTTGTATGAAGGGATAACATCTCCTGAGTATACATATGAGTTTTTTATTTTCAATCATCAAACTTCCCGAGCTTTAGAACATAAATCTCCTCTTTTCCTGGTTCAGAGATGCTCCCAGGGGTTGAGTTGTGAGAGCAAAGGTCGCTATTTGTTCCTGCATTTAGCAGGGACAAATAGCTGGATCAGAAACTCTTCTACTCCATTTTAATGCTGCTTTATGAATAAACTAAAAGTAATAAATCATTAATACCAGATTTATTTTGGAGAGTGAATGGGAGAAGTTAGTAGACACCCTTTGGCTTACTTTGTAAGACTGGTTGTCCTCAATAGATCATTCCTCATTCGTTATAAATCAAAGCTTTCTAAAGATGGCTTGTACTAACATGGACACTTCTTTCCTTTTATAATGTCAGACATTCATTACTTTTGAAATTGGCTGCTGTAGTCCCCCTTGTTCATATCGAGCATGACTGTAATGTTTCCCTGAGCTTGCCTCTGCAGCTGGAAGCACGTGGGTGGATGGGTGTAATCGGAAAACATCTGGTTGGTACCAGTGCATCTCCTGATGCTCTCCTTGTGGGCAACATGCCATTTTCATGTGCTTTTAATTAATATGGCACGAATGTCTGAATTCAGTAGACTGTTAACAAATTGTACAATTTTCCTTTCATCAAGGAAGCTAGATGGCCCCAAGCAACGAGTACGGAAGCCTTCAAACTCCATAACTGGAGGGAACTGAAGAGCTTTGTACCTCAAGTGTGGTACCAGGCAGTGCATGCCAGTGCACGATTGGCAAAGGGTCTGCCCACCTCGCTACACAGTGAATACTGTGAGAATGGCAGTGTTCTGAGGAAACACTAAAAGCTATGGATCTTTGACCAAATCACTTCAGTGTGTTTCTAGAGCAAGTAAAGAACATCTGTAAGAATAATACAGAACGGTGTGGAGCCTTTCAAATCATGCAGCTCTTGGCTCTTGGATGTCTTACGTCATTTTGTAGCTCACTTGTGATTAAATTTTTTTTTTTTGGGGGGGGAGAAGTGTTCTGAAAAAATGTGTTTTGGATGAGACTTTGCAGTACTGGCAGCTTCCAGGTTGAAATATCTTTTTAAGGTCACCAATTTATTTAATTTTACATACAGTTTTATTTTATTTCAATTGAAGTATGCACATGTATATTTATTTAATTTCATTCAGAGCAACTTTACTTGTAATAGCCAAAAGCTGTAAACAATCCATATACCCTCTAATGGGATAAAGGATAAGGAAATAAATAATTTCTTTTTCTATGTAATCATTTACCACTCAGTGAAAGAATGAAAGAAGCGTCAACTTGGGTGAATGTGAAAGACATAATCCTTCGTGGGTAACTTCTAGTTTCAAAGTATTCCATGCTGTTGGGTTCCATTTATTTTGATGTTCTCAAAGAAACAGGTGGTTCTGATGATGGAGAAGGTCACCAATATACATCTTGGAATTCTTTCTTTATTCTAAGGTATATATGTTATATTTACAATGATACCATAAGATACGAAAGATAGTAAGCTTTCCATGGGGACATCCCCGCAGGACTTGGCACAGGGTTCACCCAATTATTCTGTAGCAGGAGTAATGAGAGATGGAGAGAACATGATGAGCTAATACTTATCAAACCTGTTCTTCCCTAGACCACTATAGGTGGACGGCAGAGCAGCGTGGTCTTGCAGAGGCTGAAGCCAGACACTCCTTACACCATCACTGTGTCCTCCCTGTATCCTGATGGGGAGGGCGGCAGGATGACTGGAAGAGGCAAGACAAGTAAGTTAGACCACACTCCTTCCAGCGTTTATTATTTTTGTACCAGTCGTGGCGTTTGAACTCAGAGTCTCGGCACTGTCCCTGAGCTCTCTTGCTCAAGGTTAGCAATCTACTTCCAGCTCCAGTTTTTTGGTGCCTCATGGTCTTCCCTGCCCTGGCTGGCTTGGAACCACACATCTCAGCCTCCTGAGAAGTTAGGATGACAGATGCGAGCCACCAGCACCTGGTCTCTGCTAAGTGATTTCTGTGCATTTCAGAGCCTTTGAACACTGTGAGGAACCTGAGAGTGTACGACCCTTCTACAAGCACCCTGAGCGTGCGCTGGGATCACGCGGAGGGAAACCCTCGACAGTACAAGCTCTTCTATGCACCAACAGCTGGAGGACCCGAGGAATTGGTACATATTTACTGTGGTGAAAAATGGTAGTTTGTTTAAACCACAGCCAAATGACTTGAAGGAGTTCATCCATTTGCTTTAGAACTGAAGAAGTTCTTATGAACACAGTAGTACTCCACGAAGGGCCAATATGTGATGTCTTAGAGTACGGGGAGAGGGAAGATGGTGGGATTGGTGGTGGCGAGAAGAATATTCATTCTGGAAAGTAACAAAGAGGAAGTAAGGGTTATAAATCAGTCATTATTTTGTGTAACAGTTCACTTGAAAGCAACTACTATGATACGGTTGGAAGTGTTCTTTCCTTTCCACGTTTTTCCAAATCAAGTGCTCTGTGTTTTATTCAAATCTCTAGGTGCCAATCCCTGGGAATACCAATTATGCCATTCTTAGGAATCTTCAGCCAGATACCCCATACACCATCACCGTGGTTCCTGTTTACACCGAGGGCGATGGGGGCCGCACCTCCGACACAGGAAGGACGTGTAAGTAAGAGAGCAAGACAATGAACTTTCTATTGGAGAGGCATCCAAATGGGAAAATTAAAACCATAAAATAATAATAATAATAATCCATATAAACCTCTCAGACACTACTGATGGTGGTTAACTTTTTGGTGAATGAACTCATATGTTTTGATTTTTAAATGACAACTATGGATTCATTAAAGGTGTATATATTTACTAGTGCACAATTTTAGTTATTGTTTTTCATTAAAAATTTGATCTGGGCATTCACACCTATAATCCTAGCTACCCAAGGTGAGATTTTTTTTTTGGTCGGTTGTGGGGCTTGAACTCTGGGCTTGGGTGCTGTCCCTGTGCTCTTCAGCTCAAGGCAATTGCTGTACTGCTTGAGCCACAGTGCCACTTCCGATTTTCTAGTGGTTTACTGGAAATAAGAATCTCACGGACTTTCCTGCCCAGGCTGTCTTTGAACCGTGATCCTCAGATCTCAGCCTCCTGAGTAGGTAGGATTACAGGTGTGAGTTACCAGCACCAGGGCCCAGGCTGAGATGTGAGGATAGCAGTTTGACACCAGCCTGGGCAGACATATCTGAGAGATTCATCTTTAGTTAAGCAGCAAAAAACCAGAAGTAGGGGTATTGCTCAAGTAGTAAAGTGCCAGCTTTAAGGAAAAATAAAGTTAAGGGAACATTAGTCCCTGGGGTTAAGCACTCAGCACTCAGAGAGTTTTATTTTTCAAATTTTTAAATTGAGTTTTGCTCTGTCTAATAAATTTGTGTGAGACCCCATTTCACAATAGGTTTCACAGTCTAAGTTTTTGAGATCTATCCATTATATTACTTGATTATGCATTTCTCTAGTTTGCTGGTAAAGTGCTTTTTGGAGTTAAAGAAATTTCTTGAAAAATTAGCCTAAAAGTTTTTGTTACTTGCTTTAAGTCCTGTTTAAAGCTTTTGTCCATACTTGCAATTAGGTCTTTGCATTTTAAGTATATAGGTGGCTTTGTTTGGTGGAAGATTAGTGGTCTAGAAAGATGATATTATTGGCTAAACTGGGGTTTGGTGCTCGTATGGATTTAATGTATGAACTTCTCTAAGTCTTTGTTGAAGGAAGTTGAGAAATGAATGTGTCTTATTTCTGTTTCTGTGTGCCTTTTTTCTTAATCACAGAAGTGATTCTGTGGCTATTTTGTTGAATCCAGCAAGAATGACTGAAGTTAGCTGATTGAATTTTATATATAAGTTCCCATAGTTAGAAGGCAGGCCCTATAAAATCCTTCTGCTTTGCATTTTCTGTGGAAACTGAAGCTTCTTTTCCTTTTCCTTTTCTCTTTCCTTTTTTTTTTTTTGGTTCGGTCGTGGGGCCTGAACTCTGGGCCTGGGCGCTGTCCTCAGCTCTTCAGCTCAAGACTAGCACTCTACCACTTGAGCCACAGCACCACTTCCAACTTTTTTCTTTTTGCTTATGTGGTGCTGAGGAATTGAACCCAGGGCCTCATGCATGCAAAGCAAGCGCTCTACTACTGAGCCACCTTCCCAGCCTCTCTCTTTCCTTTATCCTACGTACCTTTCTGGCCAGTCCAATTCTTCTACTCTACCTGACTTGTTTTGCTTGCTTCCATCTTAATCGACACACACCACAGTTGGCTGATTTTGACTGACTGGATTTGGAGCATTTCAATGTGCTTTTGTGTGTAGATAGAAGTTTAAAGCGGAGAGGTATTTTCTCCTATGATGGTGTTAATTGTGGGAAAGTGTTGAAAAGCTCGGAATCAGACTTAAGACACAGGCATTGGCTTTTATTTCCTCAGTGGTGAGAGGTCTAGCAAGAAATGTGCAAGTGTATAATCCCACACCCAATAGCCTGGACGTCCGCTGGGACCCTGCACCCGGGCCTGTGCAGCAGTATCGCATTGTGTATACTCCTGTGGCTGGCACAAGACCCTCGGAATCTGTAAGTAATTCTGCCACTGTAAGGACTTTGTACATTCTGCTTTGGCCTCCGCTGGCTGCGAGCAGTGAGCCAGTTATTGGTGTATCATTGCTTGTCATAGAAACTGCATTTCCCAGTGAATGTCAGCACATGCATGAGTCATGTTGGATAGCGTGTGAGAAGACAAACCACAAACACACCAGTGTAGAATTCCTAAGTGATTATTTTTGATGAATGAAAACAGGTATGTCAATTACAAGGTTACTCAAGACAAAGAACTTTAGGAGTAGGCAAATTAGTTCTGAGTTGAAAACTTCAGTAATAGATGCAAATCATTGCTAAGCTTTGTCAATATGGGCTTTGTTAGAAGGTACAAATGCCCTTGTTAGGAAAATATGCCAAAGTGTGCCTTTATTAGCTCTTAGAAATTGCAGTCTCTCTTCAAGTCATAATTCAATTCACTTTTGTCATTAGAATGATAATTTACAAATCAGAAATTATAAGGTGACTAGAAAGAGTATTTGAATAACTTAAGAGGAGAAAAATCAATGTATAGGCTAATTTAACTTACAAGTTTTTGCAAAGATAAATAGTGAGCAAGCAAAGATTAACAAATGAGCCTGGTGTGGTAGCTCTCACCTGTAATCTTAGTTACATAGAAGGGTGGAATCTGAGGATCCTAGTTCAAAGCCAGGTTGGGCATGAAAGTATGTGAGACTCTTATCTCCAATTAACCAATAAGAAGTCAGAAGTAACACTGTGGCTCAAGTGATAGAACACCAGCCTGAGCAAAAAAGCCAAGTGAGAGAAAGAGGCCCTGAGTTCAAGCCCTAGTACTGGCACATGTGTACGTGTGTGTGTGTGTGTATGTGTGTGCGCGCACATGCATAATTAGTAAATGGTAATGAGCAACATGTGTTTTCAGTAAAAGTATTAATCTCCTTGTCCATGTGTTACTTGGACAGATTTAGACAAGTTACCCTTATCTACCCTAAGGAATTGCTTCTATCTTAATGGAAAGTCAGCCTCTGGCTCAGGTAGGGAAGTCCCTTCTCCCATGAGAACATTCAGGATGTTTTTGGGGTAAATATTGTTACCCCTAGAAGTTGTACTGGTGAAGTTTCCTCATACACATCCACGAGAGAAAATGGAAGCAACTAAGAGTTAAGGACTTCTTTGGAAAGGGAGTTCTGAGGGTAGAGGGCACATAGTAGCGCGGCCTGGGCAGGTCACAGGGGAAAAGACACGGGGGTTCTGACATGTCTAGGCTCAGCCTTTCATTGTCAATATCATTATGCTGACTAACCAAAGACTCAGGAAGCATTTGGTTCACGGCCAGGTAGAATTGAACATTCTCTCCTCTGCAGATGGTGGTGCCGGGAAATACCCGCACAGTGCACCTGGAGAGGCTGACTCCTGACACTCCCTACTCTGTGGATATTGTGGCTCTCTACTCGGATGGAGAGGGGAACCCCAGCCCCAGTCAGGGGCGAACACGTGAGGCGAAAATCCTTCTGCACCCCTACTTGCTTGTAGTTAGATTAGCATGCTTCTTGCCATGAGTGAGGAGTTGATGTTGGGTGGAGAGAGAGAGTTTTCCTCTGGGCAGTTCATGTGATGTCAGCCTGCGTCCCATCCCAGTGGAATCTACAGTCCATGGCAAACTTCTGTGTTGAATGAAGCTGGTTACTTGGTATTTTTTTTGTTTTTTTAAATTTTGGTCAGTTGTGGGGCTTGAACTCTGGGCCTGGGCACTGTCCCTGAGCTTTTCAGCTCAAGGCTAGCGCTCTATCACTTGAGTCATAGCGCCACTTCCAGTTTTCTGAGTGGTTAATTGGAAATAAGAGACTCATGGACTTTCCTGCCCCAGCTGGCTTTGAACCGTGATCCTCAAATCTCAGCCTCCTTAGTAGCTAGGATTCCAGGTGTGAGCCATTGGACAAGTGTTCACTCTATCCCCAGTGGGGCATTCTGGGTGGGTGAGGAGTGGAAGGGGTTTTTCTGCTCTGCCCTGCAGTGGATCTTCTCCTCACCAAGTGAGCACTTTTGCCTCCAGCTTTCATTAAACATTAAACTAGCTGAGCTGGTCATGCTGTCAGGAAAGCCACAAGTACTCCTGTGTTATGGCTGGGTGCTGGTGGCTCCCACCTCTAATCTGTCTGAAGATTGAGGTTTGAAGCCAAACCTCCATTAGAAAAAGTCCATGAGACTCCTGTCTCCACCTAACCACCAAAAATGCAGATCTGCGGCTCTAATGGTAGAGTGCTAGCCTTGAGAGAAAAAGCTAAAAGATAGTACCCAGACCCTGAGTTCAAGACCCAATACTGACACCCTCCTTTCCCCCCCACTCCCCGCAATTCTGTGCTTTCTTTAGTTCCTCGAAGTGGACCAAGGAACTTGAGGGTCTTTGATGAGACCACGAACAGCCTCTCCGTAGCCTGGGATCATGCAGATGGGCCGGTTCAGCAGTACAGGATCATTTACTCTCCCACTGTTGGCGATCCGATCGATGAATATGTACGTGTGATGATGCTCATTTATTCACGTACTTCATAATGTTAGGCAGCTGGAGTGTGAAATTAAACTTCTTTTCTAGAAATGTGTGGTGACTGGAGTGGAGTCTTTGACCTTCATGGAGCAGTCACATTTTACACAGCTTTTGCCAGGATGACCGGATGCTCCTGCAATGTTTTGGGGGGCTCATTTCTATTTGAAAGATTGATTGACAAGTGGTCTTAGTTATGATCAATCACTTGAACATTTCTAACTACCTAGTTGTGTCATAGGAGGAATGAAGTCTAGTGAAATACTATATCAGCTAATCTGGAATGACTGTTCATATCCTATGATGTGATTATTTAAATCTGACTCTCTCTTCAGATCTAAGTCCTCTACAAGTTCTGCCTTCAATACTCCAGGGCTAATTGATCTCTCCTTTCTCTAGACACTTTGCTCAGAACTTTTTTGTTGTTGTTGGTGGTGGTTGTGAAGTTTGAACTCAAGGCCTCAGAGCTGTCCTTGAACTCTTTTGCTCAAGGCTAGCATTCTACCACTTTAAGCCACAGCTCTACTTCTGGTTTTCTGATAGTTAATTGGACATAAGAGTCTCACGGACTTTCCTGCTTGGGCTGACTTTGAACCACAATCCTCAGAATCTCAGCCTTCTGAGTAGGTAGGATTACAGGTGTGAGCCACCAGCGCTCAGCTGCTGTTCAACACTTTTGAGTTAGTTCCTTTTGTTTTGTGTGCTTGGTGCTCTATCATATGAGCCACACTTCCACTTTTGGCTTTTTGTGGCCAATTGGAGATAAGAGTCTCATAAACTTTACTTCTTCAGGCTGACTTTGAGCCACCACCCTTAGATCTTGATGAGTAGCTCCTGAGTAGCCAGGATTACAGGCATGGTTTGCCTGTGCCTAGATAATCTTTTCTTAATTATTAATTTGAAGTGCTAGGGATTGAATCAGGTCCTTGGGTCATGCTAAAAAATTCTCTATATTTTGTGAGTGTCATATTTTATCTCTCCAGACCTAGCTTCCTCATAGCTGTCCCTATGTATGTAGTTAGGTTGTGGATAGAAAACGACTTCCATTGAAGTTTAGTGATTAGATGCTAGAATATGCTCACAGAGCCCACAGTGGTTATTGAAGTTGGGTCTGGAGTTTACAATCCATTTAGATCATGATTCTCCATGCATACCACTGAGGAAGTATTTCATCAAGTGGCCAAGGGTGACTCACACCTGTAATTCTAGCTTCTCAAGAGACTGAGATCGGAGGATTGTGGTTCAAAGCCTGCCCCAGCAGAACAGTTTGTGAGACTCTAATCTCCAATGTCAGAATTGGAGCTGTAGCTTAAATGAGAGAGTATTGAGGGAAAAACCTGAGGGACAGCATCCAGGCCTTGAGTTCAAGCCTCAGTACTCTCTCTGTCTCTCTCTTTCTCTCTCACATGCTTATATACTCAAACTTGGTATAAGTAAGCTTTAATTGAATGTCACCTTATTATTAATAATAAACATCTGCAATTGCCATTTACATTTTTTTTATCAAATTGAGATATTCATATTATTTCATTCTTACTGCAGTTAGTTTGCCAAAGTTTTTTTTTTTTAGCCTTCAATGTCCACGTGTTGTGGACAAATATGCAACCTTTCTTTCCTATCTGAAAACATGGAACACATTTCTCTTGCCAATGTACTGTTTTTAGTTACAGGATCACTGGCCTAACTAATCCATAGCATTTGTAAAAGCAACTACAGGTTAAAGAGAAACTGAGAGTGATGATTTGCTTCCTCTTTGAGGAGCTAGTTGAATGGATTTTCCATGTCTTCCTTCTGTCTTTTTTTCCTAACTGGTGTTACCTAGAGGACAGAAATTGTGTCCACTTTTATACCCTGTGGATTCTTAGCAGCTAATTTCCAATGGGTATTTGGTATATAGTTTTGAAGTACTAGGTAAAAACCAGAATGTGCAACAATGGAACATTTTTTTTTGGTCAGTCATGGGACTTGAACTCTGGGCCTAAGCGCTGTCCCTCAGCTCTTCAGCTCAAGGCAAGCGCTCTACCACTTGAGCTACAGTGCCACTTCCAAGAATGTGCAACAATGAAACATGCCAAACTTACTATGGCAATGCTGGAATACTCGGTAAAATGGCTGGAGGCATTCTATACCTTACTGCCCTTCATCTCATAGTCTCCTTCAAAGATGCTAAGTCACATGGTTTCTTAGTAGCTGATCTGTCTCTTGAACCCAGAACTGTCAATCTGAAAGTGTTGCGTAGAGACAGGGTAGACAATGTATCTTGCAATGCACATTTTAAAACCTAAAAGAAAATGCAAAGAAACCATCACTGTTTAAAGAAAAAAAAAATGATTGACTTCTGATGTGGAAGTGTTCTAACTGGCAGTGAATGTATGATTTTACTTCCCCTACAGACCACAGTCCCAGGAAGAAGAAACAATGTAATACTACAGCCTCTGCTGCCTGACACTCCTTATAAAATTACTGTTATTGCCATTTATGAAGATGGAGATGGTGGTCACCTAACTGGAAATGGAAGAACTGGTGAGTGTCTCATGCCTTCCTCTTTACATTTTATTTGTATACTTTTTATCTTGAAGTGGTTGTACAAAGGGGTTTCAACTACGCATGTCAGTTTGAGTACAATGCATCTTATCAGTGTTGCCTCTCCCATCATTCCCCCCTTTGTATCATTATTTTTGCTTTGAACTTGTCACATTTTAAATGTTGCTCCTTGTATCCTTTATAACTTTTAAATATGCTCTTTCTGCATCCGAAATACTGCATTCATATTGCACTAATGTTTTTATTAGACACTGAAGTTTGCCAAAGGTATGTCATGGAAAGACTGGGGAATGGGCCAAAGGGTAGTATGCATGGCTGGCAAATGTGAGGTCCTGAGTTCAAAACCCAGTACTGCTAAAAAAATACACTGCACCTTATAATTTACAGAGAATCACCAATATCTAGCAATTTCTTTCTTTTTTTTTTTTTTTTGGGTCCAGTCGTGGGGCCTGTACTCTGGGCTTGGGCACTGTCCCTCAGCTCTTCAGCTCAAGGCTAGCGCTCTACCACTTGAGTCACAGCGTCACTTCCGGCTTTTTTCTTTTTGCTTATGTGGTGCTGAGGAATCGAACTCAGGGCTTCAGGCATGCAAGGCAAGCACTCTACCACTGAGCCACCTTCCCAGCCCAGCAATTTCTTATTTTTAAAGATTCCCTAATCTGGTTAGAGACCCTTTGGAAACACATCCATTAGAATCATCTGAGGAGATTGAGGAAGATGTTTAGGTCTGAGAGCTTTCCCAGAAATACTGCTGCAGCTGCTTTGAGATGTGTCTTGAAAATGCCACAATGCCCAGCCAAGACTGGGAGCCAAGAGCTCAGCAAAATGGCAGACTGGCCCCTAGGTCTTTCAGTGTGGCCCTTCTTCCTACTTCATCCAGCAAAGGTCTCCTTAAGCCTATGGGATTTCAGGCATCCTGTGTCCCTCACATGCCTGAACTCTTCTTGTGCTTAGATGTTCTTAACAACACTACAAAAGTTGTGACAAATGACATTTAACAGCTTCTAAGAGAAAAACAGGACTAGAGTCAGTTCTCAGTCTCTCAATGTCAATCTGTGAAAGTCAGCTGCCTGTGTATTCATTTAGTACACTGAGACTCCAGGGACAGGGCCACTGATTTAAGACCATTTTTAAATTTTATTTTATTTTCTGAACTTAAAATGTTTGCACAGGTGGGTTACATTAAGAAGATTTTTGACTTAACAACTTCACTTTTTGAGTTTTCTGTGAGACTTAAAAGTATATCTTAATACATCCCTGGGAGAAAATGCCCTATTTCAGAATTTGGAGCTTATCAAAATGTAACCTATGATCTTTACTGCATTTTGAATTGTCCAGGAAGGAAGATGTCTAGTTCCTCCTGTGTGTGTGTGTGGGGGGGGAAGTTTTTCAAGTTGAATTAATTATTTGTTGTCATGCTGTGAATAATAACTTGGCCACCCCTCACAATTCCAGCCTAATAGCGTTGATTCTGCAAGTTTGGGGGTTGTTGTAGGTTTGGGGGTGGTAGGGATAGGAGATTATACCCTGGATTACTCTGGTGGAGGAAGAGAAAGTTGTTTAGGTCACTAGCTAAATGTGTGATCTTAGGAAAGCCATTTCTTATTTATGGGATGAAGTGATCTGACCAGACCATTCTAAATTGCCTCCTGGTTCTAGCATTCCATGATCTAGAATATTCTAAAATGGATCTGAATCTCTTTTAAAATTCTGAGCCATATCACATACTTGCTCTGGGTCTTGCAGTTGATGAAGCTTTCTCTGCATCTAACCTACTGTTGATGAGGCTCTGATTAAAAAAAAATCACCAGGTCCTGAATCCATGTGAATTGCTGTTAGAATGTGGGAAACAACTAAGCTTTTGGTGAATATTCTATGGCTTTTTAGCTGTTCTCTGGCAAGGAAATTATGAAATATTAAGAATTAAACTGCAGCTGGAGGCCAGTGGTTCATGCCTATAATCCTAGCTACTCAGCAGGATGAGATGTGAGGATCGTGGTTGGAAGCCAGTCCCAGCAGGAAAGGCTGTAAAACTCCAATTCACCACCAAAAAGTTGGAAGTGGAGCTGTGGCTTATGTGGTGGAGCCCTAGCCTGAGCAAAAAATCTCAAGCCCCATGACTGACCCCAAAAGAAAAATTCAAATGCCCTCATGGGTTGCTGTAGTGATGTTTGTAGACTTCCATCTACCAGTGGAAGGTCAGTAACGTGCAGCGATGTTTGCTTTCAGTGGGACTTCTCCCTCCGCAGAACATACACATCTCTGATGAATGGTACACGAGATTCCGCGTGTCCTGGGACCCTTCACCTTCTCCAGTTCTTGGATATAAAATTGTGTATAAGCCAGTGGGTAAGGAAGCACATTTATTCTAGTAAAAATGCATAGCAAGTGCTTAGTATACAATGGTATTCTGTAGTGCATCCTCTAATGTAATGGATTCTACTATCACCATATCAAGTTCCTTCCCACTAAAAATAATGTTTCTGAAAACACCACCTTCAGTCAATAGCCTGAAGGATGCAGGTGAAGCTCTAATTAAATTTCATGATCACAAAGTGTGACCTGGACTATAAAATTGCACAAAGTGAAGCTAGTTGTGTGCATACTTGCTGTATCTGAGTACGATCATGAAATACTTTAATCAATATCAGGCCTCATAGTTTCCCCATGATAGCCATTTGTTATTCCATTGTGGGCACAGATGTTATGCATTTTAGTCTATTCCTAAGAGGTTTGCCTCCGACTTTTTACTGGTAGTTTCTTCTGAGTCAATGAACGTCACATGCATGAGGTGATTTTCTGTTTTTGTGTGCCCCATTTATGTGCTTATCAAAACCGGGAGAGACCTACTCTGGACCAGATTTTCTGGAGCATCATTTATGCACCCAGAAAGTGTGTGGACTAAATAAAAACATAGGAGAGAAACTAAAAGAAAGAAAATGTATAAGAAGTAAAGAACTAAAAAGGAAGAGAAGAGACCTTTAGAAACTGAGATGTATGGAATGGGGGTCTAAGATGGAAGTACTTAGATTGTCAATGAAGCAAAATAATTTTAACAGGGAACTTCTTCAATGTAGAGCTCTATGCTGGCCAAGTAGGGCTTAGAAGAGAGGCAAGTGAATGTTCATTAACTCTTTCGTGATTACAAATGTAACTGGATTCTCTTTACTGTGTTATGCTTTGAGGTTAAGAATGAAAGCCTGGTGCTTGTGGCTCATGCCTGTAATCCTAGCTACTAGGGAGACTGAATGGGAGAATCTTGGTTAGAGGTCAGCCTTGAAAGCAAAAACTCCTTTTCTGCCCATAGCTGGCACAGTCATTCTAAGAGAAATGGGAGGCCGAGATTGGGAGGATCATATTTCCAGGGCAGCCTGGGAAGCAATGTCTATGATCTTTCCTGTCAGTGGAGGGATGGAAGTTGGATATGGTGAAGCATGTCTGGTATCTGAGTGAATATGGGAAGTCTACAATAGGCAGATCACAGGCCAAGCCTATGCCTGGTGGGATGGAGGACCTCTCTCAAAGAAACCCAAACCCAAACCAGGGCTGGAGGAAGCAAAAGATAGAGGTCTGCTCTATTTGAAAGCCCAAACCAGGGCTGAAGTCATCAACCCAATTATGGAGCTAGAACAGATGTCGCATTGATCAGTGCCATGAAACTGGAGACTTGATTTGTATTTTCATCGGTAGAGTGTCTACCTAGCAAGCACAAGGCCCTGGGTTCAAATTGCAGTATTGCAAAAAAAAAAAAATAGAGTGGAGAAATCAGCCTTTGCTTAGTTTCATATTCGCTACAGAATGGGGCCTGTGCCGCAGTGAATGACTGAATGGGAGATTGTGGGGAGTAATGGCGTCCATCCTGCCGTTGGACTTCATGATCTGGAATTCATGAGGAGAGCAAGGGTCTGTGTCCTGTGTGGTTGTCATTTAAGGTTCCAATGAACCCATGGAAGCCTTTGTTGGAGAAGTGACCTCATACACCCTGCACAACCTCAACCCCAGCACCACCTATGATGTGAGTGTTTTCGCTCAGTACGACTCTGGACTCAGCGTTCCCCTGACGGATCAAGGCACTACATGTGAGTCATGCATCTGTGTGTGTGTGTGTGTGTGTGTGTGTGTGTGTGTGTGTGTGTGCGCGCGCGTGTGTGGTCTTCAGAAAATATCTAGTAAGAATCACTGTCTGTTTTAACTTTACTTTTTCTTCAGGAATGCATGTTTTCTCCAGTATTACTTAGGTCATTTTATGTCCAGTGAAACAAAATCCCTATTTAAATCCACAAGTAATGTCTGAATGGGACTGGTAGTGGTACAAGAAGACTGGCTTTCCCCAGATCCCAGTCCTGTGCCTTTACTTCCTCCCTGTGGGCTTGTCTTGCTTCCCATCCTACAGTCCACAAAGGCTGGTCCTCAGAGCTCCTCTGGAGCGAACCAGCCTGAGCAGGTTCTTCCCTGGGAAAGCTTGGTCTAAGGATTTGATAGCAATTAGTTAGGTGCATGGGTCTTCTGAAAGGAAATGTTTACAGAAGTTGAATGCATAAAAATGTACATAATGAAAAAAATGTACATAATGAAGAAGGGATGTCTATTTGGATCTTAAAAGATAAACCAACAGGGTGTTCATGGCTCATACCTGTAATCCTAGCGACTCAGGAAGCTGAGACCTGAATATCATGGTTTGAAGGCAGCCCAGGCAGAAAAGTCTGAGACTCTTTTTTTCCCCAATACAATTTTTTTTATTGTAAAGGTGATATACAGAGGGTTATAGTCACATAAGTAAGGTAATGACTACATTTATTTTTGAACAGTGTCACCCCTCCCGTGCTTTCTCCCACTTCCCCCCACTAGCACCCCAGCTCCCTTTCTCCCCAGGTTGTAAAGTTCATTTCCAATGCAGTGTCTGATGAGCATTGCTGTTGCATCGGTTTACTCTTTGCCCTGCTACTTCTGGGGTTCCCCTTCCCTTCTCCAAGTCAGATAAACTTATAAACTTTACCTCCAATGAGCCACCAAAAAGCTCCAAAAGTGGAGCTATGGCTCAAGTGGTAGAGCGCTTGCCTTGAGCAATAAAGCTCAAGGACAGTGCCCAGACCCTGAGTTCAAGCTCCAGGCCACACACACACACACACACACACACACACACACTCTTAATCTCTCTCTTTCACACACACACACACACACACACACACACACACACACACACACACACACAAGAAAACTTTTTTTTTTTTTTTTTTTTACAGAATTTGTCATTTTACCCATGAATGATCTATGCCATTAGTATTGTGGTACCACTTAGTTTTCTAATGATGTTCAAATATATACTTACCTAAGTTTATGGGTGGAATTTGAATTATTGAATCATTGATTTGGTCTAAAGATACATTTATTGTTGTTACTAAGTGTTTTGATAAGTATTTGAGGATGTAAAAGACATAGACTTTCAGAAAAAGAAGTTTCTTGTTATTTGCCATATGAGATGTTTGATATTCATTGATTTGAGGGATGGTGAAGATTTCCTTTCAGTGATGAAGAGAGTGGTCAGTTTTGACATGACTTATATATTTGACTTAGGTTTCAGATTTGTTTTCCAGCTTACAATAAAAGCTTGAAAATTGTCTTCTGATTCACAGTATGCCCTTTTGCCTTTATTCACCAAGTGAATCTCTTTCTTTCTTTCTCTTGTAGTATATTTAAATGTGACAGACCTGAAAACATACCAGGTTGGGTGGGACACGTTCTGTGTGAAATGGTCACCTCACCGGGCAGCTACCTCTTATAGGCTAAAACTAAGTCCTGCAGATGGTATGTATATACAAGAGAGTAAACGAAACTTCAGTAAATAGGACTTTATTTTGTTTATAAAAGACCTCTCAGCCGGGTGGCTCACACCTGTAATCCTAGCTACTCAAGAGGCTGAGATCTGAGGATTGCGGTTCACAGCCAACCCGGGCAGGAAAGTCTGTGAGACTCTTATCTCCAGTAAGTGGTGCTGTGGCTCAAGCAGTAGAACACTCACCTTGAGCTGAAGAGCTGAGGGATAGCACCCAAGCCCAGAGTTCAAGCTCCACAACTATCTTAAAAAAAAAAAAAACCCTCTCAAATGTCTTAAATTATAACAGATGTGAATGTGTGTGCTTTTTTCCTTTGCTATCATACCCAGGAACCAGAGGACAAGAAATCACCGTGCGTGGATCAGAAACGAGCCACTGCTTCACAGGCCTTTCACCAGAGGCGGAGTATGGCGTCACTGTGTTTGTGCAGACACCAAACCTGGAGGGGCCAGGCGTTCCTGTCAAAGAACATACCAGTATGTTTTGGAGTGATCAGGAAAGTCTCCATTCTCTTCTGAGGAGAATGTTCCATATATAGGAGGATGCTCTGTATATAGGAGGATGCTCTGTGTATAGGAGGATGCTCCATGTATAGGAGGATGGTCTGTGTATAGGAGGATGCTCCATGTATAGGAGGATGGTCTGTGTATAGGAGGATGTTCTATGTATAGGAGGATGGTCTGTGTATAGGAGCATGTATAGGAGGATGGTCTGTGTATAGGAGGATGTTCTGTGTATAGGAGGATGTTCTGTGTACAGGAGTATGTTCTGTGTATAGGAGGATGTTTTGTGTATAGGAGGATGTTTTGTGTATAGGCGCATGCTTCATGTATAGGAGGAGGATGTTCTGTGTATAGGAGAATGTTCTGTGTATAGGAGGATGCTCTGTGTATAGGAGGATGCTCTGTATATAGGAAGATGCTTCGTGTATAGGAGGATGCTCTGTATATAGGAAGATGCTTCGTGTATAGGAGGATGCTTCGTGTATAGGAGGAAGTTCCGTGTATAGGAGGATCCTCCATGTATAGGAGGATGGTCCGCGTATAGGAGGATGGTCCGCGTATAGGAGGATGGTCCGCGTATAGGAGGATGGTCCGTGTATAGGAGGATGGTCCGCGTATAGGAGGAAGTTCCGTGTATAGGAGGATGGGCCGTGTATAGGAGGATGGGCTGTGTATAGGAGGATGTTCCGTGTATGGGAGGATGTTCTGTGTATAGGAGGATGCTCTGTGTATAGGAGGATGTTCTGTGTATAGAAGGTTGTTTTGTGTATAGGAGGATGCTTCGTGTATAGGAGGATGTTCTGTGTATAGGAGGATGTTCCATGTATAGAAGGTTGTTTTGTGTATAGGAGGAAGCTTCATGTATAGGAGGATGGTCTGTGTATAGGAGGATGCTCTGTGTGTAGGAGGATGTTCTGTGTATAGGAGGATGGTCTGTGTATAGGAGGATTCTCTGTGTATAGGAGGATGCTCTGTGTATAGGAGGATGCTTTGTGTATAGGAGGATGCTCTGTGTATGGGAGGATGTTCTGTGTATAGGAGGATGTTCTGTGTATAGAAGGTTGTTTTGTGTATAGGAGGATGTTCTGTGTATAGGAGGATGTTCCGTGTATAGAAGGTTGTTTTGTGTATAGGAGGAAGCTTCATGTATAGGAGGATGGTCTGTGTATAGGAGGATGTTCTGTGTATAGGAGGATGCTCTGTGTGTAGGAGGATGTTCTGTGTATAGGAGGATGTTCTGTGTATAGGAGGATTCTCTGTGTATAGGAGGATGTTCTGTGTATAGGAGGATTCTCTGTGTATAGGAGGATGTTCTGTGTATAGGAGCATGTTCTGTGTGTAGGAGGATGCTTCATGTATAGGAGCATGTTCTGTGTATAGGAGGATGCTTCGTGTATAGGAGGGTGCTCCACATGTAGGAACACTCTATCTTATAGGTACAGGAAGTGCCTGTCCGGGTATTTCCCTTCAGTGGCAGCAATAATGATGATCCTGTGGCAGTTCTTGAAAGTGGAGCCTACAGCTGGTTTCAGGGTTTCAGGATCTTTTTTCTGCAGTCATTCCAGGCTGTCCTTGCTACAGAGCTGGTGCTCCTTTAAGAAAAGGGCTAACGGAGGAAGAGAGAGCTGTCGCTGACCATGAGAAGGTGAACCTCAGTTCACCTCAGTGACTTTTATTCATCTGCTCTCTCAAGGCTTTGCTTTCTCCTTTTGAATCTTTGCTTTTTGCAGCAGTAGAGGATATGAAAACCTACCAGTTCCAGATAGGGTTGACCCTGCTCTTTTGGTCAGTGCTATGGGTCTGGAGATTTTTCCTAAGACTTCATTTGTTATTGAGGACTTAAACTGTTCTTCAATTCAATTTCTGGGTTATGGAATGTGCTTCTGTTGTATTTTACTAATTATTCTTTTAACATTCTAGCTGTAAAGCCAACTGAAGCTCCCACGGAGCCACCCACACCACCTCCTCCTCCCACGATCCCACCAGCCCGAGATGGTAAGTGACCATGAAATCAATCCAATTGAGTTTTAAGCTTTTAGACTTAGCTGTGCTACACATGCGATCCTTTACAACCCTTTTGATTTATTTTTCCTGCTGCAGAGCATTTAGGTTGAAAGAAGACCAGAAACGTAGTCCGCTTTCCTAGGCGTTCTAATGTGAATAAGATCAGTTTATAAAGAACATCCCAAGTTCTATTTCTTCCACTTTTTACATTAAGATCTAGTGTATGTTCTATAGACACGGGGAGGCTATTTCTTTTTTTTTTTATTGTGAAAATACTGTACAGAGGGGTTACAATTACATGGGCAAGATAATGAGTACATTTCTTATCAAGCATTGTAGCCTCCTCCTTTGTTTCCCCTTCCCATCCCTTCCCATCCTCCCCCCACTTCCCACCCAAACCTCCTCCCCCCCCAAAGTTGTAAAGTTCGTTTTCGACATAACGACTTGTACATCTCATAGTTGTAATGGGTCCACCTGTATCCCTATTTAAACAATTTGTTGGGGAGGCTATTTCTTTATGCTGGCTACTGGAATCAGACTTTACATCTTTTGGGTTGTATTCGCAACCAAGTCCCTGAGGCCTTTAGCTTTGGACTTCCTGACTTGTGATCTGAGATGGCCTCTGGATTACATAAAACTAAAAAGAAAATTTCCATTTACTTAATTTTGAGATGGAATCATCAGTATAGTAAATAAGTGAAATGGTATGTTTTAAAACCAGTCTCTCTGTAACTAACTGAGGGCAATTTTTTAGTGTTCTATCAAATTATGTTTACAAAAAAACCCCAAAACTACTAGATCCCTCTACACAAACACTCTGTGTTTCAGATAGCATTTCAGAGTTTAGAGTCTAGAATCTAGACTCATTAAACCTGTTATATAAGTACATTAAAAAGTGTGCAACGTAATAGACTACAGTGTAAAACAATAATGACTTATTTTAGACTCTGAAAGAACTTCAGAATTCTTGGGTTAAAACCATATAATTTTTATTATAACATGTTAATCCTATTAAAAATAGGCTTTATTGAGCCAGGCACTGGCGGCTCATGCCTACTCAGGAGTCTGAGATCTGAGGATTACGGTTCAAATCCAATCTTGTCAGCAAAGTCCTTGAAACTAGTCTCTCCAACTAACCAGCAAAAGTCTGGAAGCGAAGCTGGGGTTTAAGTAGTAACATGGCAGCTTTGATCACAAAAGTTAAGGGACAGCATCTAGACCTTGAGTTTAAGCCCCAGTATTGGCACAAAGAAAATAGCCTTTACTTTCTAGAGCAGTCTGCAGCAATTGAGCAGAAAGGGTAGCAAGTTCCCATCTACCTGGGTCCCCATACCAGCTCCCTGAACACCCCAGATCAGACTGGTACCTTTGTAATAATGGAAGCATGTACATCGACACCTCATTACCACTTATGGTCTAGAGTATACATTAGGCTATCTTCTTAGAGTTATATATTTTGTATATTACGTTTTCATAAATGGAAGGTGTGTGTGTGTGTGTGTGTGTGTGTGTGTGTGTGTGTGTGTGTGTGTGTGTGTGTGTGTGTGCCAGTGCTAGGGCTTGAATTTAGGGCTTTGATCTCTTGCTTAGATTTTTCTCTCAAAGCCAGTTCTCGACCACTTGAGTCACATCTCCATGTCTGGCTTCATACTGATTAATTAGAGGAATTGTCTGCTTGGGCTGGCTTCCAGCTGTGATCCTCAGATTTCAGTCTCTAGAGCAGTGAGCCACTACTGCCAAATTAAAATTTTGTTAGCCTTAATTTTTCTTTGTAGCTTCTAATTCTAAAACAGTTAAAGGTATTTCTTTGGTTTATTACTCTATTTTCTTCTTTCCTTCCTCACATATGATGCTAGTGGCATGCATATATACATATATATGTGTATGTATGCACCAAGTCTTTGATAATTTTATTTAAAATAACAAATCCACTGATGATCCTCCTTCAGTTCAGAACATCTTTACTTTTTTTTTTCATTTGCATTGGCCTCATATATTGATTGAAGCAACTTGAAGCATTACATACGGGAAGAACCTGTTTTTGCATAGTGAATCTAAACAGAGTAATTCCAGAGTACGGATCAGGGATGGAATAAACCAGGGCTGTTCAAATTTCTTGTGTATTTGCATCATCTGTGCACCATTATTGCTGATTCTAACTTGGGAAGCTTGGGATCGGGCCTGAGACCCCAAGAGTGTCTGAGATCCTCTGGTCACAGGGCCACACTTTGAGCAATGAGGTGTTAACTGTATTTTTCAACGAGGCGATGTCATTTGAGTTGAAAGCATGCAGGAGATTTGAGAATGCTCCTGTTTTTGGTTTTTCCCAGTATGCAAAGGGGCCAAGGCTGATATTGTGTTCTTGACGGATGCCTCCTGGAGCATCGGGGATGACAATTTTAACAAAGTTGTCAAGTTCATCTTCAACACGGTGGGAGCCTTTGATGAAATCAGCCCTGCCGGAATTCAGGTGAGTGTCATTTGTCACACCAGTTGTGGCTCATTTGTAGTGATCTAGTATTTCCTTCTAACTTTGTTTTGAAATGTTTAGTGGGAAGTCATTTTTGTTATAAATCATGTTTTGACCTCCCAGTTTGTAAATTTATACATGAATTTTTTGAGGGCGGGGGGAGGGGGAAAGAATAGAGTGTGAATGATAAGTAGAAAATAAATACTCCTTTAGCTTTCCTGTTTGGTTAGATGAAAGTCCTGCTGGAGTATTTAGAGGATTCGAACTCCAGCTTCTTGAGTTAAACTTCCAACTATGGTGAATTTCCATGAAGAGTCATCCAAAGTTCCACGTATTAAATTATGATTGACATGCCTTGTAATGTGAGAAGAATAGAGTGACTGTGGGGGAGAATCTGCGGTTCACTCTGGTATTATATTGTACATATTATCCCAGCCAGAAGTGACCCAAAGGGTATGCCATTTGTTTATCTTAAATGATAGCTAGCAGTGACACTGCTGTAGAATCATTGCCAGTGAGCTGGTTTTCAGGAATTGGTCATTTCACCCTCACTTGCCTGTAAAGCTCAGGGTCCCGTTCTCCATTCCCCACATACCCAGAGTGCATGAGTGTTCACACCCAGTACCATTGAACTATTTTGGAAAGTCTCCCCAGACTCCTTTGAGAATTGGACTCAAGCTATTATTAGCTTTTTCGGGAGGCATTTCTGTAGCTTTCAAACCTACTAAAATTCTCACCCCTTCTGGAAAGGCTCCCTGCTGGCTTTAGGCTCCCGAATGAAGTGTTTTGTGTATGCCGTGGTTAGAGCAAATTCTATTTTGCATTATTGTTTCATAATGCCTTTATTCTGTCTAAATCACTGGCTAAATTTAAAAGTGAGAAATCTTCTTCTTCTTCTTTTTCTTCTTCCTCCTCCTCCTCCTCTTCTTCCTCCTCTTCTTCCTTTCCTTCTTCCTCTCCTCCTCCCCCCTCCTCCCCCTTCTCCTCCTCCCCTCCCCCTCCTCTTCCTTCTCTTCTTTCTCCACCACCTCCTCCTTCTCTTCCTTCTCCACCACCTCTTTATTCTCATCCTTCTCCTCTTTCTTCTTCTTCCTTCTCCTCTTCCGCTTTCTTCTCCTTTTCCTTCTCTTTCTCCTTCTCCTTCTTCCTCCTCTTTCTTCTTCTCCTGCTCTTTCATTCTCCTCCTCTTTCCCCTTCTCTTTCTCCTTCTTCTTCATCCTCTTTCTCCTCCTCCCCCTCCTTTTTTCCTCCTTCTCCTTCTCCTTCTTTTCTTCTGTCCTGAGGTGCACTGTCCTTAAGATTTTTTTGTTCAAGACTGGCTTTTTACTACTTGAGCCACAGCTCCATTTTTGCCTTTTGGTGATTAAAAAGATAAGACTTTCCCTGACTCTACTGCCCAGGCTGGCTTCAAGCCATGATTGGTTTGGCATGTTCTTTAAAAACCCTATTTTTTCTTCTCTGTCCATTTTACAGAATTTTCTTTATTTTGGCAATTTGTATTGTGGCATCTTAGAGACATTGTTAAAAATGAAAAGATTTTGAAATAGATGCATTTCATAATCAACCACATCTGTCTATGACATTGTATTCTGTGGAATACTGTAAGTTTAAAATTCCTCAATAATTATGTGGATATTATTTTAGTCCAAGAAGAGTGAAAAAGTCTGGTTTAATAGCATAAATTTGATGTGTCAACACTTAAGCTGTTTTTTCTATCCTTCTTAGACATTAGGGTTTCTAATAAAAATAGTTATTGTCCTTGAATAACTTCAGTGACTTTGTATTCATGATTTTTAGTCTTTGACACATCCTTAGAAGGTAAACGTAATTATCTCAACTTCACTGGTAAGGAAACTACAGCCCAGAGAAGCAGGAAATTAACCTAGTGGCACATAGCTAGCTATTTGTTCAGAAAGAATGGATTGGAGGCCAATCAGTCATAACTACAGAACCTTCTCTCGCTCCACTGTCACATTGTCACTAAGTTTGTCAAGAGTTTAGATTATTATTATACAAGCAACTTTTTATGGTGCTGGTATTGGGGCTTGAATTCTGGGCCGTTTGTTCTGTTTTTGCTTTTATACTCCAGGCTGATACTTTGTTACTTGAGCCATACTCCAGTCTAGCTTTTTGCTGGTCAATTATGAGTTTCATGTACTTTTCTGCCTAGGCTAGATTTGAGCCAAGATCCTTAGATCTCAGTTTATTGAGCAGCCAGGAGAACAGCTGTGAACCACTGTTGCCAGGCTGCAACATTTTTATCTATGGAAGCTGAATATTATCAATGGGAAGGAGAAGTTGGCGGAGAACCAATGGTCCAACAAAATTCACAATGATGTGGTTTCATTTCTAATGCTGTGATTTACTCATCTCTTCCTACCCCTTAGAGAAAGGCACAGAGGGATATAGCCTATGCAAACTGGAAAATGCTTCTACCACAGTATCATTGGTAGCTGTCATTTAAGACAAACAAATGAAATCCCCTTTGGATCACTAATGGACATTCTTCTGGTTGGACTGCTTGGGAATTAGAGAGTTTAATGAGGCCTCCATGGTCAGTGGGAGGGTCACATTATAAAGAGCATATCCCATCCAGTCATCTCCATTCCTATCTACAGTAGAGGAACAACTCACCTCCATTTCCTTTCAGGTGTCATTTGTGCAGTACAGTGATGAGGTGAAGTCCGAGTTCAAGCTGAACACCTACAATGACAAGGCCCTAGCTCTCGGGGCCCTGCAGAATATTAGATACAGAGGAGGAAACACAAGGACAGGTATGGCTCCTCCGTGTCCAGAGCAGTCGGGGTGGTAGAATGCAGCACCGTCACTTGGGCGTGGTTGATGGCACTCGGGCAGTTTTCCTTGATGTGTTTCTTGGCACTCCATAGGCAAGGCTCTCACATTTATTAAGGAGAAAGTCTTGACGTGGGAGAGCGGCATGAGGAAGAATGTCCCCAAGGTGCTTGTCGTGGTTACCGATGGCCGCTCACAGGATGAGGTCAAGAAGGCGGCCTTCATCATTCAGCAGTCAGGTAAGCTCAGCCTGGGATACACTGCATTCGGGATGCTGAGTTTCACAGAACAAAGCAAAACAAGCCCCAAACCCAAACTGTGGGTTTAACAAGCATTATTTCTCTTTCACTGTGTACTCTAGAATCCCATCATGTGAGTTTGTGTTTAATGAAGGAAGAGTTGGCTACATTCCTCAAAAAATGACTCAGTGTATTCTTTGTAGAAGATAAATTCAAGGACTTGCAAGAGTAAAGTGAATTTCCCCATAGTGGCTAGACAGCTATAGATATTTGCCAACGTCAAGGAGGAATCTTAGATTGGGCTTCCATCAGACAGGAAATGAATCCAGGCATGGGTTCCTGTGCAGGGAAATATGAATGATGCCTCCGGGGCTCTAGCTCATCCATTCACATGTAGGCCTAATGCAGCGTGCCAAAGAGTACTCTGCAAACAATGAGTCTCTGGTCCCAGAGAGAGGTCTCTGGAATAGAACCTGCCAATCAAGCATCCCGAGAGCCCCTTAGTAACACTGCTATTTGGATTTGTTATTTAAGATTATTGGAAATAAAACTGTCTGGTCAGTAGGTGCATGAACATCTTCCCTCCTCTGCTTGTCCAAAACATGTTGCGTAAAGAATGCTGGGATAGAAATGATTTGATATAATAAATTCTAGGGTGCTTAGTTACATGAAAATTGTTATCTGCATATATGTATATGTATATGTATGTTATCTGCATACATATATACATATATTTTTTCCTTTGGCTGAAATTACTAGTCATAATTTCTGCTAGTTCAGGCAGTCTTCTCTAAGTGGAGCTTATTCTTGTCTCCAATCAACTAACAAAAAGCCAGAAGTGGAGCTGTGGCTCCAAGTGGTGGAGCACTAGCCTTGAGTACAAACACTACGGGACAGTGTCTAGACTTAAAGTTCAAGCCCCAGAACTGACACAAAAAAAGAAAAGAAAAGGAAAAAAAAGGCCCATTTTTATTAGATTGTGCACTGTGAGCAGATTTCTGTATATTTGTATATTTTGGACCCTTAACTTAAACTTGTGGTTATGAATGCTTTCTTTCATACACATACATAATTACAAATCATATCTCTAGCCTTACATAGACTCTGCTAACTTAAGCTTTTGGTATAAAAATTTTCAGAGCAAAATTTATATTAAGCTAAATAGAGGACTGTTTAATGCCAGTGGAAGTTATAGTTTCCATTCTGATGGTGATCAAAGTCCTGGCCTTGAGTCTGAGTTTGATGAGAAAAACCAATTTGGAAAGTTCACATTCAAGCTGGGCACTGGTGGCTTACACCTGGCATCCTAGCTACTCAGGAGCCTGAGGCTCATGGTTCAAAGCCAGCCCTCTCAGAAAAGTTCATGACACTTTTTTTTGTTGGTCATGGGGCTTGAACTCAAGGTGAGCGGTCTACCACTTGAGCCATAGCACCACTTCCGGTTTTCTAGTGGCTTTTTGGAAACTCTCACAGACTTTCCTGACCAGGCTGGCTTTGAACTGCGATCCTCAGATCTCAGCTTTCTGAAGTAGCAAGGATTACAGGCATGAGCCACTGGCTCCCAGCAATGACACTTTTATCTCTGATTAATCAGGGGAAAAAAAGCTAGAAGTGGAGATGTGGCTCAAGAGATAGTCAGCTTGACTGAAAAAGCAGAAGGATAGCACCCAGAACCTGAGCTCAAGCCTCAGGACTGGCCTGAATAAACAAACAAACAAACAAATGAATAAATACAATTCAAAACAGCTCATTCTTTGTTTTGGACTCTCGTAAGCTTAAGCTTTGTTTGTCATCTGAGAGAGCTGCTCAGCTGTGTATTAAGATTGTGGATTTATGGAAAACAGTATGTATCAATCACAGTCTTTGTGCTATAAAATGCTTCATCTTTTAATTATTAGAACTTTATTTTAGTATATCCAGTGCATTTAATTTTATAAACTAGAAAATTGGATGACTGGGTGAAAAGGACATATTCACTAAAAAGTACATTTTTATTCACTAAAGGTAATTCAGGCAGAATAAAAAGATGGGCGTACACAAGCAGAGAAAATAGAGCATTACTTCTGATTAGATTTTATTTGGGGTTGGGTGTGGTGGCCCACACCTGTTATCTTAGCTACCCGGGAGGCTGAGTTCCAAAGGAACGTAGTTGGAGGCCAATGCTGGCAAAAAAAAAAATATGTGCAAGACTCCATCTCAATCAATAAAAAGCTGGGGTAGAACTAGAGTATGGCTCAAGTGGTGGAGCACCAGCTGTGAGTGACAAAAGGCAACAAAAGCAAGAGTTCTTGAATTCAAGCCCTAGCAATGGCTAAATAAATGAAAAAGAAAGCTAGGTTAGGTAGTACATGCTTTTCATTCCAGCCACTCTGAAGTCTAAAATAAATAAGACCACAGCCCATGCCATCCTGGGTAAAAAGCAAGGCCCTATTGAAAAAAAAATATTGGATGCCAAAAAGGGCTGGGTGCCTGGCTCATACAGTAGAGCACCTCCCTGGAAAGTGTGAGGCCCTGAAGTCAAAGCCTAACGCCGCCAGCAAAAGTAATAATTTACTTTGACTTGTTGAATCAATAAAGGGCAGGAGAAGGACATGTGACTCACAGTGTAAACAACCACTTTGCAGGGTTCAGTGTCTTTGTGGTCGGTGTGGCCGACGTGGATTACAACGAACTTGCCAACATTGCCAGCAAGCCAAGTGAACGACACGTGTTCATTGTGGATGACTTTGAGTCTTTTGAAAAGATTGAAGATAACCTTATTACGTTTGTTTGTGAGACTGCCACTTCAAGTAAGTCCTGGCCATCGACCCATAGTCTCTCTGGCCTTGAAAACTGACAATGTATAGACAATTATTTGTTCTACAGGGGATCAAATCTGGTGTATAAATAGGTCTTGAGAAAGCACATGAAAATATTGATGGATCATGCTTGTCATAAGTCTACTACTTTTTTCCTTGTGTGGAAATAAAAGCATTTTAATCCATTCCTTTGTTAACAATCCCAGTGCCTGTGACACTTGGGTAAACCATTCTTCAGCTCAGAATATGGAAAACAGCTCAGTATATGGAAACAGTTCCTATTAATAATCTATTGGTATTTATTCCATTAACATTCCTGTTTCATGAGAGCCATGGAAACGCTGCTAGGTGCATGTATCTCCAATAGAAATTCAGTGGATTCTCATTGGCTAGTGCGGGCTTAGAATCTTCTTATGCCAAGACTTCAAGTTCGTATTTTAATCTTCAGTGAGGATGAGCTCAAGATAGTCTGACAAGTTATCTCCTTCCTCATCTGTTGATGACAATAACTTTGGGGTGTTAACTAATGGACACAGCGAAGAGTGTGTATGCTCCTAATCCTAGGCAGGGCTATGTTTCATAAGTATGGTGTTTCCACTGATTAACCATTATATTAAAAATTCAGCCAGCCAGTGATGGCTCACACCTGTAACCCTAGCTATTCAGGAGGTTGAGATCTGATGATCTTGGTTCAAAGACAGCCCGGGCAGCAAAACCCTGGTGACCTGCATAATTTCTCCCCCCTACCTTAAAGCCTACCAGAAATAACTGAGAACAGATTCAGTCAGTTAAGACAATTTAATGTTTCATGAGTTGAGATACAGCATGTCTATCACTTCACTACTTCCCGTTCTGACGTGTTTGCATATCGAATTGGCGAAGCCTTCTTACAGTCCACTCTCGGTTGCAGGTTGCCCTCTCATTTATTTGGATGGCTACACTTCACCAGGTAAGCATTTGGATCCTTGAGCTCCTTTATTTTTAGACGTCAAGAATCAAAGAATTCCCATGTAGTCAGGTGAACTATTTTCTTCTCTGATCTAAAGGTTTTAAGATGCTTGAAGCATACAATCTGACTGAAAAGAATTTTGCTTCGGTGCAAGGAGTCTCTTTAGAATCAGGATCATTTCCCAGTCACTCAGCTTACAGGCTGCAGAAGAATGCCTTCATCAGTCAGCCGACTGCGTAAGTGTGAACACTTCCTGCCTCACACTGCTCCTTCCCTTCCCTGTTCACACCGTTGTTTGTTATAATGGGCAAGAGATCCTAAGGAGTTTGCTGGTTGCCTGGACTCAGGGAACTCTGCAATGGTCAGTCGATGCCTTATGGGCAAGCTAGTTAGATTTCCTTAAGTACAGTCACACTCATGACCCTCTTCTGGTTATGTGGCCTTCGCTATGCAGGAAACTAGGCTCCAAGCTTTGGTATTTGCAGAGTGCGGGACCTCAGCCTGTTACTGCAGTAGGGTGCATGGATTCTAGACCCTTCTGAATGGCAGGCTGGGGGGGGGTGTGTCATTGTGCTTTTCCCAAGGGAGCTTGTTCAAACAGAAAGGCAGCTTCTTATTTTGAAAATGTTCTGCTGTGGAACAGAAAGCCTGGATGGGAGGAAGGGAATGAGGGGAGCAGGTATACTCTTGTGCGTTTCTGACATGAAGGAAGCAAAGGGCTTCCACGGTGTTGCTTATTTGTGGCCAGGCTGTGGTTAGATGTTACTGGCTTGATCCTCCGGCATTCTATTGGGGAAGCTCTTGATGTTGTTATTTGACTGCAGGAAAGTTTGCACCTGGGTACGGTAACAGAAGTATGTATTTCTTATTCATTGAAATGAAAACTATTATGGTGGAAAAACATGTGTTTGGCAACTTAGGCAGAGAAAAGAACTAGAAGAAATCAACTTAGGACAGGGTCAGAAAATAATGTTTGAAATTTGAAGTGCGCCAGAAAAGTGAATGGAAAATTCAGACAGAAACCAAAGCTAATCTGTTTTAAGGAGGTACAGATTGGATTGGACTCTGACCACATTGTATGTTTCTCCCTCTTTTTTGCTTAGCCATGGTGGTTCAGCGTGCTGGATCTTTCTGGGTACCTCAATACGCAGTACTTAGCTGTTTCAACTACCTCAGGATATGATTCTTACATTTTAAATTATGAAAGATTATTATCGACACAAGAAGCATAAATTTGGGCTGGGCTTTTGCCTCACGCCTATAATCCTAGCTACCCGGGAGGCTGAGGTTGGGAGGATCGAGATTTGAGGCCAGCCTGGGTGAAAACTCCTTGAAGATTCTCAGCCAGTAATAAGCTATGTGTGGTGGTGTGAGCCTGTCTTTACAGCTGCATTGGATCATGGTCCAGGTTGATCTGGCCAAAAAACAAGACCCTATTCAAAGAGTACCTGCAGTAAAAAGGGCTGAGGGTATGACTCAGAAACTAGAATGCTTGCCCAGCAAGTGAAAGGCCTGAGTTATAAAAACCTCAGAACTGCCAAAAGAAAAAAATAATAGGGCCTCATACAAAAATAAATCAGAACTTCAGCCGGTAGGAAAGAAGCTTAAATATAATTGAATTATTATTATTATTTTACAAGCTTCAGTTAATTGGGGAAAAAGTCAAAATGGGCTAGGTAGGAGATGAGATCATATGGAGAAAATATTTTTAATATGGGGCATTATAAAGATAGTTCTTGAATACCCAGAGCATATGGGTGAAGAAGGAAGGCTGCATTCCGTCCAAACAGTCCTAGAGGTGTGGTACTGGGGCCTCCAGATGCAGGAGGACTGTGCCAGGGTTCAGAGAAATAGCTTTGTTTCTGTCCAAGAGTTGACTATGCCCTTTTCCTCCTTTCAGGAAGGAAGTGCCATCTGGTCTCTAATAGAGAAACAATCATTCTGCTTTAAAGATGCTTCCCAGAACAACGACTAGTTCTATTTTCCTATGTGTACATTGAATATTGTGACTGTATTCTCTCACCCATCCTCTTTTCATTTTGAAATTGGTTCTTTTTGGGGGACTATGTCATATTCTTGAGGCAATTTATTTGATTTCTAAGGGAGGACTTAAAACCTATCTGTGGTAAGGAGAAAGATCAAAACTTCACATCATGGGAAATGAAATATATCCAGTAAGCTTCATTTTCTTCTCACAATATCTACAGTTGTAATGTTGACAGCCACCATTATTTTATAATTCTCTGTATACCCATAAGAACTTAATTATTAACAGCAAAAAAACTGTTTGGTAATCTCCCAGGCATTTGTGGATTTATCAAATTACAAGTAATCAATTACTACTGATATAACAGGCCTTAGTGTTTGTTCTTTTTTGTTGTTGTTGTCAATACTGGGGCTTGTGAGAGGGCTTTGCACTCTCACTTGTTTTTCTTGCTTAAGGATGGGACTCTACCACTTGAGCCATACCTTCTCTTCAGGCTTTTTGGTGGTTAATTGGAGATAAGATGCACTTTACTACTTGGACTGGCTTTGAACCACTATTCTTAGGTCTCAGGCTCCTGAGTAGCTAGGATTACAGGTATGAGCCATCAGTGCCTCACTAATGTTCGTTCTTTTGATGTGTTCCTAAATTATTTTCTTTCTGCTATAGAGCAGAAGATGATAAATAACATTACTACTAACCACATTGACATCTGTTCTAAAGATGTAAAATGCTCTCTGTTTCTCATGAATGATCTTATGTATTTATTTGGTTTTATCCAACAGAGAATTACATCCAAATGGCCTCCCACCTTCATACACGATTATACTGTTGTTCAGACTTCTTCCAGAAACTCCAAATGACCCTTTTGCAATTTGGCAAATTACAGACAGAGACTACAAACCACAAGTCGGAGTGATTGCAGATCGTAAGGATTTTGATCCTATTTTAAAGCCTATGCATCCATAATTTTCATTCTCTTTCTCTTTAAGAACCTTATGATTGTATGCATATAAATGTATATATAAAACTTTAAACTTAAGTTCTAGTAAGCTATGTTACTTGTATACAAAGCAGCATGTTTATAAACATGAAAAGCATTCATGTTTATCATAGATGTGACAAACTGATACATATACATATATTCATGCATATGCATACATGTATGTATACATATATATGGGTATATGTATACATATATACACATATATGCATATGTACACACACATATATGTGTCTATTTACATAGTAGATGCTTTGATGTCTGAACTTTTTCAATTGTAAATACTCAGGTTACATTTTAGCACAACTAAAATTACTGACTTTTTAAGAACTCTTTCCAACAAAAGTGATTGTTAATACTTTCAATAAGATATATACCAGGATGTGACTTAATAATTATGCTTTTATGTTATTGCAGCTTCTAGCAAGACTTTGTCATTCTTTAATAAAGATACAAGAGGTGAAGTGCAAACAGTTACATTTGACACCGATGAAGTAAAGACATTGTTTTATGGAAGCTTTCATAAGGTAAAAACCTAAGATTATGTGAGTCTTATTTCTAGAAGAGAGAATAGGACTTGAAACCTAAGACTGACTTTTTTATTATTTATTAAAATGTCATGTTACATAGAAGACTAGCTATGTTAATTAAAAATAATATCTTAGATGATTTGATAACTTCCAAGATGAATATTTAAAATAAAACTGATTATTTTTTACTATCAGGAGATAACTTCTATTAACATTTTGGTGTATTTTAATAATTATATCTTGGTTATCTTAACTTTTTGTATGTTAACACCCAGTGGAGAGCAGAAAATTTCAGGTTTTTAAAGGATTATCAGTTAACTGACAATGAAAATACTGAATTCTGAAGTATTGGAAAAAATAGACTTTGAAACAATATTTCTCCATGTACTGGAATATGTTAACATGAGTAATTGTATACATCTTATAAAACTTCTCCAAGTATGATACTCAGAAATATTGGCTTCCATATTTAACAAAAAATATTTACAGTTTGATGTAATTCTCAAGTAAAAATTTAAGAATTGTCCTCTATTGAGTAGGTTCAGCAAATATTTCCTTATTTCCTTCCTCCTTCCCTCCTTTCCTTCCCTCCCTCCCTTCCCTCCTTCCCTGTCTTCCTTCCTTCCTTCCTTCCTTCCTTTCCTCCTTCCTTCCCTCCCTTCTTCCCTCCCTTCTTTCCTTCCTTCCTTCCTTCCTTCCTTCCTTCCTTCCTTCCTTCCTTCCTTCCTTCCTTCCTTCCTTCCTTCCTTCCTTCCTTCCTTCTTTCCTTCCTTCCTTCCTTCCTTCCCTCCTTCCTTCCCTTCTTCTCTTCACCCCTCCTCCCTTCCTCTGCTTCTCCTCTTCTTCCATTTTCATACTAGGGTTTCATCTCAGGACTCTGCTTGATAGGCAGGCACTCTTCTACTGAGCCTCATATCCAGACCTTTCTTTGTACTGATTATTTTGAGACAAAGTCTTGGTGTTTTTTTTCTTCACTTGGGCAATGCCTGGACCCTGATCCTCCTATTTGATGCTTCCCATTGTAGTTGGGATGATAGACACGTGCTACCACAGTCAATGTTTTCTGCTGAGATTCAGTCTCCTGATATTTTTGCCCAGGCAGGCCTGAAACCATAACCCTCCCTATCTTAATCTCCTTTGTAGCTGGTATTATAGGCACATGCCATCACATCTAGCTATTGTTTTAGAAGAGAATGTGAAAATCTTTTGCCCAGTTTGGCCTCACATGATGATCCTTCCCATCTCAGCCTCCCAAGTAAGACTCTAGGCATGAGCCACTGAGTCCAGCTATCTAGAATGTTTTTTCTAGTCATGAATCAGAGTCTTCACATGGGTGCTAAAAGACTCTCCTCATACATGTAGCTCAGAGAAGCTTCAGTTTGTATATGGGAGGTAACTAAAAATGAGACAACAACAATAAAAAGAAAAGAAAACAATAAAGCTAACAATAAAGACAACTCTAAAATCTTAAGTACTATCATGAACCTACTTAAAAATTTTACAGATTTTATAAAATAGGTTTCTCTTTGGTAAAGCAAATTATGGCCTGGAGAATGTTATTGTTCTTATCCAATAACAAATATTGATTCTGGCCAAGTTTTCATTGATTTTTTTTTTTTTTTGGTGTTAGGGGGTCCCGTTGATTTACATGTACTGAACATGTTCATGAAGCATGCTAAGAAAGACTCATACTGAAAATACTGAAAATCTAACCTGCTGCAGACCAATAATAACCAGTAGTAGTTATTTAGAAAATTTTAATTTCCAGTTATTTGGAAATTTCTAAATGCTTCACGCATTACCAGTTGCTGTTAGCTCGTGTCTACAATTGTAGCTACTTGGGAGACTGAGGCTCTTATTTCTACTTGAGCAGCCGAAAACTAGAAGTACAGGTATAGATCACTAAACCTTGAACAGAAAAAGCCAAGAGAGTGCAAGGCTCTGAATTTAGGCTTTACACACACACACATGCCCACTCTCACGTGCACACATACAGTATGCATATGTAGATTTTTCAGAAATCTGTAGTGCTATCACTAATTATTGCAAATCAGGATTTTTTTTTGTCAGTCATGGGGCTTGAACTCTGGGCCTGGCACTATCCCTGCACTCTTCAGCTCAAGGCGAGCACTCTACCACTTGAGCCATGGTGCCACTTCTGTTTTTTTAGTGGATTATTGGAGATAAGAGTCTCATGGACTTTCTTGCCTGGGCTGGCTTTGAACCGTGATCCTCAGATCTCAGCTTCCTGAGTAGCTAGGATTACAGGCGTGAGCTACCAGCTCCCGGCTCAAATCAGGAATTTTTTTACATTACCTTCTTTGTGTGGTTTGTCTTCTTTGGATTTTACATAATGCCCTTTTTCCTTCTCATTAACTCCGCCTTGGCTCTCCCAATCTCTACTTTCTCCTTTCAGGAGATACTTTCTTTTTTTCTTTTTTCTTTTTTGGGTCTGGTTGTGGGGTCTGAACTCTTGGCCTGGCACTGTCCCTCAGCTCTTCAGCTCAAGGCTAGCACTCTACCACTTGAGCCACAGCGCCACTTCTGGCTTTTTTTCTTTTTGCTTATGTGGTGCTGAGGAATCGAACCCAGGGCCTCAGGCATGCAAGGCAAGCACTCTACCACTGAGCTATTTTCCCAGCCCCGGGAGATACTTTCTATGGTTAGCAATGAATCGTAAGTGCAGTTGGAAGAGTTGTCATACAAATTTATATGGTTTTTATTTTGAAATAACTTTTTGTGGATATTGTGGCTTTTTATATACTTTGTGTATATTTGTGTCTATGGGTGTTTACACATGAATTGATAGAAAAATTCTAATTCTTCTTAAGGCAATAAACATCCTGTGAATGCTTATATGATATACTTTTTGAGTTCAATATTATTTGATTACCTTGGGGGCACTTAAACTTCAGCTATGTGCCACTTGTAATTGCTTTTATAAGCAATTACAATTCATGTTTATTGCAGATGTGATAAAAAGATACTTCTGTGATAAACTAGTATTTCCATGTAGGAAAATACTTAGTTTACAAATAAAAATTTCAAAATTTGTTTTTATGCTCCTTGACTCAGAGCTCTTAGGAACACTTTTGTTCTTTTTAACTTTCAGCCAAACTTGAAAGTAATTATCAAGAGCTTATTGCAGTAGTTGTACAGTGCTAGTAGCATAAAACAATTACCCACTTCTTTACAATGCCAAAATACGAACACTTTATTAACAATCTGTGTTAATAGGTTTGGTAGTATCAATTTTATTAATTTTTCAGAGTTGAATCTCTGGTGAAGACATGATAGATGTAAACTATTTTATGCTTTTATGTGTTGTGTAGGTGAGTTTTGGCTACAATTGAGAATAATAAACTATAATTTGAAATTAGCAAACTCAGTTTGAGGCATCTGAATCTCTTGTTTACTGAGTATGATCTATTACTGCTACTTGGATAGCTTACAGTGATTTTATCTCCTTCATTCTCTCTGGTAATCTCAGAGAGTCAACGGGGTGGGAAAATGAGACAGTGTGTACTGACAGGTAATGGATGGTGAAGCATAGAGCCTGGTGTGGCTTGTAGATGTTCACATTGGTAATAAATGACAGCAGTGACATTGTCACCTGAGTCTTAGTTTGTTGGTCTGGGATGAGAATGTCTTATGAAACGAATTTTAAAAACTCTTGTGATCTGAGCACTGGTGGCTCATGCTTGTCAACCTGTAATGCTAGCTACTCAGGGGGCTGAGCTCTGAAAATAGAGGTTCAGAGTCAGCCTTGGCAAACAAATCTGAGGGTCTCCTCTCTCCAATTAACGAGCAACAAGCGGGAAGGAGAGGTGTGGCTCAAGTAGTAGGGCACTGGTCTTGAGGGGTAAAAGCCAAGCATGAGTATGAGGCCTCAAGTTAAAGCACAAAACCAAAAACCCAAATCCAAAACCAACTGTGATCTGAAGTGGGCAGAAGTCAGTTCAGTGTCTCTGATAGAAATTTTAAAATGCAAACAAATTTATCGTTTTAGGTTCACATTGTAGTGACTTCAAAAAGTGTTAAGATTTACATCGACTGCTATGAAATTGTAGAAAAAGACATCAAGGAAGCTGGAAATATCACAACAGATGGTCATGAAATTCTTGGAAAACTTCTTAAAGGGGAAAGGAAATCCGCCACAGTATGTAATGCATTTTTATATGTCTTGATACTTTGTGCTAAGACTGCTAGGCAATTTTCTAGGTAGCCCAGTGAGTTTTGATTCTTTTATTTTAAATGGGCTTCCTTATTCTATTTTCATACATGTATTTAAATTTCTTCAATCATATTCACCTGTTTCACTCTCTCAACAACCACTGCTTCTCAGTGTTTTGTTTTTCTTAAAAAAATAAAAAACAAAAAGCACAACTGTTAAATGCCAGACTATGTGCTACTAGAAACAAAATAAAATGTCTACGGCAGCAGTTTGTTAGGTGGAGTCACAGTAGAGCAGCAAATATGTAAATTGGAATGTAGCCTGTGGTGGGCTAATTAAGTTAATATTAAATGTCAGTTGATAAAACATTGTCTTATTTATTTGTTTGTTTATTTATTTATTTATTATCGGTGTTGGTCCTAGGGCTTATGCTCAGGGCCTGGATGCTGTCCCTGAGCATTTTTGCTCAAGGTTGGTGCTGTACCACTTGAGTCACAACTTTACTTCCACATATTTGCTGGTTAATTAGAGAAAAGAGAAAAGAAGCCCAAGCTGGCTTCAAATCATGACTCTCAGATCTTAGTCTCCTGAGTAGCTAAGATTACAGGTATACGCCACTGGTACTGAGCATCAAGTTTTTTTTTTTTAAATTTTTGAAGAATAACCATGTATTGGTCATAAGAGTCCTTCTAAACTATAGAAAGATATAAGATATATGTTCCATTGACCTAATTGCGTTGAAACCATTAGAAAAGGTTTTAGTTAACTCCTACATAGCAGTATCTAAAATGCAAAACAATTGTACAGAGTACCACATACTTTCTTTTCTTTTCTTTCTTTTTTCTTTTTCTTTTTTTGGGGGTCAGTTTTGGGGCTTGAACTCCATGCTTGGGCGCTGTCCTTCAGCTCTTTAGCTCAAGGCTAGTACTCTACCAGTTGATCCACTGTACTACTTCCAGTTTTCTGAGTGGTTAATTGGAGATAAGAGTCTCACAAACTTTCCTGCCCAGGCTGGCTTTGAACTTAGGATCCTTAGATCTTGGCCTCCTGAGTAGCTAGGATGACAGGTCTCTGAGCCACCAGCGCCTGGCTAAACATACTTTTCTAACGTTACTTTCCTATAAGAGTAGATTTTTTTTTGTGGTTTGAAAATATTTTTTGTGTACACATTTGTGTGTAAAATAGATGAACCCTCATGATTCCTACAGTGCACCCAAGACACAGTACACAATGTTCCCTGTCACAGGGAGCCGGTGGGGCTGGGGAGCAGGCTCTGTGCTGGGCAGGGACAGAGACCATGACAGAAGACAGGCCGGGAGAGTCTGCTCAACCCTCTAACTGCAGTGACACAGTCCAGGCCTCTTCCTGGACAGGAGGTGAGCAGTAAGAGGCTGACAGCTGCCTGGCAAGCATAGCTATGCCCTAAAATCACAGCCTTCCTGCTGTTGTCATCCCTGTTCCCAGTTGCAGCCCTTAGGGAGGGGACGTAAAGAGGAGATTCTTAAAAATTGATTGAAAGCCCGGCAGTGGTGGCTTACGCCTGTCAACCCAGGTGGTTTGAAGCCTGCCCAGGCAGGAAGGTCTGTGAGACTCTTAGCTCCAGTTAGGCACCAAAAAGCCAGAAGTGGAGTTGTGGTTCAAGTTGTAGAGCACCAACCTTGAGTATTAAAGCTAAGGGACAGAACTCAGATCCTGAGTTGGAGCTCTGGTACTAGCACACACACACACACACACACACACACACACACTGCATATAAATGAGTAGAGTGTTCAAATTCATTTCAGGATGGAAATTGATATTCTCATAGAAAGCTCTCAATCAATCACACATTTCATTTTAACCAAGGAAGTGAACTCGGAATGGGAACTTCACACATGCCTCTCACTTTCTCCATCTCTCTCAGTCACCCGTGTTCTGTTGTTTCTTTATGAAATCAGAAGCACATTGCTCTCCAGGACTTGTTCCCTTAAAAGAGTCCAAGAAAGTTTCAGCAGTTAAAATATAGAAATGTAAATATGAAGTATTTCTTATGCATTGCTTTCCCCCCTCCCTCCCCCCCAGTTCCAAATCCAGAATTTTGACATTGTCTGCAGCCCAGTATGGACCAGTAGAGACAGATGTTGTGACATCCCTTCCAGGGTAAGTAAGAATGGATTCAGTCCAGGGGTTTACTAACCCCCCTCCCCCCCCCCGGAAGCAACCCCAGAGGTACAGATGTCCTGGGAGCAGAGGAAGTGGCATGCAGTGGTGGCATTTCTGATTGGAGTCAAGGAACAGGCAATGCTGGGAGACCATCAGCTCAGCTCTGGCCCAGGCTTGGTGACCCTTCCCTCACTAGCTGGGAATTCTCAAGACCGTATCTGGAAGTTCTGTCTGGCAGAAAAGTCGTGCTGAGTCAGCACGTTTGATAAAATTCCTTAGTGCAGAAATCTTTCTGGGGCTAATAAAATATCAGCATGTCCTATAGACAGAATCATCCCCTTTCTGATGTCTAAGAGTTTGTTTAGATGCTAGAAATAATCATAGTTCTTTTTGAAAGGCTGGGTTGTCCCCCTGCCCCTCCCCCACTCCATTTGTGAAGTTGGTAATACTTACAAAGTTGAATGCCATAAATAGAGTTGAGCCTTTTGGCAAGAAAAATGCTGCATGCAGTCAAAGGATAAGTGTACATTATTTAGTCAGCAAGTATTTATTATAAGCATTTATTATGTGTGTGAGGGGTATAGTGTTAAAAACATGACCGTCTTAGTGACCGATAGAGAGGAAACCTTATCAAATACATTACAGCTGGCTTTTTCCAGTGGTGTGTTTTTCCTTTGTAGATTTAACCAATTTCACATTAACCAATGTGATTTTGTGTGCCAAAACTGAGGCTTGAACTCAGAATTGCTTGTTCTTGCTTAGCTTTTTATGCTCAAGGTTGGAGCTCTACCACTTGAACCACACCTTCACTTCTGGCCTTTTGCTAGTTAATTGTGTATGAGAGGCTCTCAGATTTGTCTACATCGACTGACTGGCTTTGCACTGAGATCCTCAAATCTCAGCCTCCTGAGTAGCTAGGATTATAGACATAAGCCACAGGTGCCCAGCTCAGTTTGAAAATATTTTGAAAAGTGCATCTGTACTGAGCTAGGACAGACATTCTTCTTGTTATTATTTTCTAAATGGTACAGTTTAGTAGCAACTCCTCATAGCTTTACTACTATACTGGGGATTATTTGTAATCTGGAGATGACTTCAGGTAAACAGGAGGATATGAGTAGATTCTATGCAAATGTGGAAAGTTTGTATAAAAGGGACTGGGACATTCTTCCTTTACAATATTTGCAGGAACCTGGAAAGTACCCCCCAAACCGCCCCCCCTCCCCCCGCCCCAGATTGTGAGGGATGAGTGTACTGTGCTGTAGGCATTAGCCTTAGGAGGAAAAACAAGCTGGGGCTGAGAAAAGGGAGGGAGGACAGGCACCATCAGCCCTCAGAGATAAAGGTTAGATTGAAGCAGGGACCTGAGTAAGTAAGAGAGCAAGCTGTGTGAAGAGTAGAGGAAGATCTTTCTAGCTGGAAGGAATTATAAATGTCCCTAACGCCACAGAGTATTCTAAACATCTGAGAAGCATAAAGGCCATTACCGGGGCTAGAGTAGAATGAAAGCAAGTACATGTGTGTGTGTGTGTGTGTGTGTGTGTGTGTGTGTGTGTGTGTGTGTGTGTGTATAGGGTGTCAGGGACTGATAGGCAGAGATGGGCTCACTGGGTGCTAGTTTTTAAAACATGTATGGTCTTGTTGGGCATGAGAATGGTTTTGGCTTTTTTTCCCCCTGAATAAAATGAGAGTTACTGTTTAAGATATTGAGTTAAGCATTAAATTTAATATCAACAGCGTGAGTGTTGAGTTAGGCCTGGTGGTGCACACCTGTAATCCTAACACTGGGGAGGCTGAGATAAGAAAGTGGCAAGTTCAAAGCTAGCCTGTGAATTCTGGGCTAGCCTGAGGTATACAGCAAAACCTTGTCTCCAGAAAGAAAAAGGAAACGATAACAACAGCAAAGATACATGGGCATTTGTCTCCCATTGGATTAAGGAAAATTGGATTAAATTGCCAGTGGTTCTGGAAATCTTATAAACTATTTTTTTTTTTTGGTAGTGTGTGGTTTCCTAAAGTAAAGCAAGCAATAAAGACCCAAAGGAGCAAAGCCAGTTTTAATGTAAGACTGTTTATAAGTTGCGATAACTACAATTCATGTCTTTTCCAGTTGAAAGACAGATTTCCTGGTGCAGTGAATGGGGGTGGGGGAATAGGAGGCACACCTCTGTTATGCATGTGTAAATATTCTTCAAATTTCAGAGAGATGAAGCCAAATGCCCTGCACTTCCAAACGCTTGCACGTGTACTCAGGACAGCGTTGGACCTCCGGGACCTCCCGGCCCTGCAGTAAGAAAACCGAAATCAATCTATCTTTGGAGTAATGATCTGCTTGCCAGTATGGAGGCGATAAAATACTGCCATCCATCTGTCTTTTCTAGAATAGAGAAAGCTAAACTACAGACTGTTTCTGTAGCACTGAAATGGAGATCTGTAGATCTGAAATGGAGAAAAGCACAGAGAAAATTTGATCCTTGTATTTGACACCTGTAAGGTGTCAGCGAGAATGCTATTATTGTATTCTTCCTTTGGAATGATATTGACTAATCTTCAAAGAAGTTTTCTCTTAAGAAGACAAATCTGGCTTTGAAACTGTGAGGATTTCAAAAAGCCACCTTGGCTTCTTTGAAGAAAATAGGTGATTAACACAGGACCAGCTCCAGATTCTCTCAGATTTTACTATACTTGGGTTGTTGTTTGAAGACAAATTGAGTTTGGGCTAATAAGAAAGTAGCTTCTCATATACAGAGTCAAAATGCATTGCCTTTTGCATTCAGTTTTATAAAGTAACAGTGACTTACCTGATTTGTATTTAGAATCATAAAGTTGAATCTTGGGACAGATTGTTTAAAGGAAGTTTTCCTGTAGTTGAGAGGTAACATTATTAGATATAATTACATATTAATTTTATCTTTGCTCAGGGATCTCTGGATTCCTGAATCCATCCATCCTTCCTTCCTTCCTTCCTTCCTTCCTTCCTTCCTTCCTTCCTTCCTTCCTTCCTTCCTTCCTTCCTTCCTTCCTTCCTTCCTTCCTTGTGCCAGCCCTAGGACTTGAACTCAGTCTTAGGCACGGTCTCTGAGATTTTCAGTTCAATTCTACCCCTCTATTACTTTAGCCACAGCTTGACTTCCAGCTTTTCAGTGGTTAATTGGGGATACAGAGTCTCACTGACTCCTTTCCTGGGCTGGCTTTGAACTGTGACCCCCAGATCTCAGCCTCATGAGTAGCTCAGATAAGCCACCATCAGATTCTGATTTCTTAAATACATGTTTTGAGATTCAAAGAGATTTGAAATACTCTTTCTTTTTAGATATCATTTTCTTTTTAAAAATTACCTTTCAGTAGCTGTACAGAGGGGTTTCATGTCAACATTTCAGTATAGGAGGACAATGTCTTTTACTCATTGGCACCCCTCTCCAGCCTTCTCCCACATCTCCCCATCCCTTCAAGGTGCCTGCCTCCATTTTCACATTTTCACACATTGAGTACTATGACTGTATTCACCCACCCTTCCTCTCTCCACTTACTTTCCCCTTCCCTTAAACCTATGTAACTTCCCAGTCAGAATATATTTCAGCTTCCTAGTATTCATTTCGCTAAATTGTCTGTTACTTGTTTGAAGGAGTTATACCATGGGAATCCGCCATATGCAATTGTATTGTGTATCTGCGCATATGACTTTGTATGAATTTACATATAGGTTTTTTGTTTTAGAGCTCTTTAAAGAATATAGTTCAGATTATCTCAAAGCACATTTTACTATCTTTAAGTAATTGTATAAGAAGGGTTTCCATTCAGCATGTCAGATTGTGAGTATAACCCCTTCCACTGGTCTCCCCATCTTCTCCCAACCCCTCAAGTTTTCTGTTTCCACTTTCACATATGTACATTGAATAATATGACCATGTTTGCGTACCCTTTCTCTCTGCTCATCTGCCACCACTTGAACTTCTCCCTGCTCCTGAAAACACGTGCTTCAGCTCCCTAGTATTCATTTTCTTCAAATAACTTTTATATATCAGATTTCTTTCTTTTTTTCCTATGTGCCTGCTAAAAATGCTTCTATTGTGTTTTAGGGAGGACCTGGTGCAAAGGGTCCCAGAGGTGAAAGAGGCATCAATGGAGCCATTGTAAGTATATTTTAGAGTTCATTTACGTGCTGTTTAAATTTCTGCTGAGGGGACGTGTGGCTTTGAAACAGGGGCTTCAGTGTCAGTGTGCCTCAGGGGCTGTCCTTAGTTTCAGCCACCAAGTGGAGGCCTGCAGTCACCTCTCCTGAGGACAGAGGGCCTGCTCTAAATCAGTCTCAGGGAATCTGAGTTTTATATACATGTGAATCAATCCACTTAAATATACGTACATAAAAATCTGCTTCTAACGGGACTTTTTAATGTGAGTCAAAGCATTACTTGTGAATTTACTGTACTTGCCAGTTTTTTACTGTACTTGCCAGTTTTTCAATGAGTCAAAGGAGGAAAGAATGACATTAGCAGACACTTTTATAGATGTATAGATTCTAAAATGTTTACACAGATTCAACAATTGATAGCTTGGAGTTACAATGATCATTAGTATCGGGTGGTATGCTGTTACTTGTGGTCTTCTTCCTCCTTTGCTTTCTCTCTTTCTTTCTGTCTTTCTTTCTTTCTCTCTCTCTCTCTCTCTCTCTCTCTCTCTCTCTCTCTCTCTCTCTCTCTCTTTCTTTCTCTTTCTTTTTTTGTTGGTCATGGGGCTTGAACTCGGCTTGGGCATTGTCCCTGTTCTTTTCAGCTCAAGGCAAGCGCTCTACCGCTTGAGCCACAGCGCCACTTCTGGTTTTTTTTCTAGTGATTTATTGGAGATAAGAGTCTCACCCACTTTCCTGCCTGGGCTGGTTTTGAACCACGATCCTCAAATCTCAGCCTCCTGAGTAGCTAGGCTTATAGGCGTGAGCCACTGGTGCCCCGCTGCTTTCTTTTTTTAATTAACTAATTAATTAATTACTTTTTTGTGTTGGTCATGGGGCTTGAACTCAGGGCCTGAGTACTGTCATTGAATGTTTGTGCTCAAGGCTAGAGCTCTAGCATTTGAGCCACAACTCCACTTCCAGCTTTTTTGGGTGGTTAGTTGGCGCAAAGGGTCTCATAGACTTTCCTGCCTAGGTTGGCTTCGAACTGTGATCCTCAGATCTTAGCTTCCTCTTTTGTATTTTAGGGGCCCCCGGGTCCTCGTGGAGATACTGGTCCTCCCGGCCCTCAGGGGCCCCCAGGTCCCCAGGGACCCAATGGACTTTCTATTCCAGGAGAACAAGTAAGTGCGATTTTGTCTACTAAGTGAGCTTAGCTGGAACTTTCTTCTCTATGGCTTGCCAAACTCAAATGTTTCCTCAGTGCATTCAACAAGATGTGTCATTTAGATCATATCCTGGGATGAATATTATTTTAGATGTGTAAATGGTATACATCATCATAGATGCCTTTGTAGGAAAAAAATACTGTTCCTCTTCATTTGAGCTTCAGGAAAAATGATTTCTTGGAAATAATGCATAGACCACTTTGGTGGAAGTATGTTTATTCAAAGTTAGGTGTATTTACCCACAGATATAAAATTACCTCATAAAGCACTGTAAGTGGAAATTACAGCATCTGTAGTTTAAAATGAGCATTAATTGAAAAAAAAAGAAAAGAAGGCTTATTCATCTCCCTTCAAAAACACTGTGCGTGCTGACCTCTGCCCTACCACTGGCTTTATGAAGAGAAGATGTTGTAAGTGACTCCTAGCTCCCCACTTCCCTTTACCCCTGCGCCATGCCTGAGAACCATTACTCCATTTTTCACTCCAGGGGCGCCAGGGAATGAAAGGTGATGCTGGAGAGCCAGGTCTTCCAGGCCGGTCGGTGAGTTGTTGTTGAAGATGCCTTTTCTTACCTGCCCTGCACTCTTTGAGGGCTTTTCTTTTGGGGCTCCAAAAGGTGAGCCAGGGTTTAGCAGCAGAGTGTTAAGTCTGCATCTGGGCTTCCTCTGATTCCCGGGCCATCTTCTGGGTCTGGCCTTCAAGTTCATGTTCTTCCATTCAGATATCTGCTTTGTCCACTGAACATCTGAAGGGTGTTTGTCTGTTGATTACTGTTTCGTGCTCTTTTGAAAGAAAGAGCATTGTGGAGATGAACAGAATCCCTTTCCACACGGGAATTCTGTGTCTTACTCATTTGTTTCCTTCACTGTAGGGAACCCCAGGATTACCCGGGCCCCCAGGACCAACTGGACCTCCAGGAGATCGAGTAAGTTTTCTTGAGCAAGAGGTAACAATATTAGAAATGAGATCACACTGTTGCCCTCTCCCATCCTGTCTGCATTGGTGGCCAGCACACATGTGCCATGTGGTGATCCAGGTCTTCTGGGGGCGGGGCAAGAAAACTGGAAAAGATGATTGGCCTTATCTTCTTTCACAGCCTTAAGGCCATAGGTTTTGGGTTTGGGGCAACTCTAGCCTCCCTAGATTCTTATTAAAATATTCAAAGTCCTATGATTCCAAATGTTTTCATAACCCGAATGGACAAAGCACAGGTGTATATTGAGCCTCACATTTACCTGTCCTGGCCTTGTGTACTTACCTACTGAAAATTGATGAGCAGATGAGGGGACATAAACAGTTTGGGGAACCTAGGGAGACATTGATATTAGCATCTTTGCTAAGAAACAGGAAAGTTGGTCGAGAGGCAGAGCTCATGCCTGTAATCCTAACTACTCAGAAGGCTGATACCTGAGAACCTAGTTGGGGACCAACCCAGGCAGACAAATCCAAGAGATTTTTCTTCTTCAATTAACCAGCAAAAGATCAGAAGTAGAGATGTGGCTCACGTGGTTGAATTCCAGGTGGGAATACAGAAAACTAAGCAAGAGTATGAGGCCCGGCGTTCAAGCCCCAGTGCACCCACAATAGAGACAAGAAACTTGAACTCAGAAAATAAAAATGAGACAAAAAGCCCAGGACCATGGTGAACAAAGAAGGCCTGCTGTCAGCATTCTCTTCAGAGACAGTTTCAAAACTAGGATCAACAGAAGCACAGTGGCAGGTCAATGTGCATGTCTGTGTGAGAACCATCATTGTTCTCCTCAATCGCTAGTATGTGGGAGGACATAGTGTTAGTTGCTTTGGCTTGGCAATAAAAAAGTGAAAAATAAAATTGATTCCCAACAGCCTGTAGTTGGTTTAGTGAGTAATTCTTAAGAGGAGATCAAAATATAATCCTCCACATCCCAACTTAGATCTGTCTCTGTGAAAGAAAATAGCTACCAGGTGCTACCAAATGCCTGTAATCTTAGGAGATTGAGACCTGAGGATCCAGGTTCAAAGCTTAGTCCAGACATAAAAATTCAAGAGATTCCAGTTCCAATTTGGCAAAATGCCAAACTGGTATTGGTAGAGCATCAATAGTGAGCAAGAAATTCTGAGGCTCTGAGTTCAAGTGCACACACCCAAAAAGGAAATAGTTAATCAGGAAGTTGCCAGAGCGACCAAAGGAAGATAATAAAAAATATGATACTTATCTAGAAATGAAAGAGTGTTCAAGGTAGCAGCTGGAGAAATTTCAATAGAAAAATGCCATTCAAACTGTGCAATCAATACTACTGGAATATTTTCACTTAAGTGGCTCTGAGAAGTCGTGTTGTTATTATATCAGACTGACTTGGGATCTGTTTTCTGTTAAGCAGGCCCAGGTCTTTCAGAAAACACGCTGACATTTTATCCCTATAAGTTTTTGAAAACATTTCTTTTAAAGGAAGGGAGGAAGACTATTTCAAACAAGTTTAAAAAAAATAAGCTTCTGCTGTTGTAAAATCAATCGACTAAAAAGAAGGGTGGATACTTATATAGGCAGCCATCCAAATAATGCAGATTTCACTGGAATCCAAGAAGATGGGTGAATGCTCATCCTTATGCGTGCTAGAAACTAGGACAAAAATCTCTTCTGACAGAGGAATGCAACAACCATAAACAACAACCTGACTCAGAAATCCTTGGCTGGATTTCAGAGACCTGCTGCTGGGAACAAATGCTAACTAGGTAGCAATGTGACTCATTCCATACAAAGGTCACTTGGCATGGAAGGCAGAAAAAAGAAAAAACTCATCAATGTGGGGCAGAAGCCAAGGAGGGAGCCAAGGAGGGAGCCCCGGAGGGGAGGCTCTGTGGGCCTCCTGCTGGATCTATCAGCATCTATGCCTGTGCAGTTCTGGTTCCTGGGTGAGAAGACAGAGAGAGAGAGAGAGAGAGAGAGAGAGAGAGAGAGAGAGAGAGAGAGAGAGAGAGAGAGGGAGGGAGGAGACAGACCAACTGCTTGTGATGAGGACAAAGCCTTCTTCTCTTCTAGGTGAGGGGCAGTTACAACAGCTTAGCATATTTTCTCCAGGAGTAAAGACACCTGCTCCAGGAGTGGAGATAAACTGTCCTCCTTCAGCACACTGACAATTTGCAGATCTTTCTAATTGAGCAGTGAGCCTTACAATACCATTGGCTTCTCTCAGCAACCTTCCTTTCATTCTACTCACTGGGCCAATTTGTGGAAATTGATTTCTTTTTCTTTTTTGGTAGAAAGGGTCAGGTTTTTTGCTTGGGAAGTGGGGAGGGGATGATCTGGGGTTCAAGGTCAGCCCAGGTGAAAAGGTTAGGGAGACTGTGTCTCAGGAAGCAAGCCTGGTGTGGTACACCTCTGGTAATTCCAGTTATGTGGGAGGCAGATGGGGAGGATTGCAGTCTAAGGCCAGTCCAGGCAAAAGTCTAAGACACTCTCTACAAACTAAAGCATACCTGGGGTGGGGCATGTCTCAGATGGCTAGGCAAGTGTGAGATCCTGAGTTCAAACCAAGTACCACCCCTAATGGACAAAAACTAAGGGCTATTCTTTGTTAGCTTTTCTACACTCTTAGAAAAGCAAAAGCTGGTAAATGATTTTGTTTATAATGATTGAAATGAATGAGTACAGAAATTAGCATAATTAGTTAAGCATAGGGTACACTGGAATTGTTTTTAAGGTAATGTGTCTTTATATTGAAAGTTTAGTTGCTAAATACTGTATCAAGCTAAACCCTTCTCATGACACTTTACGCTCAACAATCTATTCAGTGTCTTTTTTAAAAAAATCTGTTCACTTCTTTCCTATTCTGAAATTAATTTCCTTTTCATCGTAGGGATTTACTGGAAAAGATGGTGCAATGGGACCCAGGGGTCCACCAGGGCCTCCGGTAAGAACTGAATGGGTTGCTGTCTCTTCTTTTCCCCTTACCCTCTATGTTCATTCTGCCAGAGAGAATCAGGTCTCTTGACTTTGAGGCATATTGCACTTTTGCTGTGAGTATATTGTTGAGTATTTATTTTCACTTTTCCTAAATCAAAAACTAATATGCTAGGGAAAACCTATGTGCCAAAATATAGTCTTAACTGGGTACTGGTGGTACATACTTGTAACCCTAGCTACTCAGGAGGCTGAGATCTGAGGATTGCCATTCAAAGCCAGCCTGCGGGGACAAATCTGAGAGACTCTTATCCCTAGCTAGTCAGCAGAAAGCTGAAGTGAAAGTGTGCTTAAGTGGTTATGCACTCACCCTGAGTGGAAAGGCCAAATGAGAGCATGAGGCCCTGAGTCCAAGCCTCACTATCAGCACAGAATCAATCAATCCATCCATTCATCTCAGACTCATCTGGTCACTAGCTGGTTAGTGCCTCACTTTCTTCATTCTCAGGTTGAATGGATGGCTTTAATAACTTGAGAAGCTTAAAAACCTGAGGACTATGGCATTCAAATGTGAAGGACATGATTACTGAGGAACTATCCATCATTGTGAGGAAGTAAATTTATGCACAAGTTAAGCATATGGCCTTCTACTTAAGATGACGCGAGAAAGCTGGCGCTGGTCATTGTGCAAATGATCTGGTTCTAACAGAATGGGGGTAATGGGTGAGATGATGGATGGGTATGAAGAATTGAGAACATGTTAATAATTGTGTTATTTATATTAAATGAATGCTTTCAGAAAAGGGAGGTTTGAATGCATAGTATACTTTATTAAATATTTATTACAGAGCTTAAAATTTGTATAGTTGATGGAATAAAAAATTGTTTTACAAAATCTGATGATTCAATTTTCAACTATGCTTTAGGCTTTAGAATATGATGTGTTAATTATTATATATTATAAACAATTCTACTACATATATAAATAGGCACTAAGTAATTAATAAAGAAGTGATAATAAGCAGTTCCACTAAATATGTAACAATATATGGTTAAAATGTCTGGAGGTTATGTTAAAAGTAATATGGAAAAATTATGCTTTCAGTGCAAAGGAGACAGAAGTCACTAGAAGTCTCAAAGATGTGTCTAAGCAAAAATTAATTTCTAGTCTAAAATAAAAAATCAGCCACTTTCTCAATTCCCTCTCTAGTCCAAGTTTTCAATCTCTGTCTCTTGGAATGTATTCTGCTTTGGTGGTAGAAATAAAGTAAAACAGTGGGGGAGGGGCGAGAATTGCTTTCTGTGAATCGATTTTTAACATATTTACTGGGCCCATAGTGTGTCAATTGTGCAAATCATCATATATGTGCACATACCTTCAAGATATATTTTAAAACTGCGTAGTTCACCAAAAAAAACTCCCAAAAACCTGAGCTGGAATGTTCAGGATTTCCCTCTCTCCTTCCTCTTACATTAAAATTTGACTTTCCTCTCCATGCTGTTTCTCTGTCAAGCTTTGAAGCGTGGCTGTAATCTGTTGGTTGACGGTGGCTGGGATTTTCTTGGTGTTCTAATATTCCTTTTCTTGGTCTGTGTGCTTTAGGGAAGTCCAGGTTCTCCGGGAGTCACAGGGCCAAGTGGAAAACCAGGAAAACCTGGAGACCATGGCAGACCGGTAAGTGGGCATTTCACCTGTTTTCTTCCCTTCAGTCTCCCATAGGTACCAATAATGAGAGTGCTAGTGTTTGGACAGGGTTAGGTTACCTCAGCTGTGAATATGTTTAAGATTGGTTGCAACTGTGCTAAACCCATGGTTTTGACATGATCCTAGTTTGAAAGTTTAGTTCACTGAATTGTTGTAATATTTTGTGATGAAAATTGTGATGATTGGGTCTTTTTAAAAGGAGAGATGGATGAGGCACCAAGGCACATATTTCTGTGCTGTATAAACACCCAGAACCTTGGAGCTGGGTCAGCAAAATCATTCTGTTTACTGAGAAATGGTATGCTGGGTAAGCCAGAAAAATACATCCCCATGGTGAATGGCGACCTTCATCCTTAGTTTGTGGATGTTAACCCTTTGACAACCAGACATGGCATGTGTTTTATCTTTTTTGTTAAGGATGCTAAAACATTAGTTTATCTCTGACTTGAAAGCATTTGCTAGGCTGGAGGCATGGCTCACTATACCAGTGGCAAAGTACTTGCCTAGTGTGTATAAGACCCTAGATTCAACTCCTAGAACTAATAAGCAGGCTTGTGTGTATGCGTGTCTTGAGGTTTGAACTCAGGGCCTGAGTGCTATCTCTGAGCTTTCACTCAAGGCTAGTGCTCTACCACTTGAGCCATAGCTCTACTTCAAGCTTTTTTGCTGGTTAATTGGAGATAAGAGTCTTACAGACTTTCCTGCCCGGGCCGGCTTTGAACTGCAATCCTGAGATCTCAGTCTCTTGAGAAACTAGTATTACAGTCATGAACCACCAATACCTGGATTTCCTAGAACTATTGAATGCATACATAGGTAATTACATAATATATACATACATAATTGTGTCAACTTTAATTGTTTATTGTGCTTTTCTTTTATACTACCATTTCATAATTACATATAACTTAACTTTCATTATTTGGATGTTTTGTTTGAAAGTATTTTAAAAGTATCTACCACGATTTGTACTAACTGCTGATCTCTCCATAGCCTTACATGGTCTGTCTTCCTCATCTCATTCTAAGAGTATTTCAGACATAAATCAGTCAGCTATAAGCCTGAAGAAAGCTATGTAAAATGTTTTCACTTAAATTGTGATCTCTGAACATTGGAAATGAAAATGGCTTCTGCAAATCATGTACAATAAGACAATTTCAGGGTAACAATAAGTCAAAAATACACATTGGAAGGATGGACACTGGTGGTAATGCCTATAATCCTAACTGAGATCGGAGGATTGTGGTTAAAAGCCAGCTGGAACAGAAAAGTCCCTGAGACTCTTATGTCCAATTCACCAGCAAAAAGTCAGAAATGAAGCTGTAGCTCAAGTGGTAAAGTGCTATCCTTGAGTGATAAAGCTCAGGGAGAATGCTCAGGTCCTGAGTTCAAGCCCCATTTCTGTCACAACACAAAGAAAATGTACACATTAGAATAATCTAAAATTACCATCAAGTGTATAAAAAAAACCCCACTGCAACTTACAGAAAACCTTACAAATTAACTGTTATTGATATTTCCATTTTGGTGAAATGATAACCAAACCCAAGCCTTTCTTAAAATAGTTACTATTTGGTATGCATTTAATTGGAGATGACTGTCTTCATCTCTCCTCTTTTTCAATTTTTTTGTTTTTGTTTTTGATTTTGCTTTTTGGTTGCCTGTGGGGCTTGAACTCAGGGCCTGGACATTGTCCATGAGCCTGTTTGTGCTCAAGGATAGTGCTCTACCATTAGAGCTACAGCCGCTTCCAGTTTTTGAGTGGTTAATTGAAGATAAGTCTTTTGGGCTGGCTTCTGCTATCCTCAGATCTCAGCCTCCTGAGCAGCTAGGATTACTGGCATGTAATACCAACACCCAGATCCTTTTCTAAGATAGCAGATCACCTGTTCTTTTCTTCCTTTTCATCTTCCTCTAAAACCAAAACTACTATATGAATGTATATCTATATCTATATATCTATCTATCTATATATTTTTTGTTAGTTATGGGGGCTGAACTCTGGGCCTGGGCACTGTCCCTTAGCTCAAGGCTAGCCCTCTAGCACTTGACCAATAGTGCCACTTCTGGGGTTTTTCTGCTTATGTGGTGCTGAAGAGTCAAACCCAGGGCCTCATGCATGCAAGGCAAGCACTCTACCACTGTATGTATTATATGGATCTTAGAGAACACCTGAACCAACCACTATTAGTTTATGTCATTAGCTATTATAGCCAGTTAATGACTTCTTGTTAGTTTAAAACCTGATGTGGTGTGGTGCATGTTTCCAGCCACAGGTTGATGGAATAGTTATTCATTTAATAAACATATGCAATGAACTATCCAGTGTTTCAAGATCAGGAGTTGTAACAATAAATGAGATTGAGTGATTGCCTGTGTCATGATTCTAGAGGGGACATGGAGGAACATCACATAAAAAGTACCATAGCTGCCGTAAGGATGTAGGATATGAAGGCTCAAGAAACACAGCCAAGGGTAGGAAGGGGTTGGATGGGAACAGGCAGCTGTTTTAGACACAGCTGTCCAGGAACCTTCTGAGGAGGTGACACTGGAGTAAAGTGTGGGAAAAGCTGTGTGGGAAGGGGGTCTCAGACAGAAGGAACAGCAAGAATGAAAGTCTCAAAGGAGGCATCAGTCTGGCATATGAAAACAGTGTTCAATAGGTCTTCACCAGGAGTGGAAGGAGTGAGGGTGTGTGTGGGAATAAATGATGAAGGAAGAAAGATGCTGGTCGAGTGACCAAGTGGACATCCAGTAAGATAGGAATTTTTATGTTATTCTCAGTGCTGGACAGAGATCTGAGGGGCAAAGAAGTGATTCCTTTGCTTTCCTTTTTCCCTTTCCCCTTCTGTTTCCTTTCATTTTGTGCCAATCTTGGGCTTGAACTCAGGGCCTGGGTGCTGTTCCTGAGCTCTTTTGTTCAAGGCTAGTACTCTTATTACTTGAGCCACAGCTTTCTCTCTGTATTTTTTTGGGTAGTTAATTGCAAGAAAAGTCTCACAGACTTACCTGCCTACCCCGGTTTCTGTAATACTACTACTCAGAAGGCTGAGATACAAGGATTGAGGTTTGAAGCCAGCCTAGTCAGACACATTCCTGAGACTCTTATCTCCAACTAGCCTGCAATTAGCTGGAAATGGAGCTGGGGATCAAGTGGTAGAGTGCCAACGTGGAGTGAAAAAGCTAAGAGACCATGGCCAGGCTCTGAGTTGAAGTTCTAATACTGTCACATGTACATGCAAACACATACGCGCACACACACACATACACACACCCCACTCTGGAATTGGTGTGGAAAATAAGACTATCTAGGGAACAAAATGGGAAGCAGAGAGACCAGTTAGGAAAACAATGGAATTGCTCAGGTGAAAATCTTGTCTGGGTGCAGTGTTTTCCATGCAAATGGTAAGGATGAGTTTGGTTTGGAATACTATCTGAATATCAGATTCATTTCTTCTTATTCTATTTTTGAATTGGTGAACATTTGTAATGCAGGGGGAAGGTCTCACTGTGATAGTTCTCTGTATGATTTCACTGGACCTGGGCATGGTCAGCCACTCCAATGTAAATATCAAAGTTGTTTAAAGTTTGGATCTTCCTTCAATAATAGCAATTGGCAGCTTGCAAATCTATGACTAAAGCACAAAAACTTTTTGCACTCTAAGGAACATTTTCCAAGATCTCTTATGGCCAGTGAAAGAAGCCAAAGCTTCTTTCCTTGTGTTGGACGTGAGACTGTTTGAGTTATTCAGTAAGAGAGATACTGGGTTCTCTCCCTACCCAATATATGAAGACTCACTGAAGGAATTTTAGAGGTGTGTATTTTAGCGACGGGGTGGCCAGGGGCCCACTAATGCTCAGGGGAGCCGAGTGGAACCTCACCTCCTCTTCCTGGATACTCCACCATAACCAGCCCAGCTAACCAACTGCAATAGAATTGCATGGTCTATGTGCAATCGTCATGTACATTGCAGTTCAAGTTCAAAAAGTGTGTGTGGCACATCTTTTATAATTGTGGCCATAATATTTATATGTAAGCACTGTTTTTGAAGGCATGTGTTTTTGAGATGAAGCAGGGAGAGACAGAGAGAGAGGGCAGAGAGAGAGAGACAGGGTAATAGAGAAAGTGAAAAATAGAGAGAGAGAAAGGCACGAAGAAAGTCATTGAGACAGAGGAAGAGACAGAGAGACACAGAAAGACAAAGAGACATGAGAAAAATAGAGAGATAAAAAGAGAAAAAGAGACAGAAAGTGAGAGATGAGATTATTTTTTGACAGAAAAGCCAACTATGAGTTATAGATAAGAATGTGATGCATCATTTTGCTAATTCATTAGACAACAGTCTTGTCTATTCATGCATCATTGTAGACCAGTTGTCAGTTTTTTAATGTATGAAATTTCTGTTTCAGGGTCAATCTGGGTTGAAAGGAGAGAAAGGCGATAGGGTATGTATTTCTTAAAATTCTACTCCCACTTCTTTCATCTGTTAAGCATTGACATCTGATGCCATAGGACTAAAAGAATCACACACTCAAAGTTCTCCTTGTTTTAATGAACAGGGAGATATTGCTTCCCAGAACATGATGCGAGCAGTAGCAAGACAAGTCTGCGAGCAACTGATAAGTGGTAACACTGACTTCCTTTTTATTATAGGAAAATGATTTTTAAATTAATAGCAGAAAAATGGCAGGGTTTGAGTCATAGAGCATGTAAGAACTATGTTTCCATTTTATATTTGATGAGCTCTTGCTTTTGTACACTGCTGGTTTTGGAGATGATTAGATAAAGCCAATAATATTTTATAGATTGTCACTAAGGTAAAATAATAGCCCCAGGCAATATTTCTAGATTCAGCTGGTTGCAGAATCACATTTTAAAAGGGCTTTTCTGTTTCCATGTTAGACTTGTTAATGAACTTCCTCAGGGTATAATATGAAGTACCAAACTTGCCAAGTACTTACGCACTGAATCCTTTAAGCTCCAGCGTTTTAGCTTTATCATTGAATGAAAGAGGCTTATCAAGATTAATCAGAAAATGTCCCCCTTCCTTTTTTTCTTTTCTAGCCAATACTGAGTCTTGAACTCAGGGCCCATGCACCACTTGGCTTAGCCCCTTCTTACTTGGTGAAGTCTATTAGTTCTACTGCAGAATGAGTGCAAGTACACCTTCAATTCAGAGCTCCCCGCCCCTTGTAAGAAGTTTCAAAACCAACATTTCTCAAAATGTGTTCTTGATGTACACTTGCTTGCCTGAAAATCACTTACGTTGTTTCTTAGAAAATTCCCAGATCGTGCCCCACATAGTGAATTATCGTCTTCGGAAAAATGGCCCAGAGATGTGTATTTTTCAATTTGCTCTAAAACCTGGTTATTGGTGCCTTAGGTCCATACAAGAATAGCATGATTTGTTCATTTAAAATAGGTTCAATGTTGAATGACGTTGCCTGGCAGGCCTATTTCAGAGCCATATTAAGTTTTAACCACTCTATCTTCTTAGTAATGCCCAGGGCTTACAGAATGGCATTTTATGGAAATGACCATTTATCAGAGATCATTTTGTACTGGATGGCAAGAGTGACTGTCTTATTTTTATTTTTAGATTCTTAATTACAATGTTTTTTATAAAGAAAAAACACTGGAGATGGGTTTCTTTAAATGCTAAGAGAATGCAGCTAGCTCCACTCTTTCTCCTCTCCATTATTGCTTTTATTTTATTTAATTAATTAGTTAATTTTATTACCAACCCTTCTTTCTCATTACAGGTCAGATGAGCAGATTCAATCAGATGCTGAACCAGATTCCAAATGATTACCACTCTAATCGGAACCAGCCAGGCCCCCCGGGACCCCCAGGACCTCCTGGCAGTGCTGGGACCAGAGGAGAACCAGGGCCTGGGGGCAGACCGGGCTTTCCTGGCACCCCGGGCATGCAGGGACCTCCTGGTGAACGAGGTAGGCTTTCCCTGATGCTGCTGCATAGAGATAAAGAGATGAACTAGGTTGGATTGGAGGCCTGTGGAGAATGGAACTGAGCAAATTAGTCTTATTGGATAGTCTCAGAAGAGATGTGTATGAGTAAATCCCCCCCCCCCCCCCCCAGCAGTTTACAGACCTTAGAGATCTGTATCTTAGTATACAAGTTGCTTTGGTCCGAAGATCTCAGTAGAGATAATGCTATCTTCTGATTTTTGTGGTTGTTGTAATGGGAAACTTTGTGTCTTGGCAAAAGGAAATCAGGCTCCAAAATCTTGCTAATTGCTGTGGCTGTTCCAAAAATGGAGCAGTGACTGAGTGCACTTAAGCAGCTCCGTAGTTTCGGATGCCAGTGTTCTGTGTTCCTCCATCCAACGTCTGGCGCTAGGCTTCCATGGTGGTTTGACTTGAATTTCATGGTAAGTAAGTGCAATTGAAGGAAAAGAATAAGGGGAAAAATAGAATGTTCTGATTCCAGATGTTTCAGGACAATGGTTTCAGGACACTAGTTTGTATTCAAGAGAAAACTTAGGTATTTCTCCAAATCTCATGGTCTGGATGCCAGCTACTAACGATAAGATTTCTTTGAGAGGTTTTTAAACAGCAACTTATTTATTCAAGAGTTCCGCTCTTGACAACAATTTAAAAATACATTAGACATGTTTGTTTCCTTCAAATATTTTTTCCCCCTTGACTTTCCGCCAGATTTGTTTCTTGGCCCTAAATTTGGAATTACACCAATGTCTAGAAAGAATCTGGCTGAAGGAGTGAACTTCTGTGAAAAATTAGACGCTGCTTTCACTAAGGAAATGAATTTCTTGAAACCAAGTATGATCATTTAAGATAAAATGTGTGTTCCAGGGAAATGTCACTTGGTGCTTTGTTATTCTGGCTTTCCTTAGGTTTGCCTGGAGAGAAAGGTGAAAGGGGCATTGGATCTCCAGGATCACGAGGGCCGCCTGGGCCTCCAGGTAGGTTGGCTCATACCTCAGACAGGTAAAGCTACAAATCAGAGAGGGCACAGCATTACCCGAGAGACTCACAGCTTCATCTGGTTAGCTCTGGCATTCATACCGTCATATATATCTTTCAGTGAAGAGTTCAACTTGCATGACCACCTCAATGTTATGTTTCTTTTGTTAAAAAAATGCATCCTACTATTCATTTACTGTGATTCAAGTACACAAAGATGTGTGCTTTTAGTGACACAAATGGTAGGCATTTTCTTTTTTTTGTTGTTGTTTTTTTCCGGTCGTGGGGCTTGAACTCTGGGCCTGAGCGCTGTCCCTCAGCCCTTCAGCTCTACCACTTGAGCTACAGCGACACTTCCAGTTTTCTGGTGGTTTATTTGAGATAAGAGTTTCATAGACTTTCCTACCCAGGCTGGCTTTGAACTGCAATCCTCAGATCTCAGCCTCCTGAGTAGCTAAGATTACAGGGGTGAGCCACTGGTGCCTGGTGGGCATTTTCTTTTTATAGCAAATTTCTACTTGTCTTGTTTGATTCCATATCCTGTAAGGATATTTGCATTTACCTTTTTAAAACATGCTTAATATGGGGCTGTTGGACTGAGAAAAATATAACTAAAAGACTTGATAGATTACAAAATTTCATTTACAGCTTCTCCAATATTCTGAAAAGAAGTAGCAGTCATCCATTTGTTTTATGCATATTATCTGCTAGGTTGCAGATTTTTTTCTTCCTTATGAGGGCTGTGAGATCCTTGCAACCAAGATTAGCCATATGCTTTAATCATTTATTTATGTGTTTATTTGTTTGTTTATATTTGGTGCTGTACTGGGGCTTGAACTTAGGGCCTCATGCTCTCCGCTGGCTATTTTGCTCAAAGCTGTTACTCTACCATTTGAGCCACAGCTCCACTTCTGGCTTTTTTTGCTGGTTAACTGGAGATAAGAGTCATAAAGAGTCATAAAGACCAGCCAAGGCTGGTTACAAACCATGATCCTCAGATCTCAGCCACCCACGGTCTGGATCCTATGGTTAAATCTTGATGATTCTATTAGCCATAAATGAGCATCTCTTTGTCCAGACATAACCTTGCCTGCTTCACGTAGTCTGCAGGTGTGGAGCAGACAGTCACATGTTTGCATGGTAGTCAGTGTGGCTGTCTAATATGTAGAGCCCTTTCCTTCAGGAGCTCTTATCTCTGTGGCCTGGGAACAAAACTGAGGACTTACTGATAACCTTTAGCTTGGCTGAATTCCTGCTAATTTCCTTTAATAAGATTGTTAAAGTAGTAGATTTCTGGCATTAACTCTTGAAGAGTCACTGATAAGATGGTTCCCATTGGGATTCCTTCCTTCCTTCCCTCCGACCCTCCCTCCCTCCCTTCCTTTTTCCTCCCTTCCTTTTTCCTCCCTTCCTTCCCTCCCTCCCTCCTTCCTTCTTTTCTTCCTTCCCTTCTCTTTCCCTTTTCCTTTTCCTTTCCCTTCTCTTTCCCTTTTCCTTTTCCTTTCTTCTTGTCATGGGGCTTGAATTCAAGGCCTGAGTGCTGTCCCTGAGTTCTTTTGCTCAAGGCTAGCACTCTACCATGTTGAGCCACAGCGCCACTTCTGGTTTTCAGGTGGTTCATTGGAGATAATAGTCTCATGGAGTTTCCAGCTGAGGCTGGCTTTAAACCATGATCCTAGTATCTCAGCTTCCTGAGGAGCTAGTATTACAGGTGTGAACCACCAGTGCCCGGCCCATTGGGGATTTCTTAGGGAGCTAATTCTTACCATACACTCGGAGCTGGCATGCCTCTTAAAATATTGCTGGCTCCCTCAGGAAGTGTATTTAACACCAGGGAAAATGTATTTGCTTGACTTTTGCATAGGACCGCAAGGAGAATCCAGGACGGGTCCACCAGGGTCCACAGGCTCAAGAGGTCCTCCTGGTCCTCCCGGTCGTCCTGGAAACTCGGGTATCCGAGGACCCCCTGGGCCCCCCGGATACTGTGACTCATCCCAGTGTGCCAGCATCCCATACAACGGGCAAGGCTATCCAGGTATGTTGTTAGCATTGTAGGAACACAGACTCATGTGAAGTAAAGAATCTCTAGGACTTGAAGGAAGTTTAATTGGAGGACAGAAAATGTGAACATTTAAGTCATTACTTTCTCTTTCTATATTTCTGCATTTACCAAATCACAATGACAAAAAATTAACTTCCTTATCCTCCTTGGAAGTTCCAAGAACTTTGCCAATTGACTTCTTTTTTTTTTTAAACCAATACACTAGTAAAATGCCAAGGGAAAGAGATGTGTAAAATATATAGGTTAACATATTTGATAATACCATAGGCAGCTGAAAGCAATTCAGTGTCTCATAGTGACCATGAAATGAATGCTTATTTAATCTGGGACTTAATCTTTTGGAAGTTTGTTGATGGTTTCATCAACAAGTGTAGAAGGTGAAAGTTTCTGGGGACTGACTGGAGGATGTGAGGTTTGAGGAGTTTAGATATCAGCCTATCACACTGAGATATCTAGATATCAGCTTATCACACTGAGATCTACACTGACTTTTTAAATAGTGCATCCTCAAGCATCTTGCAAATTTAAAAAGGATACTACTGTTTGATATGGTTGCTATGGCAAACTATGCATGAGTAGTTGAATATCTACATATCTATATATTTATGTGCCTGGTCACCTAGGACCCAAAGTAATAGTGAATCTTAATGTATATCTCATATAACTTATTCATAAAATTGCAGTAAATTATGAAATAAATTTAACTCACCACTGCTTAATTGCACGTGGGAATAACTGAAAACATATGGATATATAGATATGTGTGTATACTTTAACCATTGCATACTTAGATGGATGTGTATTATGTATATATATTTTGCATCGTAATTCAACTTTTAAAAACTATCATCTTTGACCTGTTTCAGGTTCCGGCTAACACATTTTCTAAGTCGCCAGTGCTGCTTACAGTTTGAATACATGAAAAATCCTGTTTCTGAGATGTTTGCGCACGCGCTTATTAGGAAATGAGTCTGGAAATCTCACCACAGATCTGGTTAACAGCCGGGGCGGACATCATAAAGGAGGGTGGAGACTGGATACTAACTTGAATGATACAAAAGCAGTAGAAGCCTGATGCATTTCAGTCATAATATAGAAAAGTATTTTTTTAATAAAAGTTCAAACACACAGTCACGAGGAGCTGCATTTGTGAACGAAGTGCATTACAAAATTACTAACCAGCAGAGATTATGCCGTTTTAAGAAAACAAACAAAACAATTAACCTGGTTCAAGAGAAACGTCTTTTGTAAATAATAAACTAATGGTGGCTTGTAAACAGTTTTGTATATGACCCTGTCCGCTAAAACCTCTTAACAAGTCTATAATCAGCTTGTGCACCGATGCTTGCTGGCTGCTCTCTGTCTCTTGGAATAACATCGAATGGAATCTTTCCATCTCTTGCTTGTAAGCTGACTGATTTGGGGCATGGAACTTCTTAATATTTCTTTTGTATGTGTATTATCCTTTGGCTTTTGGAATTGCAATTTTCAGACCAAAGCTTAAGATCACTTTTTAATTTTCCTGTTTTGCTGTTGTCATGGTGTATCTCTTCCACTGGCTGTCGGTCAGTCAGTTGTGGGGAAAGACACAGGACATGCCATGTACTGTATTCTACCTGTTGGTAGATACTTTTCACCTCCAGAGTTCAATTGCTAGGAGCCAATAAAATTTCTCCTCACCTTCTCATCTTTCCAAGTTTTTTCCCCCCTTCTCCGGTGCCGATACTGGGGCTTGAACTCAGGGCCTTGTGCTCTCACTTGGCTTTTTGATTCGAGACTCCTGCACTATCCTTTGAGCCAAATCTCCACTTCCTGTATTTTGCTGGTTAACTGGAGATAAGAGCTTCACAGCCCAGGCTGGTTTTGAATGGCGATCCTCAAATCTCAGCCTCCTGAGTAGCTAGGATTACAGGTGTGAGCCACCAGACTCTGGCCTTTTCAAATTCTTTGACTTGTTCGGGGATTTGGGAAAATCCCCCATAGGTAACAGCGTTTACAATTCTTTGGCCTGGTCTCTGATCCTTTCTAGGTATTTGTGCAATGATTGTACTTACTGCTGGATCTTTGGAGGTTTTCTTGTCCTTTTCTTCCTTCTTTCTTCTTTTTAAATGCCATTTCATGATTGGGTCACCGTATTCTCTCTGCAAATGGCAATGATCAGGACGATGTAACTTATCTATTCGTGTGATTCTGAGCGCGGTGATGACTTGCTTCTGCCGTGTGCGTGTGTGCATGTGCGCGTGCGCGTGTGCGTGTGCCTTCCGTACCATGCTGTAACTGTGATGTTGACTCGGACAGAGCCCTACGTGCCCCAGGGCGGGGCCTACCTGCCCGAGCGCGAGCCCTTCATCGTGCCCGTGGAGCCAGAGAGGACCGAATACGACGACTACGGCGCGGACGACCCCGCCGACCCCGCCCAGCAGCAGCCTCACCGCTGGCGGCGCGCGCTGCGCGGAGGCCCCGGGCTTCGAACCTGAGACCGCCACGCGCGTCCTGCGGCGGCCGGGCGGGCGGGCGGGCGGGCGCGTCGGGATGTTCACTTGCGGGTCACGTAGAGCCGTGCGCATCTCGGCGGGGCTGGGTTTTCGGGCATGGCTCCATCCGCAGTTTCCCCCTCCCGACCCTAGCCAGCCCGGTTCTCCAGGAAGCCCGGCGCTCCGCATTCACCCGTGCCTTTGCTCTGCAAACAAAACCTTGCCAGAAAATAAAACACTTTGTTCACACACACAAACACACAGAAAGCGGCTAGCGGAGGATGCGCGTCAGCACTGCGCTTAGATAGACAATGAGTCCCGGGACATTCAGAACCAAGGCGTCTTTCCAGAGGGCTGTTTATCTGTCCCAATACTTACCTGTAAGTCCAAGAATTCCCTTCCTACGATCAAGGAGGAGGGGATCCTCGACCCCACTGCCACCTCTGATCCGCCTTTTTCTATCCGCCTGGTACAGTAGGGCACCGATGCTCCTAGACATCGCCTTTACCATCCACACAACTTCAGCCACATAGCTCCAAGTTAGCGTCTCCCCCCGGGGACAAGTTCCATAGTGCCTTAAACTTCCTTGTGTTAGACACCTTCACAGGTAGGCCAAAAGTTGCAGGTGGGTCTGCGGAGATGGAAATTGCATGTTTGTGTTGTATATTAGTATGAACTTTTTTATTTTTCCTTCTCAAGAGCATAATGTTTCTTAGTTATCAAAAGCAGTTGGAAGAAAAATGTTTGCAAGACTATGGACATAGAATTGCTGCTTTTTATATTTTAACTGCAGATTGTGAATTTCACCGCCTTTATATTATTTATTTCTGAAACAAAAGAGGCATTTTTCAATAAAACTACTGAAAATCTCACATGGTGTGTTGTTTCTCTGAATGGTGTGCTCTGAATGGCTTTTTGGACTGCTCAGGCCGTTGTTACAACAAATAAATTCATATCCCTGGATACGGTTACAGATCTTGCTAATACTATTAAATTATGCTAAATAACTTTAGATTTTTAATGATATGGTGAAGTCATAGAAGAGTGGTGACAGCCTTAAAAAGCACAGCAGATTCCCAAGGCTTTATTAGGAATGTAGGGGATGTGTGGGTTGATGGAAAAACAACCAGGTTGCCTTGGAAACACTAAACAACCAAATAATCTAACTATCCACATGATTTTGTGTGCATTTAATTACTTTCCTATACCGCTGGCTGCCCAACAGCAAGTTATATTGCAAAAAAGATTCCTTAATGGAAAAAAAATGTTTTCCGTAGAAGACATGTTAATAGAAATCATTCCGAATGTCAAAGAAAACAATGAAAAATGTTTCTCAGAAGGTATTTCAGCATCAACTGAAGAGAGGAGGGGAGGGGAGTGGGAGAAGGTTTTCAGAGAGCCAAAGCATGAATGAAATATTTTTGGGAGACTGGATGATCCATTGGTGGCATTAGAGGATGTGAAGAGGTTGCAAGCTGAGAGTGTTCACAAGTTTCTCGACATGCACACTGTAAAGTTTGAAGACATCACTGAGGCTGCTCTACCTCTGGCATATGTAGGAAGAAACAAACTCTCCCAAGGAGTGTCAGAGCAGGACTGATCTATCTCCCTTGCATCTGAACTGTTTACCAACAGATACGTCCTTTCCCCATCTCAAAACACTTAAGGTTCTGGGCACTGAGTTTCCAAACTTCCAAGATCTTCCAGTGTCCTTCATTTTTTATTGTCTTTTTGTATGTCCATACTGGGGCTTGAACTCATGGCCTGAGTGCTATCCTTTTGTTTTTTCCCCTCAAGGTTGGGGCTCTACCACTGGGCCACACTTCCACTTCCGGCTTTTGGTGGTTAATTGGCAATATTAGTCTCACGTACTTTCTTGCCTGGGCTAGCTTTGAACCGTGATCCTCATATTTCAACGTCCCGAGTAGCTAGTATTACAGAGCTGTTGGCTTTCGGTTCAAGTTATTTTCAGTAGTGTCTGATACATTTAGGTTTCTGATGGCTGTTGGTGGAAAGCTCTGGGGTGAGGAGCCTGCAGATGGGGCCTCAAGCCTTCGAGCTCCCAGAGCCACATGCATGTGAAGCGCACAGGGATGCCTGGCAAGATGTGAGCTTCATTCTCCATGTTGGCCATGAACGGGGTCATTATCTTTTAGTGTAGGGATGTGGAATTGTGGCCATGGTGTTCCTAACCAAGGCAAGGCAGAAAGTGAATTCCTAGGTATGGTACATTTCCATCATCATTGTTTGCTGAAATGTTCTGTTCAAATTGTTTTCGAGATACTTAATGGCGGACCCATTCATTGAACTATGGAGAGAGGAGGCTGCATGGTCTGGGTACCCAGATGCATGGTAAAATCCCATAAACTCAAATATGTAGGCACTGGTTCTGTTATTCAGAGTTTCTTTGATGAGAATGAAATTCAACTTGAAACTTCTTTTCTAGTTGTTTTTTTGTTGTTGTTGTTGTTGTCTTTTCCCACTATGGAAACATTTACAGAAATTCATTAGGTATAAGGTATATTGGAAGCTAAACTCTTAATTTTAAGAAACTAGCCTGAAATTAGTATGGAAAGAAGTTGTAGCTTCTGATGAGGTCTAGAGTGAGAAAAATGTCAAGATTTGCAAAGAACATTTTCACAAATCCTAATATCAGTATTTTTATAGAATTATTTTGTATAACAGAACTAACAATTTAGCAAGTTTGACAAGAGGTTGCATGCATACTTTGGCAAATATGCAAACATCCATTTTAGGATCTACAAAGAATTATGCTGCTTTTGTAGTGACATAAACTTATATTTTATTTTCTGTACAAATAGGTCAACATATAGTTTTTTTTTTTTTAATTATGTGTTGACATTGGAGCTGAACGCAGGGCCTCATGCTCTCACGTGGCTTTTCCACTGAAAGCTGATGCTCTACTACTTGAGCAACACCTTCACTTCTGGTGTTTTCTTGGTTAAGTGGAGATAAGAGTCTCAATTTGTCTGCCCAGGCTGGTTTCGAACCATGATCTTCGGATCTCAGCTTCCTGAGTGATGAGGATTATGATTTTCTCCAAATGTTTACTCTTTGTTCATTAAATCCTGAAGGAGCTCTGTCTATGTTTAATTTCCCAAATGATCCCTCCCAAACCCACTCAGCTTTTGTGCCCATGAAGCATTCTTCACAGCTGTGTCAGAGCCTTTCTCTACCTTGTCAGGTCCCATTCACGTCTGTATTTAATGCATAGGCATACATGTTAGGTTAGCAAGGGTTAACTGCCCATCTTGTAGGTGTGCTCCAACTAATGAGAGTAATTATCTTAGAGCCTACAATGGCGATTGCCTGCTTACTCCCGTGGATTCTTCTTGATGTTCCCAACTTTTGGAGACGAAGGCTACTTGGAAGTGATGGAGTGACAGTTTTGGGCGACAGAGCGAATTCTCCCAATGCCTATGACGCTTGTGGGAATGTGCTTTGTGGCTTTCTTTAGAGTGTGGGTGGTCAATACTTACAGCCATGTGCCCAATTTTGAGCCAAGAGGAAAGGTTTCATATAAGATCTTGTTATCCAGAGAAGTCATACTCCCTTGCTCCGTTATCTTTGTCACGCTAGGTAACAAATCCATACCACCATACCTATGCACCCCATTCCTAGCTCCAGATTCTCCCTTCTTCTTTCTATCTTCATGATGGTACCCAGAAACTGAGCGCATTGGGAGAAATGATCTTTTGGGGGCCACATGTTATGTCTAAACCCATGATAACCAGTCTCTTCCTACCTGCCAGCACTGTGCAGTCATCTGACCGCTCCACTTGTCAACTAGGTCCAAACGTCTCTCACTCTGACCCTGGAGATAATTCTGATCAGGAGATGGCACTGGAAGCTAAATTGGAGTTTTACATTCTGTAATCAGGCTAAAAATTCCAGGTGCTTCTGTACCCATCCTTGAATTGCTGTGCATCCCTTCATTTGGCAAGGAAAATTTCAGCTCTACTGTGCATGAGGCACCCTTCAAGTTGAAAACTACACAATCAAGGCAAAGGTCCCACTCTTCAAGGCCTTGAGCAGTCCTGCATAAGTAGCCCTAGACATCACACACGGTGGCTGCCAGCAGTGTCCTGTGGACCCCTGAGCATCCCATTATGACCCTTTGCCTCAGAAGGCTTGCATGCAAGCCTTCTGATGGGTTCCCAGTGTCTGTGCAGGAATTGGACACCCAATCAGCGGGCTAAAAGATGCACGGAGAGCTCTTCCATGCTGTGTGGAGCCTCTGATTTGGTCTGGAACCGCTGTGGCCTTCAGGCTATCCACTAACCTTGAGGGTTAGGTAGCTCTCTCCTAAAGACATCTGAACCCCTTCACTATGCACTCCAGGCAGACCCCTCCTGTCCAGGGAGCTCTGTCTTTTTGCTTCTTCAACAAATCTTTGGTGTAGACCTATTTTTCAAGACTACAGAGATAGAGGACTTGGTGCCTCATGCCTGTAATCCTAGCTACTCAGGAGGCTGAGATTTGAGGATCGTGGTCCAAAGCCAGCCTGGACAAAAAGTCCATGAGACTTTTCTAATACTGTAAACTACTCAGAAAAAGCCAATATTAGTGTTGTAGCGCAAGTGGTAGAGTGCAAAGAAGCTCAGGAACAGCTCCCAAACCCCGAGTTCAAGCCTCAGGACTAACAAAAAAAAATAGTAGATGGGGTTCTATAGTAAGTATTAGATCACAGTCAAAGTCTCATCTTAATCACATTTTGTGGATGGGAGAGTCAAGAAGCAAAGAAGAAAATCAAGCAGAGCAGAAGAATAATGAGTAGTGGGTATTGTCTCTGGGACAGTCCATGGAAAGTTCTTTTTTTTTTTCTTTTTACCAGTCTTGGAGGCCTGAACTCAGGGCCTGGGTGCTGTCCAGGAGCCTCTTTGTGCTCAAAGCTAGCAGTCTACCACTTGAGCCACAGTGCCATTTTTGGCTTTTGCTGAATAGTTTTATTGGAGATAAGCATCTCATGAATTTTCTTGCCCAGGCTGGCTTCAAACTGGGATTCTCAGATCTCAGTCTCAAGA